ATCTGACAGAAAATGTAATTTCAAATACCAAAAATTAGTCAAAAATAGGTATAACAAAACTTAAAAGGAAGAAAAAGGATTTCTAAAAATAACACGGACTAAATTCTAATACAATCTAAAAACAAAATAAAATGTTTTAGTGGTCTGAGTCCAGATAGTCAGACTATAGTGTAGTCATATTTGCTTTACATCATTGGACTAAATTGCCAAGAATTGTGTTGATCATGGAAGTTGTTTCTGTGAAAAACGGCTCGTGTAAAATAGTATTATGCTTAGGATTATTCCGTTGATGCTCATCTTCTGAAATGCTGATACATACATGATATATTCCGTCCAATTTAGTTATTTAGCAGGGGTGTCTGCAGCTCGTTTTGCCCCATTTAAGGAGTTGTCGCCATTGAACAGTGATGTCAAGGCTACATCCAACACATCGCATACGACGAAATAGCATAAAAGTCAAAAACGTAGCACCTAATTCTATTTCGTTGGTTTCAGCCACGGGGGCTTCTACACAAGTGGGAACATTTGCTCTTTTCTTTCGGGACATTTGACGTGTCACACAGGCTATGAGTACAATATAGTATACTTCCAATTCCTTCCTTGAGGAGGGAATCCTCTAAGCCCTATATACAAAATGATGGGTGACATTGTCCTAGTAATCGGAGATCATTTAAATACTGTTTCTACTGAAATGCACCAATGTTAATACCCATATAGAAACACAATCTGGTTAATTATTTTCACGGAGAAAACAGATACTACAGATATCAGACGAGAAAAATAGTGCCCCATTGAATAAAAGCCCATCCTAGGTACACTGAAAAAACTAACAAAAACCTTTTAAATCCCTTATAATTTTATATACCTGCCACGACTATGGGTTATGTCAAATTTTGAAATATATGGATGCAAAGCAGTGCAGTCACATGCCGATTGTTGGTTTCAATACAAATATTAATACTCTTCCGTGATACATGAATCGTGGTTATTGCAGTCAAGGTATAAGACGAAGTTTGTGACATTGTGAGGATGCTTTCCGTATTACTTCGTGATTTTGATAATATATCCATATCAATTGGAATCTACTGAAGATATCATTATTGCTCCTACAGTTTGTATTTACAATTCTGGTGTTCGTCAATTACCGAAACAGATCCAGCAAAACGTTAGTTTACAACGGACGACTCCTGTTTACATTCACAACAATTGTAATAATTTAGATTGTTTATCATAACGCGTCCATGTAAGAATACACGATTGATTCTATAAGTTCTATTTTGCTTCCAGTGCACCCGGTAATGTGTCGGTAATCTCTGGTTGATGTTGCTTCAACGTCTGTTGTCAAGATACAATTTTTATCCATTGTTGTTTGTCTAATATCAGTGAGCAATTTTCTAGTATTGGAATAATTCAGTTTATTGAGTTTATATACAACTATATAGTTGTTTTTAGTGTAACAGAATCGAATATTTTTAAAACAGAGTTTAGTTAAAGGGGCAATATGCAAAGTATTTTTTAGTATAAAAAACATTAAGTAATTTAAGTATGCAAAAAAGATGATTTTCATGATTTTTGTGTTGACTACGGAAATCTTAATTCTGAAACAATAAAGGATTCTTAATTTTAACCCCGTTTAGAAGAAACCCAGGACTTTCTAAATGGTGCTAACAATTTCATTTCCTTGGATCAAATCAATTCATGCCTGACCAAACAAATCAGCCAAAATGTCACAAACAGATTTATTGCATTTATAAAGGAGTTCTTCATAACTACCATGAAATTACCTACATGACGATGACATCATGATGAAGTTTGTGAGTCAAGTTACCGTGTTTAAGCAACTTTCTATCTAGGAAATCCTCATTAAGATAAAAACCCGATGCAAGTGATATAATCATATTTTCTTAAAGGGATTGTAAAGAGTTTTTTTTTAAATTCTAACGTTTCTTCGGGGATGTTTATGGTTCTTGCTATTGCACTAAAACTAGCGTGTATGACATCACTATCGCAGTAACGTTTACTGAGATATAAGTCTATTTGCGATAATCTGCAAGGGGGGCGACTGTCCATCAGATTATTCATTTTTCTCCGGGTTTGACATACGCTAATTTCAGACGCAAGTAGTTTTAGTATCGTTCTATTGTTTTTTTGTTTTTTGCAGTGCGTTCTTCGAACGCACTGCTTTGTTTTGCAAATGACTATTTTTTTTTTTTTTTTTTCGAATTTCACCCTCGCTTGTTTTCTAAGAAGGGAACATGCTACAGACTGTCTGTTACTGTTTGCTAGTCAAAATAGTGGTCCTTTATTTGCTAAATGTAAATTGGCACCATTTTGAACAACCGGAAATGAGCAGTGGCCAATGGCTCTTTTTCGATTTTTTCGATTTATCAGCTTTAATACTGATCTGGTATTGCTCAAACTGTACTGTTTATTACTTCGCGCTAATGACTACAAGATAGCAATTGAAAAAATCGACAATTTTGACTTTTGTCGCTGACTTTTTTAGCTCCAATTTTAGAGCTTTTTAACCTTTTTTCTAACTTCTACAATTCTATTTTGATCAATCTTAAAACTTACATAGAGATAGAGATTTTTATTGCGAACAAAAACTATTTTTCGAAATTTCGATATCACTTCCGGTTTTGACGATATTCATTTCTAAAATATAAAATTCAACTTCCGGAATTTTGAAGATATTTCAAATATTCTTTTTGCAATATGTTACAAATGGTCATACAAAAAACTTCAAATCATAAAATCCGACCCGGATGTAACAGTGTAGCCGCCATATTGATATGTCAAACTTTTGTAAAATTCAAAATGGGGCCGTAGAAAGCGCTTTTCATAATTTTGATTTTTCTGGATATCACAATCGATTGCGAAAAGAAATTTGGAAGCCGATTTTTGAATTTAAATTTTGCTTTTCTTTTATTTCCGGTTAAAATTTTTCGGTAATGTCCAAAATTTCAAAGGCTCCTATTTCATGACCTTGACCTTTGGTGACCTTGTAGCCTGAACAAAATTTGTTGCCCTTGATGATATCTATCCAGTGATATACTCATTTGTGCTGTGCAATGTGTACTTCCGGTTTTATAGCCGATTGAAATTTACGATTTTTAGCTTCAAAGAGCTCTGACACGTGACCTAATTAACATACACCAAAAATTCATATTGAATCTTACTAGTGTTCATCTGCCCTTTGTAGTGATATATAACACTAGATATTTCAATCAAAATTGCGCCTTTTAAAATTGATGAATTTTATCTTGAAAAAGTCGATTTTCCGCTTGTAAGTTTTTTTGTGGTCTAAACGATAAAGGTAGTTTGCTCCCTTCAACTGTTGTTGAATACAATGTGAGTTGAAGCGATCTGTCCAATATACTTTGCGTTTGGTCGATCTATATCCAGTTAATTATGATAGAAAATTATGTTTCTGTTACGATACTTTGCGGCACAGTTTTAAGCGTAAAATCAAAACTGTTACGCACTGCATCAGAACCTCGCGAAGCCTGTGGATCTAGTTTTTTCTTATTTCTATGCCAGTCGCAGCTTGTTGGAAGAATGCCAACATATGACTTCAATAGAGTATTTACCAGGTAAGCAAAATTCCCAATAGGTCGACATGGTCGTTAGACAAGAGGTATTTAAGCGCAGAACACGCGTGGCAAAAACCGCAATTTGGTCGCATAACTCGAGGTATGAAGTCGACCTTTTTTAAGCTTGTAATTTTTAAGAGAATTTTTCATAGTACATTAATTTCATGTCGCCGTAAGATTGCAAATTTTCGCAGTCCGGTGTAAAGGGCTATAAGTAAGGAGGTGGTTTCAGAATCAATTTAATCTTATGATAGATCAAATAGTAAAATTAATTCCCTTTGCGATTGCGAAGATGTTGAGGTTTAAACCCTTGATGGTGACCCAGTGATTGAATCTGCTATTATTTGTCAAGCTCAGAAAAACTGTAAAATCATTGAAATTACATAATGAATCATTTGGGACGACTAACGCTCCATTGTCCCACAAGGTGCGACTAGGTAATACAGTGGTGTAACCTATTTTCGTGGATATAAGGATTCAACACCGAATTTCGTCAAATGTTAAAAAAACGAAAAAAAAAAAAATTTATGTCTTAGATGTTTCCTCAGATATTCTACAAAATAATTAAAATTGGTTTATTTCGATTTTCTTTATAAATCCTTCACTTTGACCCATATTTCATGAGCAACCAACTCGGCAATGGTGGCAGAATGCGTCACCTATTTTCGTGTACAATGTCTGATCTATAAATAAGTCTAGAAAAACACGTTGTATGGATACCGGGTGGTATAATTAACTTCTCTTAGTATTTATCTTTAATATCAATTCATTATAACTAGTGACAATTCCTTCAAAGAACCACGATTTAAAAAAAAATAGTGACTGACAAAATATGATACGTAGCGTGATTTATTGCTAAAAGTCACTGAAACAACATAAGAATATGGTTCATTTTGTGTTCTATAGTCCCTCATGTAAATTATTAATCCTTAACGGAAATCCACGAATAATAGGTTTCCACGAAATTAGGTTACACAACTGTACTATAATATTTTATTAACACACATTAATGACTTGTAAAGATGTTTATGTGTTTTACCTGTAAAGATGTTTATGTGTTTTACCTGTAAAGATGTTTATGTGTTTTACCTGTAAAGATGTTTATGTGTTTTACCTGTAAAGATGTTTATGTGTTTTACCTGTAAAAATGTTTTATGTGTTTTTACATGTAAAGAAGTGTATGTTTTTACCTGTAAAGATGTTTATGTTTTTACCTGTAAAGAAGTGTATGAATTTACCTGTAAAGATGTTTATGTTTTTACCTATAAAGAAGTGTATGTTTTTACCTGTAAAAATGTTTTATGTGTTTTACATGTAAAGAAGTGTATGTTTTTACCTGTAAAGAAGTGTATGAATTTACCTGTAAAGATGTGTATGTTTTTACCTGTAAAGAAGTGTATGTTTTTACCTGTAAAAATGCTTTATGTGTTTTACCTGTAAAGAAGTGTATGTTTTTACCTGTAAAGAAGTGTATGTTTTTACCTGTAAAGAAGTGTATGTTTTTACCTGTAAAGAAGTGTATGTTTTTACCTGTAAAGATGTGTATGTTTTTACCTGTAAAGAAGTGTATGTTTTTACCTGTAAAGATGTGTATGTTTTTACCTGTAAAGAAGTGTATGTTTTTACCTGTAAAGAAGTGTATGTTTTTACCTGTAAAGAAGTGTATGTTTTTACCTGTAAAAATGTTTTATGTGTTTTACCTGTAAAGAAGTGTATGTTTTTACCTGTAAAGAAGTGTATGTTTTTACCTGTAAAAATGTTTTATGTGTTTTACATGTAAAGAAGTGTATGTTTTTACCTGTAAAGATGTGTATGTTTTTACCTGTAAAGATGTGTATGTTTTTACATGTAAAGAAGTGCATGTTTTTACCTGTAAAAATGTTTTTTGTGTTTTACCTGTAAAGATGTGCATGTTTTTACCTGTAAAGAAGTGTATGTTTTTACCTGTAAAGAAGTGTATGTTTTTACATGTAAAGAAGTGTATGTTTTTACCTGTAAAGATGTGTATGTTTTTACCTGTAAAGAAGTGTATGTTTTTACCTGTAAAGAAGTGTATGTTTTTACCTGTAAAGAAGTGTATGTTTTTACCTGTAAAGATTTTAATGTGCTTTATCTGTAAAGATGTTAATTTGTTGAATAAAGACTCTATCAACATACGTCGTCAGTTTGATTCATTATTTATTATTGATTATGGGTGATATTTTGTATTGTAATTATTATCCTTCATCAACAGCATCATCGACACAGCAGATGGCTTTTCTTACTTCGTTACGATGTGACATATCTTAATATTATATTAAGATGGGACACAAGGGTGTTGATCGAATATTGAAATTGGTCGTATCTTTTGACCTTGTATAGGTAATCATATCAAAAAATGTTCTCATTGTATCCAGACATCCTTACTCTTACTAGAAAGGACAATTATCTCTAAGGAACTAAATAGCAGTGCCATCATTGCAACATTTCATCTAATCATTTACTTCTGACGTGTTTGAAAAGACAGATCCAAACCCATGAACTTCAAAACGAGTTTCCGCTTCCCCACAGTACACCAAGTCCAGAGAGCAAAACCACACCATTGTTTGCAAGTATGGTAATTTTCTTAAAACCGACCAGCAGAAGATTGTTTATAGATTTCGATAGAGGTGACCCACAAGCGTTAACAAGGAGAGAAAAGGAATACAAAGCTTCAATACAATATTTTATTCATGTTAAATTAATTTAAACCGATCCAAATTCTGCATAACCAGTACCTTCACTCATCATCAGATTAATCACTGGAGTTTTCTCAGACATCATGTAGCACGTGTAATGATAGAATTCTATAGCTTGACAAAGAGGGTCGGTTTGTTGGAGACATGGTTGTTGGCACTCGGTGAAAGTTAAAGCCCATTGGACACGTATCACCATTCTCAGATAGGTACAAACCTTGCTGCAGGAGTTATAGCTTTCTACCTTGAAACATTTTGTATCATTTCTACAAAACTCCTCACACTCTGCCTCGTATTTAACAACTTCTCGCCTATACACTGTTTCCATAAAGTAAAGTTCGTCCAGAGAGTAGTCTGAACGTAGCAATGTCTCGTGTCTACCCTTACAACTCAAACCTAGAGGAAACAACAATAATATGTCATTCAGTGCAGTTGTACTGTAAAGTTAAAACAATTGACTACCTAAGAAACTCTGAAATGTACCAAATACTTAGGTCAAGAACTATCACCTTGCATATCAAGAGCCACTTATATTACGAATAAGTTACGATATGTAAATCTTTTGAAGGTCAAATGATGTCAGCGTCATCAGGCCATTTTTTACACCATAATGCTAGGTTCCCACTATCACGATTTGCGGCACGTTTGAAACTGGATCTTAATCGTCGACTATTCGTGATTATCCTCTCGGATTTTATTTTATCTGGGGGCAGTCGTGGCAAACATGATCAGAGTGGAAATTTTTTGAATGGTTCAAAATTTTCGACGATCAACGCGATCCATTGTCATTCGGGATCATGGCTTACTGTATCGTAACCGAGCTTCCAGATCGTGATGATCGGGATTGGTCGATGTTTCTATCAATAATCGACTAGTCAAAGTCGAACAATGTTATATTTTTGCTTCATAAGAACGCTTCTATGTTAGTACATGTAGAAGAAGGTGGCTAACGCGTGTACCAACTTCTCCGCTTCAGACGTTCTCTCTACCATTTACCGTAATGAATCGTTTTATTGAATATTCCCTTAACATTAAACATACTGTATGCTCCCCTCTTCATAATAATTTAACTATTGTTCAATACAATACTAAAAAAAGTAGCTAGGTGAAAGTGGTTGTAAAAACAATATAATTGAAGTTACGAAAGCACAGATCGAGGAGAAAATTAAGTAACACCAATTACTGTAATGTGCAGAAAAAATGTGTGTACGATTACCACGATTAGCGCGACTGATCTCAAGATCTGATGATAGCTGATAGAATCATAACGATAAGTCTCCGATAAAGATTAGACCACGATTTGAATGGAGCTCCGAATCGTGATAGTGGGAAGTTGACATAAAAGGTAAAAAAAAATGGGTCATGTTCGTGCAGTCATACATACTCTTCAGGGTCAAGTGGTGGGACAAATCAGATCCGCAGGTCATCAGAACGCATTGAAACGTATCTGCAGGTACCACAGTTAGTTAAACAATAGAAATTCACTGTCTTCCAATAGTGGCTAGTTTGAAGTGGTAGTACATAATAGCTTTCCTACCTTCTCCTCCAGTCAATATCATCCCGAATATTATTAACATCAAAACCATCTTCATCTTGTTTAAAGATATACCTATTCTACTTCTTGTGTACGAAAGACAGAAATTACCACGAACCCTGCAGAATGAAGTAAAAGAGTCTAAACGATTTGTAAGCCACACCACAAAGTCGAATATGGTATTTATGCTTTGTAAAAAACGCTTCTGACTATATATCGGCTGTCCCAAAAAAACATAAAATTCTACCTAACATAAAATTTATAATGTTATTCGTTAAATGTATTAATTAGTTTAAAACATATTAAAATTTTTAAAAAATCGAATCTCATTTCCATATTGAATTTGTTTTACTTTATATTTCATCATCCAAAATAAGGTGACCAGGTGTATACATTAGCCATCATTGTACTCTTCTCAATCTAAAAATGTCAGAAATGTGTTTGATCATCTTGGCGTCGTCGGCGACGAAGTTTAAAAGAGTAGGTATGTTCACATTCAGTAAAGACTGTGATCGGTGGAGAAGAATCTACTCTAGGCTTTTTCAACCTATTAGCTATAAGCTCCCACAAACAAATTCAGAACTTGGATCTTTAATACCTTGACTGCAAAAGGAACTTTACTTGTATAACGGAAGTTTGTAAATGCATCAATTTGATTGGATTGTACGTTACTGAAGACATAGCCTCTATCTTCCAGTCCCTCTTTGTCTACGTACAGTTTCGTCGAAACATGGCCTGGACTGGTTGTTTAAAATCTTTGAAAATGACCGAGTCTACAGTAGCTATTGGTTGGTTGTAAGTCTACATCTGTTTTGGAGATGGGAAACATTATTTATAATAATTGACACTATCTTTGAATTTGAATTTTTTTCTCGAAAATTCGGATTAAAATTTCAAATAATATCTGACAAAACTTGTGTGGGTTGCCAATCTGTTCTACATATAAGTCGTTGTTAACTCCCTTGATGGAAGTTGAAAGCTTCGTAACAGAAACTTCCGAAAACATTAATCGAGCTGACAACAAGGGGTAAAAAGATAGATACAATTTGTTATTATTATAGTTTATATACTTGTGTAATATCAATAACATTATTTAAAATTAAGCAGTGTTTTCATACATTCTTAACCTGAAAACAACTTAATTTTAGACTGACCCCATATGACCATCAAAACAATACTTGTTTCATAATTTCATCAATGACATAAGCTTTGGTTCTAAAGCACAGTCGGTTAGAGCGTTGATTCTTTACATGACGTCGAGCAAAATTGTCAGCTGTTGGTTCTGATCGAGATCGGCGTGTGAAAAGTCCAATGACCTTGAATTAGTCATTTTCACTCATAATTCCATTTAACCAAGCTGTACATGGGTACGGATCCAGGAAAGATCAATGCGAAAGGAACGATCAATGCGAAGAGATTTGGCCAAGGGCCATCTGGTAGAAAGGATCCTTAACTGTGAATCTAAGTTGTTATCCTTGTAAAATATAGTTGTTTCTATCTTTCTCTTTCTTTTCGTCGGACCTCTAATCTTATCGATTGATACAACTGAAAGTGACTTGTACCAGCATGTAAAGCAATGTACAATTTAGACTGTCCTTGTATCTCTCGGTTTATATTCCAGAAGATGGTCCACACTTTCACAAGGAAAAGTAAAATCATATCAATACTAGATTCTTACCACGAATTGAAATTTAAAGTGGCTGACAAAATAGATAAAAGGTGATAAACAATTAATTCAAGTGGATAAAACATCAAAACCTTAGTCGCTGTACAAATGTTTGCAAAAGACTTTATCAACAAGACGTTCAACTTTCGAATATCCCAATTTTCAGAGAGAACATATTAAGCTTGTGAACGAAATAAATACGAAGAGAAATTTCTAGTTTGGGCTATAATTGAAGGGATTCTACGACTTTCGTACAGTTTTAGTAGGCTACGTCTGAAGACTATTTACATATATCCAAAGCCCAAATCAACCCCCAACATGGCGAATCTGTCCCTTTAATAACACGAATCGTTCAATACATTTACATTGAAGTGGCTTGACCTTGACCTATGCCATGTGCTCATTGATCTTGGATGTCCATTCGTACTTTGATCTTTCATGTCTTCACCTTCTTTTTCCATTGTCCATGTCTTAGATACCTGGTGCTGTGTGCCCCCTTTGACAGCCATGTTGTCCCTATTCGGCTCTTCCACCTAACGATTCCACTGATATGAGCCAACCACTATAGTGTCAATGCTCTGTATCGTGGTGGCCTCGGGCTCCTACACCTACGTCTCAATCGGTTATCAAAAGGTTAAGGACTTAGAGATTGTTGAATCCTTGATGTCCTAAAACTAGATAATATCAATTTAATGCAATTAATACTGTTTTTACTAAGGATATACAGGGCTGTAAGTGATAAAAATCAACAGAGATTAATAACTATCCCTAAATAGAGTATCTTTCATAACCTTTGTTATGATTTCGATTTAAAGATAATTGAACGCTGTAGAGTATAAATATCGCCGGTGATCAACGATTTTTAAGAAATCTTTTCTTCCCACAGCCATGATGGGACACACTAAGTCTCAACTTATAATATCCTCACTGGGGGTATTACTTCTCTTTCTTGGAACTGTACTAACAGAAGGTAAGTAAATTCTTTAAGAAATAGTATGTTTGATTTTTTAATAGGATTTTAGAGCCTTCTCTTCGCTACCCTCCTGGAATAAGACACAATATCATGTAGTTTAGTTTGTAAGGAGGGGGTATATTTAACGACCACAGTATCAATGTGCATCAATAATAAGGGAAAAACTGGAAAAATGAAGGCATTGAATCCCTTGAAGGGATTGAACCCGGGCTCGAAGCAGTTGAAAGTTATCTTAGTTAATTGCGAAAGTGAAGGTTATTCGGTCAGCGCGATAAATTTTGTCGTATAGTGTAGGGGTTAGGTTCAACAGTACCATCCTATCACCGTTATTGCAATACAGCTCAAATGACAAACTTATATAGAAATCCATCATACTGTTATTGCAGGAACCACAGACGTCTGAGTGAAAATTGGAATGGTGCAAATTCATGCTATCAGTGTCCTCGATTTACATAAAAAAAAAATTCCGAAAACTTCTTTTAAGTGCGTTTGTATACTGCAGTAAAATACTTTTCAGTTTGCAATCCAACATTAGAGATGTTTGATGGTCTGGAGGGAATTTACCGATCAATCCCTCGGCCCCCAGTGACACAAAAGCATGGTTTAATTTTTACTTTTTCTGATTTCAGAAACAATCGTAACAACTCTAAATCCTAAAAAAGGAAGTTTAAATGGCGGAACTAGAATAGTCATTGATGGAAGTGGTAAGTAGTAGTGCTGGCACGATATATCGGTGAATCGATGTATCGCGATACGAAATGCCACGATACCGATACGGGTATCGTATCGCGACTTCGTGTATCGATACTTGACAATACCATAAAAAAGTGCAGATTTTGATAAGATGTTTAATTATATAATGATTGACGATACTCAGAACTAGAAAGTAGAATATTCGAAACAAATGTTTTGTAAAAACATTTTTGCTTTCTTTGCTTGCCGTCTGTACATGATGAAATTGTACATACAAGGTACCTTTATCAGAAATAGTTTTTCTTGGAGAGATTCGAATCTATGGTAGACAATCGTTTAGCAGGCGATAATCCAACAAGCTACCAAGATGATTCAGTATATTCGTTCAACACAGCATTTCGAGTTTTACTGGCTATTTGAGGTGCCAATAGCTATCATTCAAGGTACCGTAGAACGGGAACAGTTTAACTAACTGCCCCTTGATGGATTTTTCGTGGTACCCCCGAGGGACACAATCAAGTGTCAATAGTAAAACTAAACCAATACATGAATCTTATCCGTTAATCAAAAAATCTATGTCAAATATATGGCTAAAAGGAGCACATCAATGTACACGACAGGCTACTTTGAAAGATAGTTATAAGCACATATAGGTTTACTTCATTCATTCAAGAAGCCTAATGGAAATCTTTTTCATTTTCAGGATTCGCCAGAGATCAGTTTAATTTCGGGGAGGGGAATGAAAACATTGGGAATATGGTAACATTTGTATCATCTACTCAAACATACCCTTGTGAGATTGAACAAGATGGTTCACATGAGCAACAACTGATGTGTTACACAGTGTAAGTTATACAAGCTTATTAAAGGAATACTACCTCTTAGAATTGAAATAAACTTTAAATTCTCAAACTTGGTCAATAAGAGTATATATTCATCAGTAAGACTTGATTAAAGATTAGAATCTCAATATAAGACGATATATTCATTAAACTAACTAATTGACGTTTCAAAAAATATTTAGCTTGAAGAGTTATTACTTCTTTTATAAATGTTTCGAATTATAGAGGGATTCTGTTGTATGGCTATGCCACCAAGGAAGTCCACTGATGAATAAAGACTCGTTTTGGTCAAGTTTACAAATTTCAATTTTTTGGTCATCCTAAATATCAAAATTATGAATAAGCTATGAAGATTCTCTGAAAGGAAATCAGATCTGATGAATCCACCCACAAGGTTGCATTACGTGGCATCCAAGACAATCTATTGTCTCGCCAGCAACACCTGGAACTTATTATACTGGAGTTAATTAAACCATTTGACTGGAACTAAAGAGCTTAAAGATTGTAGAATGACCCGAAAAATATTTTATTCATCATCAAAGACGCCAGTTTGTTGGCGTGTAATAAGTACGCCAAATATATCATTTGATGTGGAATCTCCTAAAGGGATGTCGAGTTAACGAACATCAGGCGCTCTAGCTAGCAGAGTGACATGGACAGTCAGTCTAAGTCAGTCTTAGATATAAAGTTATTAGTACATGTATTAGTATTTATGACTTCCAATCATGTCAAAGGCCTCCTCCTTTCAGATAATTCTTAAATATCCCTCTTCAATAATCATCTATTCTATCTATAGGCCTATGCCAGAAGATAACTATTATGTTCGGATATCGGTAGATGGCGTGGATGTACCGGAAAACAAGCATTGCCCTAACAACATGGATAATTGTAAATTTAGGGTAATTATTTAAACTTAAATCATATTGTATCGGTCTGATTTCAACTTTACAGAAGTAAAGTATCCCTTTTTACACTAAAAGACATTCCTTGTTTTCCCCAGGCTCATAAAGTGCATACAAAATGACTCGCAGAAGTCGTGCAGTCAAAGTGTCAATGTACACATAAACAAAGCAGAAATCTTATTTATATTCCCTCATTGCAAGCTATTGCCTGTCTTCATTAGGCCCATAAGGTTCAGACTGTCAAAAAATCACAACACTTCGTTCTATTCTTTTGAATGAATCACTATCTCTTTTTGTATTAAAAATGTGATTTGAAAGAGATATCTTTCTTACATCAACATATCCTCAATATTTCAGCCGGAATCTGACTACACACCAACCATAACTGGCATCAGTCCACGCTCGGGAAAACCAGGTAGGTCAGAAATTTTGAAACTCGAATCTAGAGCCTATAAAACTTGATCGTTAGAAGAAAGATCACTTTTACGATTTATGTTATTGTAGAATTGGTCAGGGTTCAGTTCAAGATAACGATTAGCCTATATTACTCAATCTTCGCCAGTAATCTAGTACGATGTGGCGACGGTTCTTAAATGCACCGGGCTGTAAGCCACCTTGGCGTTTCTGTGGCCCCTATTTTGCTCTTACACCTAATAATTCATAGAAACACAATTGATCTACGCATGTACCCGAGTTGTCAAATCACCAAGGCTGTCTAGTGAAATGTAAGTCATTAGATATTGATTGTCATATTCCATCTTAGAGCAATAAGTTTGTAGAAAACAGGACGTAAAACTCTATTGTGTTTTTCAGGAGCGAAGATTCAGATCAGGGGTCGACTGATCAGTGATCGATATGGCAGTAATATACCGTTTAGTTCTAATGGTTTATCTCAGAAAATTCTCAGGTACGTAACCCTTTATGATTATTATTCCAAATTGTGGGACGAGTTTAGCTTACAGATTTCGTTCTGTCACAGATTATTACATCGTAGTTTTTGTTTTCATCGATGAACATTTACCGCCTTACAAAGCTATTTGGATAAAGTAAATTTCATCTCAAGAAGGAGGGGGATTAGGTAAACGACGATTTATGATTATTCACAAGGACTAGCCTTTACCTATCAAAAGCCAACTTACTGCATGCACACCAATCCTCAGTCCAATTTCGAAAGTTTGGACAATTACAAAATTCACCTTCAAATTGTTTCCTTTTCAGGGTGTATTTAGGAGGTCAGACGTGTGAACTGAAAAATCTCGAAACAGATGAATTGTAAGTTCTCAGTACTCGCATCTTTTTTCTCATTTTGATCAAAAGACCTTAAATGGTAGCTAAGAACAGACGACTACTTCATTCATAGGGCTCCCGAAATTATATTGCCATTCAAATATGATATACCATGCGGTACGACAAACAGCTTAGTTCTAAACTACTTCATCTCTAAATCTTATGTCAAAACTGATGTTACTCCATAAAACATTTCATATCATTTAAAAACTTCTTGTGGAACCTTAACAGCATGATATAAATAACGTTTAATTGTTTTCATCTTAGTTATGGTTTAGCTCTGGATAACGAAGGTAGAAGTTGGAATGGTGAAATGAACTGTAAAACAGACGGTACATTTATTGGTAAGTACAGTTCATACATTGATCCGCGTGTTAAAAAAAAATTGAAACAAGGTTTTCTAAACTTTGGTATGTATCTGGAACACTGTAAGCATCTATTTGTAGCATTCCCATCTTCAGTCAGATATCTGTTGTTCTTGCAACTCCACTTTAACTATTATCACAAAGGACTTAAATATCATTAGCAGAGATCTGGCCCATAGAGATTTCAATTGTTTCCCCTGCAGATGTTATCAAAATTGAACAATGTGCGACTTGCTTTCAGGACATATGAATGCCAGTTTTCTTGTTGAAGATTATGGAAGGTAGGTGGTCACTAACATATTCCCATCCAATCTAAGTGTCAGATCAATCGACTTTTAACCGTATAATCTGTAAATTGTCAAGTAGTAAAACAGACAAATCGGACGAATCTCGATACACCATGTGCTATAGCTTTTGAATACTTGAAATTCATCGAAATTTGTTTATTGCACTTCTTAAGGTTCATCAGCGTTATTTCGATACAATGAAGTAGTACAAAAATGTAGAACGCAGTGCTCCATTCAAGTCCATTCTTAGTGATCTGTTTACACGCTCTTTCAGAGTCGAATCTCGATACACCATTGTGAGATAGCGAAACTCAACGAACTACTACTCTGGGTTCAGCTACCCCAAAATTCATTGATACAAGAAATGGGTTCTACATGACACGTGTTGATGGTTAAAAATAATTTCCTCAAAACGGAAATTTCAGAAAACAAAAGAGAAACGAAATTGTAATCCCGATTTATGTCTTTCCAGATCCTTACCCGACCCAGACGTACTAAAGATCAGCAGTACAGACAAAATACACATGTACCAAACCTATACCGGCATCTCATCTATATCCCATGCTACTGGTAGTAAAAATGGAGGGTTATTACTCACTATCAATGGCAAACATTTTGATGAAACTACAGCACCGGTCAAAGTTATGGTTGGAGGTATGTAAGGTTTACGAAGACCTAGTTTTTGTAATGTGACATCTTGAGAATGAGACTGTCAATACGTCGGCAATTTAGGAGAATCCACAAAGTTCAATGTAACTTTATTTGGTATTTTTTCAAAAGAAATGGAATAGAGACAATCTTAATACCCTCAATAACACATTTAATTTCGAGTATATACGTCACTGCCAGGCATAGTTCATAAATATAACGAATTTCGATCGGTTTGGAAAATGGACAAATTTATTTTATCCCTCATTCGTTAATGGGACCAAACATAATACTTCGAATAAACACAGTTCAACTGCTTTATGACTATTTAGAGAATACCAAATATAACCTGGCATTTATATTTTAGAAACTGAATGTATTGTACAAGGTGAGATACAAGATGAACAGATAGTATGTGAAGTAGCTCAAGAACCTGACAGTTTCCCTGCAGCACATAGAGGTTAGTCTACCAACGAGTTGTTGAACATCGTGCAAATTCTACAGCACTATCAAAATCATTAAACTTAAATAAGATAGATTTATGAATATTCTGATAGGCAAAGCGTTTGTGGTATTGGGAAATATAAACCCCGGGAAAAGCATCTACCGTGAAAATATGACCAGAATCAGAACAAATAGACACAGATCGCTAATCTTTACTAATAACGGTCGTTATCCATACGTATAACACATTCTTGAAACTAAGTTAGGAGCGAACTTCGATATGATTAGTTATACAGACTACAGAAAGTCAAAGTGATAACCAATTTTCCATTAATGTAAGGAAATTCTAAGCATTACAAAATACTTCCAGGTGGGCGTGGTCTGGTACATCACATCTGGAACGAAACATCCAAGAACAGTGACAACCTAGAGGAGGTTCTAGACTTAACATCAGACGCCGAGGATCATTCGTCCAGTATCATAGACCAGATGGAATATAGTTCCACTGATAAATTTAACTATGTAGACAGTATTGAGGGCTTCTTCATTCCACCAAAAACTACAGACTATATCTTCTACATCATGGTAGATGACCAAGCTAAACTTTATCTTAGTACTGATGAAAACCCGGCTAATAAGGTACACAAATTTATAATTTACTCAATAGACGTTTATCGACGTTTGAATGATGCTTCTGTTCTTTAAAATCTGAGAGCACCAAAGAAGGCATTTACGTCAATGATGACAATATATAACATACTACACAGCCTTGGAAATTGTTTTTTACAGAAGTAAAGTGAACAAAAACACGTGTGAAAATAGCCATTAAAACATCAGATATACAGGAAATGAGTTCAGTAGCCATCCTGGATCACGCACGTTAAATGACAAGTCCGGTCATTCGAGGAAAGAGTTAGCTATTCCTGCCTCGTGCACCAGAGATCACTTAAAATGTTATTTTCATACAGTTCATAACTTTAACATTTGATATTTCAGAGTTTGATAGCGGAATCTACATTCATTAATGGTCGATATACCTATTTCTCTCGTAGCCAGCAAGCGTCTGAACTTATTCCACTGATAAAAGGAAAGAGGTTAGTTCCCCTGCCAAAGTTCAAAATTTTGTCTAAAGTCCTGCGAGCTTCGTCTTTTTGAAGGTTTACTGTGTATCATTGTCTTCCGCTTCCTTTACTCTTAACCTCAATGACCATTTTGAAAGTTATCAAAAGTTATGAGACATCCTTCAATGATACTAATCCTACAAAAGAGTAGTCTTTATACGATTCGTATCGCATAAGTAACATGAGACGAGTTTTATTCTTAGTACCTATTTTTGCTGGCTGACTAACCCGCACATAAACCGACAAGGCGGAGCAGGATGTATTTCTATTTTATCGCTATACCTATAAGTTTTACCTATAAACCTTTTTTTATTTTACAGCTACTACATTCAGACTATTATGAGACAAGTGTATGGTCCATCCTTTATCAAGGTAGCAGCTAGAACTCTAGAGTCAGATTTTACTGATGAAACCAGTGGAATGGTGTGGATGGAAAAACAGAAAATTGTGGTGAACTCTATCGTTACTAAAGATGTCATTGTAAGTTCAGTTGGATGCTCTTTCTGTTGTCTTATATTAGGATGATTGTTATTAACTATTATTGTAGACAACCATTGCAAGAAACCACTTAAATTGTACCCTAAGCTTGGATCATAATTATCTGATAGTCAAGTACAATTTCCCTGTATACTGGAAATGCCATTGCTTCAGATAAATGCCTTGAAAGGAAGCGGCGGTGGCTCAGTGAATATGACGCTTAATTGCTCGAAAGGCCAACGTTCAAGCTTACATAAACTGATTGTACAAGCTGTGCATTCTAAAGATTCCTCGAAAATAGTATGTAAACTTCTATTTCATTTCTACTGACTGTATAACCTTTGCAAGACATGCCACTGTTCTGTTATTACGTGCACAATGTTAAATGATCTTGTATTAATTTTAGACATTGAACATAACCCAACCAGCATCAACCTACCCAGCTGTATCAGAAGTACAAACAGTGATCGTAGATGGCCCTGGAGAATGTACATTTAGACTTGGTTTATATGGAGCATACACAGGTATTATTATCTTTTCTATCAGAGAAACTAACTTTCGGAAAACTTTGCTTCTTCATCAAGTTCTGAGTGTTTTTTACTATTAAGATTGACTTATCATAAGAGAATAATAATACATAATATTTAACTAAAATTCAATATGAAAATTAATACATAGAGATAATATGATATTTCCAAGCGTTGCTTTACACCGTGGTAAGACACAGAAACTTGATGTGAGGCACTACTCAGAGTGGGTTTTGTCTCTTTCTGGCCAATCACTTACCAGTGGAAGTCTTAATTCGTCGATAGTGTGATTCTGATAAAAACACCCGGTCATCTTTGTCGATGTAGCCATAGAAGTGCGCTAACACTAATCTGCAATATACCCTTAACTTTCAGGTCATCTAACTGGATCAGCTAGTGGCGATGAATTGAAGGAAGCCTTAGAAGCTATACCAGGTCTGTCGCCAGATACAGTGACTGTTACCAATACTCCAACAGATGCCGGTGCTAGTATTGTAGTCACATTCCAATCTGATAAAGGTACCTCATTTAAATCATTTGTTTCCTATGATTGTACCACAATTTTCTCACAAGTATATACGTATTACTTTGTTATATAGAAGTATGAGTGTTTTTTTTGTGAACTCAAAAACTTAATCGTAGATATATCTGACAAATCTTAACTGAATGAGAATTGGTATATATGAGTAAAAACGAGATACATAACAATTTTCCAGGCAAGGATAAGATTTGGATTTCACCCACAGGGAAAAGGAGAAATATATGAATGTGAAGGATTACGGATATTTTGGGCGAATTAGTATTATGTATTTTGTATTTTTTTTTCACTGTACATCTCAATATCATTGTATATTGATGATTACGGACTCAATTCTTATTACAGGAGACTTACCAGAGTTGTCCTACTTGATCAGTGAAGAATTCGTGAACCTGACAACAATATCTGTCAGTGAAACAACTAAAGGTGTATCTAGTTTAGAGAAATTCCAGTTTATAATGGACGAAACACCATCTCCGGCGATATCAACAACAGCTACGGCAGCAGAGGTAAGGATTATGCGTTTATACACCGTTGGCAAAAATGGAAATAATTGGGGGCGAGGGCCAGGGGGTCGAACGTTCTTTAAATACACCTTTTTGTCTCAATTTGTATTCGATGGCTGTATCATGGCTAAAGTACGATGCAGCATTCACTTGTGAACTTTGTTGTATGCATTGCCATTGGTATAGATACTGTCGGTTTTCACCATGTGATAATAATATTTTGGTATTATTGTAGGTAGAGGCAGCTTTAATAAGTATGTTCAGCGTCCAGTGCCCAGCTGTGCTAGGAAATCCAACTGGAACAACATTTTTTCAAGACTATGAGGGTGGTTTTAGTGGTAATTTCGGGTCTCCTGTAGCTAACATTGAACCATTCTGTGGTCGACGATCAGCAAGGAACCCGTATTTTGTGTTCTACAAAGGCGGAAATGATAAAAATGTTTTGGGAAAACCAATTTCACAATTCAAAGCGGTGAATCTTGTTATTGTCATCTTCATTATAATCCATTTCTTATCCACCGCACAATAGTGTCCTTGTTTCGTTCCTGTTCAGAGTAAATTGTTGAGACCACAATTACTCAGTGAGAAGGCTGCTTTAAATGACTGCGACAAGGCGTTTAAAGATGAAAGAGTGGTGCCACCATAGAAATATAAGTGCTATGGTATCATGGACGTCTTAAGATAGAAATGGGTCATAAGGTTCCAAGTGGCTTTTGATCCTGTCTCTAATCTTGTCCCTACTTCAGTTGGTCAAGTAGCACTTTTTGAAGCTGTTATAACAAGTGTATATGTATTTGTAGCTATGTATGGCATATAAAGGATATTTGACCAGTATTAGATTAAGGTATAGTTATGAAGATGGGGCAGGAGTTATCAGAAGAGCGGCTGCAACTTGGAGGATTTCTGCGGAGACACCAGATGAGTAAGTTTATAATTTGGTTTGATAGAAGTTACTTTTGGTCTGTCATCGCTATATATTGACAAATTGTGAATGAGGCAAAGCTTGATGGGTCATATCTTTCTATATTTTTTCCTTATAACCACTGCTACTTTGAGATTCTCTTTGCTACCTTTGCTCTACTGCGTTTAAAATATGTGCGCATTATACTCGAATGTTTACATTTCGTGTCGTTTCGCGTGTCTGCCTCTGTTTTGGGAAATAAATGAATGGGGTTTTACATCCTACATTCTACACTTGCAGGGCTAATTAAGACGAGAAACGAAAGTGTGCAATAAGGGAAATTTGTTAAGACAGCAACATTAGCGTACTCTTTTTCGATTTCCAACTGTTGATGGATCTATAACGTGCACAACCTGTAGCACCTCTTTTTGACTGACATCGGCATTTGTTCTTCGAGTTATTCATTTTTACTTTTCCATCTTTGGAACCCACGATGTATCCAACATCTTCGCTTTATTCTTATGCTCACCACATTTCATATGTTTTGTAGATGGGTGTTTTCATGCTATGATATGTTAGATATAGTGAAAGCTCAGCGACCTGATGGTACAGATTATCGTGCTGATTGGATCACTGTTTCTAGAGCTACTGATACTGATCTATACGTTGATAGTGTTTCTTTAGCTAGAGATCTACTGTCTACAGATCCAGGTAACGCCAATTTACTTTTATATTTACAAGATTTTTCAATATATCCAACCATCACTAATATCATTATGATCCAATTAACCCTGAAAATTCCTGACACGCCCACTAAATGATTGACAGGCACATGCTAATTGAAACAGCAGCACATCGTTACAGTTTGCAGAAAGAAAGTTTTGAGTTTTTATTTTTAGATAAAATAGATCAATTCGATATAAGGAATGATTATGTCGAAGCGGATCAGGAAAATAGATGTTAACATTACGATTATTGTATAATTTTAGATGTATCGAAACAAAGAATGTCCCCAGCCAAACCTAATGGAGCCTTAATAAGAGATGTGGACGTAACCAGTTCTTCTGAGGGAGTTTATGAGATCACGCTCGATCCTTATGAATGTGGGTACGACTTTCCATTGCTGCAGATTGCACATGCTCAGGTGGGTACTTGTAGTATATCTTGAAATTGTGTTGACCAAATACAAACTGCGTTTTTCTAGCCCTCATTTGTTAGTCATTCAAACTTCTACATACATTAACATGCAAGTAAATTTTTCGTCAAATTTCTAAATTAAATCTTATTTACCTTGGGTTGAAAGTTATCGTGTTGTTATGACATGCACTAGAAATAATGATCCTCGTGCGACTTTTGGGTAGAGATCACATTAAATAACAGAACAAAGTTTTATGTTCTGTTAATAGATGACTTCTGGTAGTGTGGATAAGAATAGCAGTGAAGCTGTATTTGGTATCTGTAATGGTGCCAGCTGTATGGAAGCATCTCTTAACAGAACCAGTATGGCGTCTGTTCCTATTGAAGGCTCATTTACAGTCTCTTTTAAAGGAGAAACTAGCCGAGGTAGGTCTTATTTTTGATCAGTTTCAGCAAAGATAATTACCAAATAAGAGCGGAAAGGAGATATAAAAACTACATTTTTTTACCAAACCTGCCGACCGGCCAGAGGGGCGTTTCTCGAAGAAGATAGATCGTCTTCTGTTGAGAATTTTACACTATGGATTATCTCGCCATTAATTTCGACTATATCACCGTGTGGTTAGGGGCTCAGTCGATGAAAAGTAGGATTTTTACATCTCTCTACAAATCAACAATTGATTCACAACTTTCTATTACAGCTATCCTACCAACCTCAACGGCTAAACAGGTTACAGAAGAGTTGGAAGCATTAGCAGAATTCGGTGATTTGGAAGTTACAAAATCTGGAGATTGTGCCAACTTTGGCTTTGAAATCAAATTCTTGAGCAAAGGTGGTGATCAGCCTGAAATCTCGGTAAAACAACATTTCCTTTATTGTCTTTTGAAATGCATATGAGATGTTGTGAAGCAAATAAATCTTTTGGACGACTCTACCATGAGCATTGGAAATCGCATACACGAGCGGAAAGCAATATGCCCGTGTGTAATAGATTTGTTTTACAGTATTTAAACATTTTGCAGGTTAACGGTAGTCTATTAACTGGTAGCAATGTCACTTCAGAGGTACAACAGATCCAAGATGGTGGCCAATGGTATGACACCATACCTGGTGATTTACTGAGAACCATGCACGACAAACCACAGGTATAATAAATATCACATATAATAAGTTTAACTACCCACGGGCGGATGAGTTGCATAACAAAATATGTTAGATTGCGTATTCCTCTACGGAAGAATGATGCATGCCATGTGGCACTTTTATATTGGAATACTTTATTCGATGTAATCTTGATATACATTATGAACGCTGCTTATACATTTTTCGTATGAGGTTTGATGTAGTAATAGATCCCGGTATCAGGCATCTGACAGCGATCACTGGTCAGATCACTGCTTGAAAACTAACTTTGTTATTCAAGGTACAAGTTTATATCAACAACCTACCGACTACCTGTGATGGAGACTGTAGTTTTGAATGGACCACAGAAAGTACACCACAGATAATATCTGTTAATCCCACCTCAGGTCAGTATTTATCATTGAATCTTATTTTTTGAACAAATTGGTCCAATGAAACATTTGGAAATGTGCAATGGAATTCCCTGAACGGATCTATATTCCAAACTTTCCAATTTCTGTCGTTGATGTTCACCTGTGCTGTGATGTTGCTCCCTCTACAACTGGAAGTGTGTATTCACTAAACTGATGATACTGATGTGTAGATTCCCTTATTTATAATTTCAGGTACACTTGCGCTCGGTACATCAATTGATGTCCAAGGATCTGGATTCGATGAAACAATGTCTAACAACAAAGTTATGATTGGCGGAGTGGCCTGTACCCCCACTTATACCAATGAAACTCATATAACCTGTGATGTTGGAAATGGACCAACCGGAATTCATGAGATCAAGGTCATGATTGCTGGAAAAGGGTGGGCTAGTGGTTCTGTCACCTTTGAGTATCTATCTGCTATTACTAACGTTGCTCCAGCTATTGGAAGTATCGGAGGTACGTTGCCGACATTTCTACTAAAGTAATTGTTACTGACTATGCCATGTATTACAATAGATCGAAATAGTTTGAGTACGGACATCAATGTTACGGATGTCTTTCACCAAATATAAACTAAACTCTTTTATTTACTAAATGCTGCTGCTCCAAATGATTAATTCGGGTTGCGTGGTCCGCAATCACTTTGATTGGATTTTTTGAGTCACAGAAATATGATTAGTTTTATAGTAGATGGGTAAGTTATGTGCTGAAGGGAAAACTTAGAAGAGATTAATACTAACCGTGCGTTTAGACGCCTAAAGTTAAGGCAGCTTTTTTTCGAGCCCGGTTTACTGTTATTGTTGAGCCGTATATTTAGATAAAGGTAAACTAAGCTCAATCAAACTTAGTTTAATGTAAAAGGGTTGAAAGAGTACAATGGTCCTCAATCTGTCTCATTTTCTCCAGGTGGAACGGTGATCACTTTAACTGGATATGGTTTTATCGATACTTCAACAGTTACTGTAGATGGTGCTGATTGTCCTGTGAGCTCTCTGGAACCTGGACAGATAGTCTGTACTACACCACAAGCGGTAAGTTATCCACAAACAAGATAATCCTTAAGCGACATATAAGGGTAAAATGAAATTTATTTATGGAACACAGATTTATTGAATACTACTCCTGAATATTACTGTACACGACGTTTCAACAATTTACATTATCGTCGTGATTACCATGATAAGGTAATAGGTACACAACCAATAATAGGATCTTTAATACCACATGGCTTTAAAGCAGGAAAATCGAAGTCAACTTCATTCGAACGGATGTACCCCTAAACAACACACTGTGTATATTCTGAATAAAACTAAAAATTAACAAATGAATAGAGCGATGTATTTGACTAAACCTCTGAGTAATGGCATTGAGGTTCTTAGCCCTATAGTGCAGAAAAAGTATAAATAGAATTCACAAATATTATTGAGCTATGCTAAGTCTCCGTACCAATGGATCCTGAATGATTGTCATTATTTCAGGCCACAACTGCTGGTGGTTTAGTAGACGTGCTTGTAGATCAGGAATCATCTTCCCTGACTTCACCTACTCAGTTTAATTATGATGCTTCCTCCACCAGTACACCAGTTATAACTTCAGTTTCACGGTATACTAGTGTTATTGAAGGTAGGCATACTTAGTCTTTGAATACCTTCTCGAAGGCATATTCAGCCCACCTACCAGTTTCAGTGTTAATAGCAAGGTTGCTCATGATTCTGGGGTTCGTGTAATGTTTAAGAGTTAGGTAATTCTTTGAACTTCGCTTGATATGAATACTTCCTTGAGGCTTATGAATATATTGCATCTCAGCGGTATTTGATAAACACATCAAGCATAAGACGGAGAACTGTCATTGTTTGAAAAATACGATATCCTCAAATGAAGCATACGATCGGGAATTCAAAGTTAGATTTTGACATAATTTAACGAATCGGATCTGTTTTGTAGGTGGCGAAACTATAATTATATCAGGAACTGGGTTCGGTGGTGCAGAAACATCAAGTGAAGCTTTGATGATTGGTGAGAAATATGCTGTTATCGTGTCCTATTCTGATACAGAAATAAACGCTACTTTACCTTCCAATAGACCAGGATCTTATCCACTACAGCTCTCTGTTGGTATTCTGGGGTTAGCTGACTTAAGGTATGTTATCCTACTGCTCGATCTGGCTCTTGCTGTCTTCAGCGATATTTACAGCATATGTACACACCACAATTGCTGTTTTTTCATAACACTAGGTATCGCTTAGGTTTATCACTTTTTGCTGTCATTCTTTACAAATGTCAAAAATTGCTTAATGTAGACTTGTATATGAACCTTCGCTTTCTTCAGTAAGGTTTCCTACCACAAAGGCATTGCTCTCTAATTTCAAAATAGGTGTAGGACTGTAAGACTATTACATTGGTTACGTTTTGGTGTAGACGGGTCATTATGTTTAATTCATTAATGATTTATTACAGAATAAACAACATCAGTAATATCATGTACACTCTCCAAATCACCAATATTTACCCAGCACAGGGTTCTTTGTATGGTGGTACAAGGGTAACAATTACTGGTGCAGGGTTTACAACAGATACATCATTGATAGATATCAAGTTTGGACCATTTGGTTGTGCCGTAGAAAGCGCTACCACCTCTAGTATTGTCTGTTTGATTGAAGACACTGGTATAGTCCACGAAATTACTAACACTGGTAAACATCCAGGTAAATTAATCATTTTTGTTATGTATTCAAGATTTATGAAAACTACTGATAAAACAGCAATGTTGATTTAGTATATAATAAATAAAGAGCACAACGATAATGACGATGTAAATTGTTGAAACGTTGTATGTAATAGTATGAAAATTCATTAGCTGCAACCAATGTATTACGTTATTTGGGATTTCGGGTTTCGTTTTGAGATCCGGATCATTAGTTGTTGTTTTTTTTATAATCCACATGGAAAGTATACCATAAAATTTGTGCTGTTGTTTATTGTAACACCTGTCACTTTAATTGTTGTATGTTGGGTGATGGGTTAGTGTGGGTTCGAGCCCTCTTCTAGAAAAGATAATTATTATGTCACTTCCGGTTCCAAAAATCCTAATTCTGTTAATTCTATCTTCAGTTCATGGATATGGTTACGCCTGGGAGCCCAAACATCTGGATGTGAAGGTTGGTGATAAGGTCAGATGGATCTGGAGCTATGCTAAATTTATCAACGGTGTTAAATCGTCGATCACACAGACTGTTAATGCCAGTACTACAGAAGCTGTTGAAGGTGGATTCTCTTCTGGTATGAGGGTCAAAAACGGTAAGGACATTTTGACTTGGTAAAATAAACCATTAGGTCTCAATATTGATTGAATTTGTTAATATGCTCAAGGAAAAATGTTCACAAGATATGCATTTCTGCTGACCAACAAATATTGAAAAATGCATATACAGTGGTGGAATATGTTAGATTAGCTTATCTATCTTTACCAATTAATTTTGGTCCTGTAAGGTGGCCATTATGTCTCGATCCTAAAACAGCGTACATGGCCTAGAATTGATATGCAGTAGTAGCATCTGTACGAAATTTAGTTGGATAAATGTCACCACTATAAAGTTTTTGATGTAGTAACATTTCGAATAATGAAGCAAAGTATACTTTCTATCTAGGATGCTGGGACAGTTTTAACGCTATTGATACCATTTGCTACATAATTAATGCTAACTCATTTGTTTTTACCAGGTGTATTTGAACATCAAGTGACAACAGCCGGGCGTGTTGATTACTGGTCGGGATATGTAGATGATTTTGATATTATTTACTATCGAGGAACTCTCCAGGTCGACTCTCTGATGTCTCACCATAAACAGTTGGTACTGACTATCGCAGGTCATGAAGCTCAGTATCTACCAGGTTAGTTGAAAGTTACAGCACCTCACGAAAACCCCCAGCGACCAAGATATTAGGGACGTACTTTAAAATACAACGCCACTCGTTATAAGTAATTCATGTCTTAATCTACAACTCCATAGGCACGCGTCAATATTTCCTATGATTATAACAAGAAACATCCAACCAGATTACATAGGCTTACAAGAGCTCATTGTCACTGACTTATCCCCGTCAACTGAATTAATTCTCCATCTATCTAATTACAGGCGGACCAGATCCTGCATCATCTGAAGAATGTCCTGGTACCGTTAGTGAAATTCCTGATTGTTCTGATGCAGCACCAGCACCTTCTGATGCTTCAACATTCCACTTTAAATTCTGGAGTTGTCTTTCACCGTCCGTCACCAATATGGACCTAAATGTTGGTACAGGCGATGATGAGATTATCCTGTCTGGAAGTGGGTTTGGTTCGAACGCTTGTGAGAATGAAATCAAGCTGGGAAGCTATGGTGGACTACAAGAGAACGTTACGTCTTCGTCTCTTACATTCAAAGTGGACCCGGCATCTGAGATGCCAATTGGTGTGAGACAGAAATTGTCTTTAAGAGTCAATAACTTGGGTAATGCCTTGATTGATCTTACCAACGCATCATCCGCTAAAGACTTCGCCTTACTACCATCGTCCTCCGGTTTATCTCCTTTAGTTGGATCGGTTAATGGTGGAACTAAGATGGTGATTTCAGGTTCCGGATTCCAAGGATCAACCTCAGATGTATCAGTCACTGTAGACGTGTACCAATGCGAGGTTCTGTCTGTCATGTACAATGAAATCGTATGCTCTACACCAGCTCTGTCAGAAGGTGTATACAATGTTTCTGCAATCATATCCGTAAATGGTAGCCCTTTCCCAGTGTCATGTACTGGCTGTATATTTGAATACTCTGAAAGCAGCACCCCGAATGTGACCGATGTAAACAATACAGTTGTGAACGGTCCCACAACACTTACAATTACTGGTTCAATGTTTAATGGCAGTATGGTCACTGTTATGATTGCTGATGAGATTTGTGCTGTCACGTCTTTCTCTGATACTGAAATCGTTTGCAATATCAACGGATTACCTAACGGCAATCATCCTTTAGAGGTGTATATTGGTGGGAAAGGTAAAGCAACGTCTTCAATAATGATCAGCAGCCCAGCTGATATCACCAGCATTGCACCAGCCATAGGAAGTATTCATGGAGGTCTCGATATTACCATTGCTGGTAATGGCTTTACCACTATAGATGATACGAGCGTCATGATCAACAGCCAGCCATGTCCTCTGAAGTCAGTGTCCGTGTCAATGATTGTATGTACTACTCCAGCCAATTCGGAAATGACAGCTGCAGTAGCTGTAACCTCCAACAGCCAAGTTTACACCGTTAGTCAAACGTTCGCATATGCCAATAACAAGTCTGTTGCGATTACTGAAATCAGTCCAGTTTCTGGATTTGCTGGTGATTCGGTTACCATAACTGGCACTGGATTCAATGGCGACCAGAGTAAAAACTCAGTCAGCTTCAATGGTGTTGAATGTACTGTTACAGCATCATCGTTAACCAGTATCACCTGTACATTAGGAAACGTTGCTGCTGGGCCACATTCTGTCATAGTGATGAACTCAGACACCGGTCTTAGTGATGATGATACAACCTTCACTTACCAAATGATTGCTTCTTCATTATCTCACATCTCAGGTAAAGTTCTTTTCTTATATTTGAATCTCAATATCAAATATCGTTATTTAGTTATCAACAATATTTAAACTTTTTCAAATCCACAGACTGACTATATGGTTTATATTTTCATTGTGTGACTGTTGTCAATTAATAATGGGTGTGCCTGGGATTTTTACTGGACTTGTGCGCTAATTCTATATCTCTAGCAGAATTTCCAATAAAAATATACTGTGTCAGATTGTAGTTTTCAATGATAAACATTTACTTCAATTTCCAGGTAGCGTAGCTGGAGGACAAACTCTGACGATCACCGGAAGTGGTTTTGTAACAGCTTCTATGGTGGTGACTATCTGTGGTGAGGCATGTGCGTTGGATCTAGAAGCATCTCAAACATCATCATCTTATGTTTGTATTACACCACCTTCCACAAGTAAGTTATGACCTTTTCTTTGGGACGGTTATCTCCCTTCATTCAATGATAATAGATGGAGGTTGATCTGAAGAAGTTTCCAACGGTCTCCTCCATCCGAGCTCGTTGTTAAAACCGGTAAAGGCACAAAAATACACGTTTTGAGTTTTACCGTCGTTCAAAAGTGATACCTCCAATACATCCTTGCATTCAGGTTACATTAACTGTTGTATATTGATCTATCTTACAGCTGTAGTCAGCTTAAATAAACAATGTGATGTAGTGGTACAACAAGATGCAATAACCCAGACATTAAGCTATTCCTACGACAATGCCATCACCCCTGAGATTACTGGTGTGTCACCTTCTCGAGGCGGAACTGCTGGTGGCACAAGGCTGACTATTACCGGAACAGGATTCGGGTAAGTCTACAGTTCTCTATTATGTGAACTACTTGCAATTCTGTTGGTGATCTCCGGTAAGCCCTGTCCCTTCCATGATAGAAAGACAAAGACCTGCAGGGAGTGTGGATATTAAATCAGCAATACCAATCATGATGATTAAGGAACGACAATCATCTCAGAGATGTTATATTTCTTTCTTATATTCATATTCCATGCAGGATAAAAACATTGACATAACTATTGTCAACAGTTTTTGCAGCTCAAAGAGACACGGTGTCTTAGTCTTCCGGCTATTCAATCAATTACTATCCATGTATTATTACAGGTCAATAAGTGCAGATATGTCTGTAACAATAGATGGTTATGTATGTCCAGTTGAATCTGTTAACGAAACCCAGATTGTCTGTATTACTGGTGCTGGTAAAAGTTCTGATACTAAAGTTAATATTGTTTTTGCTGAAATAGGAAACGCTAAACAGGTATGTCTCGGTACTGTGGTTTGATGCACCAATCCATTACATTTTGCTACAATTTGGTCAGGTAGCTTTCTGATCTTTTGGGCCATTCTGGTCCTCTAGATGCACCAATCCATTACATTTTCAACATGAATATAGATTAATGAATATATACATCGAAACGCTAGATTCATATTCTTTTTTGCAAGCCCGATAGTCCCAGTAGTATTACTTATAAACTAGTGCAGTAATCTATATAGACATTTGTTATCTCCACTGTCTTGTAACGTTTACCCATTCCGGTGTATTTTTGATATTATTACAGACTAGTGCAGCATTCTATTATATAGACGTTTGGTCCTCTCAGTACACATGGGGTAACAATCCACCACCGGTAGCCGGAGACCTAGTCGTTATCCCTGCTAATCAGACTATATTACTAGACACTGATACACCTGTATTGAAGATGTTGATTATACAAGGTAGGGTGATCGTCTTTTCAGAAATGTGCACAAATATCTATCAGAAGTTGCCCACGGTCCACTTCATTCAAGACAGCCAATAACCGTCTTTAATATTTATATGAGATTTCCAAGGACTCTGCGGCAGACGTCTTTCAGAAGTTGGTCAACTAGTTTAGTATTCCAAGAAGACATCACAATAGTAATCACTAACCAGCACTGATTTTACAAACTTAAACATTTGTTGAAACCTGAGTCCTGTTATTCTAATCGGTAATGGAAGTTGTTGATGAATCTGATTAATCTACAATGAATATTTATTACAGGAGGTAAACTGATATTTGATGAGAAAGATGTGGAATTCAGAGCGGAGTATATTCTGATCGTGGACGGTGGTGTACTAGAGGTAAGCAGGCATGAAAGGAAATGAAATGAGCTTTTACGTGTGATTGGGTGAATGGAAATTAGAAAAGCTGCGCTGTATGTAATTTGAGAGATTTTGCTAGGACAGTGAAATTTGTCTTCTATGTTTCACATTCCAAGTATGAAGGGGTCTAGAGAGGATTTTTCCAAAACAATCAACTTTTGATGAATTTTTCTACAACCATTTCTTAGGTGGAACACTCATTTAATTGTACCTGAAATTCAATAAACACCAAGGTTCATCAAACATACTGGACTCACTTATCCTTCACATTAGTTTCTTAAAGGTGTGCTAGGTTGACAATTTCTGACAAGGGAAGTAATCAGGTTTTTCACAGAACTCGACAACCACAACAATAACTAACTAAAACTCAATGATCTGTTGTTATGTTACAGGTGGGAACAGAAGAGAAACCGTTCGAACATAAAGGTATCATCACACTGTTCGGACATCAGAGATCCAAGGAGTTACCTATCTATGGAGCTAAATGTCTGGCTGTTAGAGAAGGAACGCTGGATTTACATGGTAGGTGTTTTTACACCTGTTCCAAGCATGAGGTTATGAACGTTCCGAGCCACAAAAAATATACATTTTCATCACGAAATCCTTAATCCTTTCAGATGAAAATTTTGATTAAATCAATTTGTTGCATTTTAAGAACAATTAAATTTATAAAATGTCTGGATGTAAAATTAATAAAAACGATACATTGTTAAAATATTAGAATCTCTTATCAGACATGTCCTCCGATTATTGTAAAAAATGCAATAATGGATATGGACATCATTCTTTCCAACATTCTTTTACACCAACTTTTCATTTCAGGCCGCCCTACTCACGTGACATGGACTCGGTTATCGGCGACTGCAGATGTTGGTGCTACTGAGTTACAATTACAAGTACCTGTGGAGTGGCAGGTTGGAGACTATATAGTTATTGCTACAACAGGTCATAGGCATTCGCAGAGAGAAACCGAGAAACGTCAAATAACAGCCATCAGCGCCGATAAACTGACTCTGACGTTAGATCAAGCTCTGGAATACAAACATCTGGGGATATCAGAGACATTTGCTGGTCAACAAGTTGATTTTAGAGCGGAAGTCGGTTTGTTAACTCATAATGTCGTAGTTAGAGGAAGTAGGCTGACCTCCTGGGAAGAGACTATTGAGGCTTGTCCTGATGGTTTCGACACCGGTGAGTTCGCCACACAGACATGCTTCCAGGGACGATTTGGCGAAGAGATGGGAAGTGATCAGTTTGGAGCTCAGATCATTATGCATCCTCCAAGGCGGGATGAAGATCTTGTAATTGGTCGATTGAGTTATATTGAAGTCAACTATGCCGGACAAGCCTTCCGTTTGGGACGATATCCTGTCCATTTCCATCTGAATGGAGTCATGTCGAAATCGTATGTCAGAGGCTTGGGTATTCATGAAACGTTCAACCGTGCTGTTAATGTCCACAACACCCACGATCTACTGATAGAACACACTGTCATCTACAATATCATGGGAGGTTCCTTCTTCTTGGAGGATGGTATAGAACATGGGAATATCTTTCAGTACAACTGTGCTCTGTTCACAAGATCGAGCTCATCTCTACTCAACGACGATGTCACACCTGCAGCCTTCTGGGCTACCAATCCCAACAATACCTTTAGACATAATGTAGCCGCTGGTGGAACTCATTTTGGTTTCTGGTATAGAATGGAAGACCACCCAACTGGCCCGTCCAAAACCTTTTCAGTCTGCCCTAAACATGTTCCAGTTGCAGAGTTCAGGAATAACACAGTCCATTCTCAAGGTTGGTTTGGATTGTGGATCTTCCCAGATTACTTCCCACGAGTTGATGGATCTTGTTCAAAGAGTGCTGCAACTACCCCAGCAGTATTTGAAAGTCTGTTTGCATGGAACAATGAAAAGGGTGCTGAATTTGTTAACTTTGGAGCTGCACAGTTGAAAGATGCTATATTGGTCAACAATGAGTTTGCTGGATTTGAAGGAAAACTGGTCAAAGAGTCACCTCAATATTCTGACGAAGGTGCCTTGTTAAGCGGAGGGCTGATTGTCGGTAAGAGTGATAATCTGGACATTGAGAAGGGTACCTGTACCACGGGAGGAACGGTTTTGCCATACAATAATGGATTCCACGTAAAAGATGTAACATTCGCTAACTTTGCCTCGAGTGATTGTTCGGCATTCAGATTCACGTCCATAGACGGAACTTGTACAGACAAGTGTGGTGGTTTCAGTTACAAAGTCAGTGGACTCAACTTTGAGAATGCGGACAGAAAAGTTTTATGGAGATGGTTACACGAAGGTTCTATCACTGACTTAGATGGATCATTGGCAGGACAAGCTGGTTATTCACTTGTACCCTCCATGGACACACTGGACCCTGCGAAATGTTCTTACCACGCCGAATCAAGTCTGGGCAGCATCAATGGAAGTCTGTGTCACTCAGATATTAAGTTCCACAGATTTGCCTTCAACAATATCCGACCTACATCTCTAGAAGGGAAGGAAGTGAACATGACGAACGAGTTCGGATCTGTGACTGCACCCTTCATGACGAAAAGGATCTCCCACAAACCTGGTTGGGTGATCATTTTACCAGGAGAACAATCCTATAAGTTTGAGTTTGTAAATGGTGAACAGTTAACCAACACCAGCTTTACTGGAGTCTTTTACCAATTTGAGGTGAGAATCCTTGTTTATTTCTGCCCTTGTTCTTGAATTGAAATGACTGTTTAATTATGTAAACTCTTGTAACGCTCACTGAAATTATATAACATTAGTAATAACACGCAACCATTTTAATATTTACGTGATAGCGGCTACGTCCGAAAAATACGATATCGATACAACACTTTGAGTGTTTTTATTCTTTATTCTTAAATCAAAATCAAATTTTTCCTGTTACAGAATTCAGAAGCTATCATCATGAGTCAGAAGGTTGATAAGAAGCCAGATAGGTTTATAATTGATGGATCCACACCCCGTGTTCAATCTGAAACAGCTCTGAATGTAGCATCTAACATTGATGGTGACTGGAAATATGATTCAGTTGAGCGTACTGTCAGCTATGTTGGTACGTATTCTTTTTCTCTCCACTGTAAAAATCCATCAAGTATTCCCTCTGAAAGTGTCGATTTACTTGGTTTTATGTTGTAGTCTAAAATATTGGTTAAGTTCAAACTAAAATCCAAATCAACCCACCTCTCTCTCTTATATTAATGTGAAGGTAACACTTCTATCCATTACAGCATTTTAGACATTCACATCTTAATTCCTAATGATTGTCATATTACATTATGCTTTGCCAAAAGTCTATCTGAGATATGATGTAACACACAGTAAGTAATTCTCAACTATATTTTAATGTAAAACTTCAAAACATTCAGAACCATTGGACATGAAAGTCAATTGTAAACTCTTTCTCTTTACAGTATCTGGTAACAAAGGTGAATCCCGTAAGAAGAGAGCAGTCATAACGACGTCTGATGATCGTAACTATAATTTGAAAATCATCAAGTGTTACTACAAGGATTGTATTCCTCCGCCGGATGTTCTGGATGTCTTCACCACACCCAATGTCACGTACAACTGGTCTGATCCCGTCACATGGGAAGAACTGGATAGACCCAAGCCAGTAGAAGGTGATGACGTCACCATTCCTAGAGGTAAAAACTTTGGTAATACGAGTATATGATAATGCAAAATATACACTATAAAACTGATTGTGGAACTGCACACAGGAATGAAAGTGTCCGTTATACATTAGACTTGTGACAGGTATCATAACTAATTCCATCAAAAATACAACTTTTTATGACAAAATAAGAAAAAATAAATGCTATAACATGATTTAGGTTTAGGAAATATATGAGTGGTAAAGTTTGAGACCAAACAATAGTATTTTTCAGATCTCAATTCTGAGAGGGTACTTTTCCACTTTTTATTGTATTCTTCTAGTAGTATTTGATTTTTGATTTCTTTGTTGTTTTTATTAACAGATTTCTGGATAATCATGGACGAATCTCCACCTAAACTTGGCAAATTGAATGTAGAAGGAGGTCTGGAGTTCCAGAACGACGCAGCCAGTGATTTGGTACTGGAGGCTGATCTGATCTATATCAAAGGAAGATTCGTGGTAGGTTGGGATCACACACTGTTTGAAGGGAAAGCTGAAATAATCCTGCACGGGAATCAGAGTGTGCCAGCCTATCCTGTAAGTGATGGACCTGCTCTTGGCTCAACATTCATTGGTATGTTTTTAATTTTAATTCCTTTGTTATGAGTGCCCAAAAAGCCAAAAAGTAGAGACTAGATTTTACTTACTGTTCAATGACTCTATGTAAGACTAAATGATCTGTAAATGCCAAATATGTAATTGGTGCTACTACCATGGTAATCTATTTTCAAAAAAGAGTATAAAGATCAAACTTATGATATATTTCATTTCCATATTTACAGCTGTATTTGGAGGTTTGGAAGCTCACGGATTGGATCACGGTGTACAATGGACACGATTATCAGAAACGGCGAATGCTGGAGGGAATCAGATCAAACTACAGGAAGCTGTAACGTGGGCAGTAGGAGATGAGATAGTTATAGCACCAACATCTTACAGTGTCTGGCATACAGAAACTTTCACTATAACTGCTGTCTCGGCAGATATGATGACTTTAACTCTGAATTCATCATTAGCATTTAACCATATTGGTGAGTTGGTGGTTTATAGTCTTTTTCTACGTGATATCTCTCTTGGAGTGGACAAACTTTTTTAGTATTTTTGTTAAGGAGGGGGAGGGGGCAGTATTTTTACTGTCGTAAAAGATTGCTCATTTTCCCAATATATTTAATTCTATTTCAAGACCACTGACACATTAAAATTAATCTCTGTAGTCATATCGGCGATTGTTTTAAGACGATCAGGAGTGTTTAGTCCCATCCCCTATGTACACTTTTCTAGATTTTAAAGAAGCATTTCTTTCTAATCTAAAACTTTCGGCGTTTTTTTTAAGATACGGAGACATGTTTAGTTGCATTTGTCCCATCTATAAAATTTACCGAGCTTTGGACTAACGTTTTTGTTTTATTTTCTAGTATATTCTGAAACACTGGCAACTGGACAATCATATACATTGGCAGCAGAAGTCGGCCATTTAACACGAAACATTAAAATACGAGGTGCACAGTATCCCGCTATGGAGGACGAATCATTTGGAGCCAGACTGGTTGTTGGTAGAACAGCAGAGAGCACTAAATCTTATGTCGGTATGTACTCGACTTAATTTCGTTACCATAACACTATTCGATTTTGGATAAAAACGAAAAAACAAATTGTTGGGAAGTTTTCACAGATTGTTGAAAATGATATCAAAAAGTTAATTATTTTGAACCTCTTCCTGATTTTTGCTATGCTCCCTTTTCATTGAATCACACGTCAATAAGCACAGTATCCACATGCCCCATTTTGCAGATTTGGAGTCCCTTATATAACCTATAACCCTTTAAGATGCAGCTATATCATTTTGTACATGAATTCCAGTTTACATCGGATTTTGGTTACATAAAACAACAATTTGATCACAATTTCTGTACCTTCTCCTCCACAGGTTTTGCTCGTATCTCAAATGTAGAGTTTGTAAACACTGGGCAGGAAGGTTTCACTGACTCGTACGATCCTCGCTTCTCCGTCTCCTTTATGGACGTGGTGATGAAGCCTGGTATGCCATCCTACATCAAGATGTCAGCTTTCCATAATGGATTCTCACCAGCTATTGGTGTATTTGGAACTAATGATCTACTGGTGGAGAAGAATATCGTCCATCGTACTGTTGAATCTGGTAAGATTTCCATTGATAACTTCAGAAAATAACTGATATCGTGCAATGCAGTCAAATTGCCTCATATGATGTTTAACTGTTATGTATTGGTTTATAGCATCGCACGTTAACGTCAGATGATACGTGCCTTTTCATAATTTGTCAATGGTATTGTAAAGTCAAATCATCTTAATTGCAGGTCATGATAATGATAAAAAGCCGGAAGTGTCCAATTGGGCATTTTGGATTATGGACTTCTTTTATGAAATATTCTAAATATATAATTAATATAATTTTGTCTTCAAGGTATCATATCTAACTCTGCTAGAACAAGTATCAAGGGTAACCTGTTGCTATTGAATCAATGGTCTGGTAGCTACCAAGACAGATTTGAAACCAAAAACATTCGTTACCAAGGAAGTATTGAACTTATTGATGCCATTACACCTATCCTGATAGATAATGTTGTGGCTGGTTCCGAACGAATCGGTTATCACGTTCTTGGTGAATCTTGTTCTGGGTCTGGAGTAGAAGCTTGGTCCGGTAATCAAGCTCATACTAGTCTGATCGGCGTGGGTATACTTCCCACTGATCCTACATTGAGTGCCTCCTGCGTCCAATTCTCTAATTTCATGGTGTGGAAGAACGGTGATTTTGGTATCTATTATAACAGTGAACGTAGTGTAGAAGTCAAGGGAGTTGTAGCTGCTGACAATCAAGTCGGAATCTTCACCTTCGTGGTCGGTCCGTCAGCCGTGGGTCATGTGTTTGGTGACAAGATGGCGGCGATAGAAGACACTCTAGTTATTGGCCACACACCATCGTTTGACTGTGCTGTGGATCGTCTTGACCCTACTGATGCTAACGTAGAGTTGAGTGAACAAGGAAGAAGTTTTGGTAATGGAACGGGCGGAGTTGTCGGTATGTCCACCACGACGTTTAACCAAGGATCCAATAATGCTCCAGAGAAGAAGTTTATCAACATCATGGCCTATAATTCTATTAATGGCTTGATGACAATTGACAGTAAGTATATATTTTACCTTTCGCAGAGCAATAAATACATCATTCGGAACCTTATCACACTGTCCAGCTTCGACCCATTTAACTTCCGCTTAACAGCAATTAAAAAACAAATACACTTAACTTGCGTTACGTGCCCCGTCACACTTTCAAAATTTACAATGTCAAATTGAGTATTTCAGAAGGCATAAATAGAAAAGGTTGGAATAGTTCCAGGCTTGAAAGTGTAATTTTGTTAACATGTGTATCGTTATCCATTATTTTCAGATGTAACGTTCGCCAGATTTGCCCAATATTGTAGTACAGACTATGATTACTGTATCACTACCAATCCTAGTAACGATGATGCTCACCATCCTACAGAAACCAGTAATCTTAGATTCACTCAAGTAGGAGAGGATAATAAGATATATTTCCATATACCGAGTGTAAGGTAAGCAGTCGAGATACCATCAACCCTTCCACAGAAATACAATACCTAAGGGTATATGGCTTTTCTAACACGAAAACCGCCACTGTACATTTATCAATATCTATACACACACACAAGTTGTTAGTATTTCCGATTATCTATTGCAGTAAAATCAACTCTGCTGACTGTGTTGACATGGATTGCGATGGATTAAAGAAGAACTTGATAACAGATATAGACGGTAGTTTACTTGGTACTAATGGCACAGTAATAGCTTGGTCTGAATATCAATGGGATGGTGATAGACGTCGTGGACTAGGTGATTACAGAATACCAAATGTCTTACTCAGTGATGGAAATGGTGACTTACGTGATGTTTCAGCATTTGCTCCTAATAAAGGTAACGTTGAAACCTTGATTTATATTCAGAATATTATTTTGTCGGTTTATTTGCAAGCCTCCTTTCACTTCAGTGAGTTTGAATCCTATCTTCGTTGTATGTAAACCAGAATAACTTACGGTATAGTTATTATCGATGTAATGCGCTTCCATGGCCCTTCCTTTCAATTTTCATGGGAAAAGCATCCAATCATTTTACAATAAACCAGGGACCTGTATGCTTAACGCTGCTGAGTTCAAAAATACCTCGGCAGATGGAAATCGAAAAGAAGTAAAAGTTGATGCCACTATTGATGCATAATGTCCTTCGATGTACAATGTGTGGCGTTGTCTTCATTAACCCAAATCAGTAGAAATTCATTCATTTATTACCTCAGGTTTAATAAGAAACGATCAGTGTATATTCCATGATTACTGGCGAGCCTATGAGTGTCACGATATTGAGCATAAGATCCTGATTATTGAGAATATGGACGAAGATACAGAACTCAGAAGAATTTCTCCAGTCGCTGTCTTGAGCGAAGGGTACCTAGATTTGATCAATGGACCCCAGGATCATGGCTGGTGTAGTGGCTATACTTGTCGTAAACGAATATCAACATTCCAAGCTATGACTGCTATAGGTGAGTGATTGATATCTATATCATTTCAGTTGGATCATTAGGGATGTATAATATGATCTGCATTATGCCCATATTAGAACTATTGTGCAAGAGAGATTTGAAATATCCAGAGTGTCCATTTACATGGTTTTTAACAAAAAACTTAGTTGAAATGTTAGCGACACCTATCAGACCTGTAGCCAGACCTGATTGTTGGGAGGGACAAGTAATACATCCGGAGGGGGCAAGGGTGTATGGAATTTAGTTGTAGTAATGAAATGGGTCGGTGGTGCAGAGACCGCTCCCCCTCCCCCCCCGCCTCTTGAATGAAGAGTAAGATTTCCTTTTATCTATGGGCTAACTAGACTCATTTACCCACACAAAACACTAAGCGAAGTAAAAGCAACCTGTAATTTAAACAAATTTATACAATAGTGTCTCCAAACATTTTACCTAAACGTCAACATACCAATTCATTTCAGATAAATTCCACGATATTTATTTCACTGGAACAACCCCACAACATCTGAGGTTTTATTTACTGGATACAGAAAGTACTCAGGGTATCCGAGTCGGAGTTTGGTACGCTACGCCTAACAGACTGGACGTACATGTGAATGGTCAGTATGTTGTGCCTAACAATGGAGAAATGAAAGATGGTAGATTGGTGCTGAAACCGTCATCGACGTCTGTGGAATTCATGCCAGCAGTCTCCCAACCATCAGGATCAAATTATGTGAAAAGAGACGAAAATATGATGTTTTTCGTCATTAAAGGTTCTGATCGTATTGATATTACTCTAGCCTCAGTCGTTGTCGTGAGTTTCAGTTTACCAGAAATGACAATTGATGAGTTCTTTGGAGAAAACCTCATCCAAAACATGGCTGCTTTCCTTGGTGTTGATCCCAGGAAGGTTCGTATTGTGGATGTTGTCAGAGAAGACAGTGGTAGCAGACGCAAAAGACAGACTGGGTCCATAAAACTGATCATAGAAATTGGCGACGAACCAGACGATCCAAATCCCTTACCGTTTGCTACTTTAGAAAAAGCATCGGAAGCAATTGCAGTTGAAGCACAAGCTGGTTCCTTTGATACTATTGTCAACGCAACAGTATTAGGGGTGTCGACCATAGAACCTACACCGCCATTGACAGACCCCAACTGGGCTAATGCCACTAAAGAAGTGGTAGAACGAGAAGTTGTGAAGGTTGACAGTATGGAGTTTCTTGAACCAGTCGTACCGGGTATTGAACAACAGATTATGGCAACTGCACCCAGAATTGAAGTCTTTGATGTAAACGTAAGTATAGCTCATTTTCGGATTTCAATCTGCAATATTCATCTACTACTATACAACTTCTGTGCAATCGGGATTGTCACCTCAATATTCATCCTTAAGGATCTATATATTTATTTCTTATAATCGTGTTCATGTATATTATAGGCAGTTTTCCGTTGTCCTCGTTGCATTATACAGCCCAGGTTAATTGGTACCTTCATTCTAAGAAAGAACTTACACGAAATTCGATGTCTTGAAAATTGCTCAATACTATTTGGTTTGCTATCTGATAAATTGTGGTTCGTTCTATTTTCAGAGTAACCACATCACAGAGTTGGGAACAGCAAGAACACCATGGGTGTTAACAGCTTCATTGAGACCCAATACAGGTAGCAACCCTAGTGCGAGATTAAATGGAATGAAGACCTTAACCTTTGTAGATGGTTGGGCCAACTTTACTGACCTATCGATCTCTCACCCTGGTACAGGCTACATCGTTGATTTCAAGGTTACCTCCCCTGCCGGTGCCAGTAATATGGTCCTCTCGACTCCCAATTTAACTGTAGCAGCCAGAGATGTCAGCTTTGATATGGTGTCTATCGCAAACAGCGAGGAAGATCGTCAGAATCTGACTGTAATATTGGAACTACTGGATATGGATCAAGAGTCTGTGCTATCAGACATCAGCTGGAGAGTAAGTTTTCACATGTTTTTTTTCTATATATGGAAGACGTAAGGGACTTAAATGTAATGAAAGGGAACCGAAATAAACTTCTGGACTAAATTACTTAGTGACTGAGGAAGGATACTGCCTTCTACTACTATAATCAAACCGCAAACATACCTTCAGATTATTATCCCCAATGCAATGTACTCCCAAATACCATTTAGCATTGTTTTCAAACGGGTATGCAAACGGTTCTCCAGTATTATATTAAGATAAAGAAGGCATGACAGAATCAACCTTGTGATCCACAACAATAGTCAAATTAGTCTGAATATTGTTGACATTTCTTGTCATATTTACTGTCATATTTACATGTTATAATTATATATTTTCAGGGACAGACCTGGCATGCTGATATCTCTGTTCTCGGAGGCCGTGGTACGCTGAGTGGAACAACCAACATGACCTTTGACCCCGCCACATCCAGAGCTGACTTCCAGGACCTGAGAGTATCCTCAACTGGATCATATGAACTGGCTTTCAATGTGTATTCTGAGCCAGCGGAATATGACTTTACTATTGAAACAAATATTAGGGTTTCTAAGAACGGGCCCTTAACTGTATCTGGTATGTATCTCTTTTTTTAATGGAGTTTTACGTCTGTTTGTTTTTGAGTCGTATAATGCTTCTGAAAAGGTTCAATTGTTCCATCCCCATGCAATTTTATACTCGTATTTTATGATCCTCACTTTCATCATTCATCACCTGTGTTTCTAAAATGAAAGGAGATTTACCAGCTGTTGTAATTTGACCTGATAGTAACATTAAAGTGACCACGCCTGTTGTTTCAGCACTTTAATGGTCATAGAAAAAAAATAGAGTTCCCCTGCAGCACTACAAATTGTCATTAACTGATTCATAAAATTGATTTTTTTTTCTTTTTAGGTGGAAACAATGGTAAATTATCAAACTTGTTGGCTAAAATCCGAGGCCTCTTAAAGGCATTGAAAAAAAGTGACTTGAAGCCAGCAGCTAAGGCGAGACTAATCGCCAATTTAGAGAGATTAAGAATGGAAGTCAAGATTGAAAAGGCCAGAATGAAGGCAAGACAGAAAACAGCCAATTTACGCACAGATATGGTAAACTTGAGAAAAGAACAGGGAAAGTTGAGAGCAAAACAAGCTAAAGAAAAGGCACAGGTGAAGTCAGAACAGCTTAAACAATTGGCAAAGTTAAGATCAGAAACACAACAGTTGAAAGCCACACAGATAAAAGAACACCTAGCGATGGAGGCCGAAATAAGAAAATTAAATGCACAACAGAGAAAGAAAGAGAACCAGCTTAAAGCTAAGCAAAGGGCTGAGATGAATGCTCTTTTAGCTCAGATTAGAAAAAACCAAAAAAGTCAAAAGAGTCAAAAAGGTCAGAAAGGTCAAATAAGTCAAAAGGGTCAAAAAGGTCAAAAGGCCAAAAAGAACCCAAAAAGCCAGAAAAGTAAAAAAGGCCGTAGGGGTAAAAGAAGTCCAACATTAAAACCTACCACTCCAGCTCAAATGAAGGCCAAACATATAAAGGAAATGACGAAATTACAAAATGGGTTTAATAAAATGATGTCCAAACTCAAGACACAAAAGTCAAAGATGATGTCTAAGCAGAAACAAGCATTGCTACAGAAGGATTTCGAAATGTTGAAATTAAAGGCACAACAAGAAGCCGCCTGGAAAAAACTCATTGAAAAACAGTCGTCTCAAATGGCTAAATTAACAGCTAAGATGGAAACAATACGTAAAAAACTGGCAGAAGTGAATAAAAACTTGAACGCAACGATACGGAAGCTGAGGGGTTGAAGAAATGGTGTTATCTATGAAATAGAAAAATTGGATGTCGACCAGAAAACTTACAAATAACAAAATGACTCGGAAATGTATGTATTTTACTCTAGATTATCTATAATATATCATTCTGCATACAAACATGTGTATTTTGTTACTTAAAGTAGTTGTCCCATATAGATCTAACTCTGGAACGTTCAGTTATAAAGTATATATATATTTTGGCATAACAGCCATGAGTATTCTAAACAAGGTAAAAACGTTCACTGAGATATTTTTATCTGGGACGTCTGTCGTCTTCTTTAAATCCTGGTAGCTTAATGTTAAATATATCGCACTGAATATAGCAACATCACTACCAATGCGAATCCCAAGAAAGTGCTAACAGAACACAAAACAGGAACCATTGCTAAGGGGTGGGACGGGGGTAGTGGGTGGGGTGGCTAAAAAGTATTTCTACCTCCGCCATGAATCATACTATACAGATGAAGGCTGAGGTAAGTCTTGACTGACCTCCCGGGTCAAATAGTCTCCCCCTGGGCTATTAGACTATGCTATCAAACACATAATGCCTTCAAATGTTCCGGTAATGTCTAAACCACGCCCCCGTTCATCATGTCAAAACCAGTATTCGGAATACGATGCGGTTGTTGTTTTATCTTTCCCTACCCATTAACATAGATTCTTGCAGTCAAACTGTGTTTGAGGTGGGGATGTGGACTGGCAAGCTCAAAGATCCTGTTATATCCCCAATGTTATTACACTTCTGGAAACTAGGACCCCGTTCCACAAAGATCTTACGATAAGAATTTGTCGTTAGTTTCATTTAGAAATACTACATTTACGACAAAATTTATCGTAAGATTTTTGAAACGGGGCCTAGATGTATAACGTATTCATAAAATCACCCAGCAATATTTGTGCATATAAAATATTAAACGGCTCCTCCAAAACGTTACGGCAGTTTTGCAGCTTTGCACCCAACCCCGCACGCCCCCTCCCCGCTTCATATTTCTAATCATTGTATAAAGGAATTAAATGTGAGCCCGTCTTTAAAATTCTGTGGCCCATACTCAAATCCCTTTCACAATGATTTATGTTATTATGATTATAACGCCACTGAATATGTGAATGATCTAACCATATCTCTGTGGGTCATGTCTTGTCGAAATACCAGGTAGAGCAACGTTTCGTGGAAACATAAAAATGCATACCCTGATTCTACATTTTACTTTTGATTACTAATACACCTTAAAGACATATAGTCGTCTAATTTCTCTCTTATCAGCTAATAGAATTTAAAGGCAGCTAAATATATATCTTTTCGAAATGTAAAGCCGACGATCAAATGTAGATGGATAAACATTCTTGTAGATAGGTTAGGCCGGCATTATATAGTAAAGTGAAACACAATAGAAATGTGTAAATGGTTTGGACATAAAGCTGAAGATGAATGGCTATACACAATACATAATATATAAATACTGCCAAAGCAGGTTAAGCTCATCCTTAAGTCCCCTCTCTGAAATTGAAGTGCACATCCAGTAAGGCTATTAGACATCTATCTATTTTCAAAAACAGCTGAATGTAACAGAGACTTTTCCCTTTTCAAAGGAATGTTCCATGCCACAGGTATGTGTTAAATACTGTTTCCATACTTAATATAAGTGACGAGTTGTCAAAATTGTAAACATATCAAAATATATATTAAATCACTGTGACCTTATTTCACTGTTTAATCCTTCGAGTGGTGTAACATTGTCCGTACGCGTGTACTGTTGTCTGGGGTATCCAATGAAGTAGAAACCGTTGATGTTTCTCTGTTGGATGACGGACTAAAAGCAGCTCTAAGTCACGTCAACAATAGAAATGTGGTATTTTTTATCTCTATTACTGGCTTTGTCAGTATCGTGTGAAAACTTTCCATTCATGAATCCAAGTCTGCCGTGGGAAGAACGAGTGGAAGATCTTCTCGGACGATTAACTTTGGACGAAATACAGGATCAATTGGCTACGGGTTCTGGACCATCACCTAACATCTCTCGACTAGGGATTGGACCGTTTCAGTGGTGGAGTAACTGTGGACGAGGAGATGTGAGGGCTGGGAATGCTACTTCCTTTCCAGAATCTTTGGGATTAGCTGCTGCATTCAGGTACAGTGGAACTAGTTGATGTTACATGTATTTCATTTTATTGACATAGAGCTATTTCATCTTAATGCACTAACGACATGCTCAGTAGAAGGTGGAATTTCCATAAGCCACAATTACTGCTCAGATTTTTTTGGCTAATGAAGGCATGAAAAGATTGATACTGTATTTTTTAGTCCAGAACTATTGTTCGATGTCACCAAGGTTACCGCTTTGGAAACCAGGGCCAAGAACAACTATTTTGAGAAGCATGGAAAATTTGGTATCCATCAGGGGCTGAGTTGTTTCAGTCCAAATCTAGATATTTACAGAGATGCCCGATGGGGGCGAAACGAGGTGAGTCAACCAGTGCTATTCCTACACTTTCAATTCAGCATTCCATTTATTTAAAAGGGGGCTGTGGTTGTATCGTCGATGTGGTAATGTTGATCGATGATTAACTTCCAGATGTTAGAAACGATAGATGCTGTGTCTTGAAAATTCCAGGCCACTTATTCTCAAAACGATCTTGGCGCTAGGATGTCCTAGGTTCTTATCTTCTAACATTGATTCTAGGACATCCTAGGTTCTTATCTTCTAACATTGATTCTAGGACATCCTAGCATTTTGAGAATACGTTGCCAGGTTCAATGCCACAAAAAATTTTAACAATCAATTCTAAATTATTTTATAGGAAACATGGGGTGAGGACCCATACATGGCAGAGATATACGCTCGAGCATTTGTTACTTCTCTTCAAGGAGACGATCCTCGTTATGCTTTAGTTACAGCGACCTGTAAGCATTATACTGCTTCCGGTGGTCCGGATTCATACCCTGAGAATAGGTTTACTTTTGATGCAAAGGTATGTAATATTGTATACTATTCTATAAAAACTGGGTAAAAGCTGATGATAATATTTAAGAGTATTTGCTATAGTGGCAAGAATGTACAGAATGGCATACGGTCTGAATGAAAATTTGAATAGTGCAAATCGACGCTATCAGTGTCCCCAATACACATAAAGGGTTAGAAAACCTTCTTATATACCCGTTTTGTGTGCATTTCCGTGATAGCTTTATATACATGCTAGACGACAATTCAAACTAGAATATCTGCACTTGTTTTACTCTAGATGACAGGTCAAACTCAAGCTTTCAGCTGGTTTTTTTTTCAATACTATATTTTTTTCGATCTCGGCACCACAGTCTGATGAGCTTCATCAATACAGTTTTTGTCATGTCTTCAGGTATCAATGCGAGATTTACAGATGACATTTTTACCAGGGTTTAAGGGGTGTATTGATGCTGGTAGTTACGGACTACTCTGTGCTTATAACAAGTAAGTGCGGTGAGTTCTGTACTGCTGAACAAGGCATGTTAGTTGGTGCCACTTTTGGTATTATTTCACTTTGGCCTCGCCTCGCCCCGTTGAGTTATCGACCTGAATCTTGACAGAAAGGTACTTATATATTTGTTCAATGTCTTCACTGCAAATTGTAGACAAATTTTACGTTTCTTCAAACTTCAATATTCAAAGTATTTTTGCGGATAATAGCACAGTGTCCATCATTGTTTTCAAGGATTAATGGTATACCAGCCTGTGCTAATAAAGAGACATTGAATGATATATTACGGACTGACTGGGGATTTAAAGGATATGTTATCAGTGATGTAGCGGCTATCGAGAACATGATCTTCACTCAACATTACTACAATAATACAGTCGATACGGTGGCTGGTAGCATCAATGGGGGCTGTAATATCAACGCTGCGTCCAACTCTCAACCTAATCATACCAACGCTTATTATTCTATGGGTAAGTCAAATTCGTAACCTTCAACATATATATTGTAAATAGTTGTAACTATTTAAATAAATTTCATCATCATCATCTGTATCTACAGCTTCGCCAATCGCCAAGATTAGCGGAGTCATCAATATGTTCATCATTCGTCGCCACCATGCTCAACATGCCTCGTCATTCGAAGTTATAGCCCAAATAGCTATATCGAACCATCCCCAATAACCATAGTCGGTAGCATCCTGATTTCCATCGTTATCATTGTCGTCGTCGACATTTACAGACCAATCACCATCATCATCTTTTCCATCATTTTCCTCGTCGTCGTCATCATCAAACTTGATAGCCTATTAATAATCATCGTCGCCACCGCCATAATCCTGGCAAGCTTCTTCGATCCTTCATTATCACCATCAATACAATACCATACCATCGTTATCAACATTATTAACACCATTGTCCTCGTCGTCAATCCATTCTTAAAATCCATAATCATTGTCGTGACATCATCCTCATTCGCAATATCACCATCGTCGACACCGACATCGTTTTCGGAGTCATCATCGTCACAAACATCAAAATGGTTGACATCTTTTTCAGTTCAGGCTGTACGAGAAGGTAAACTAACAGAACAAACAGTTCGTGAATCCATGAAGCAAACGTTATATACTCGATTCCGATTGGGTGAATTCGATCCCCCAGGGATGAATCCATACAAAAAATTGGATCCTTCAATCATCCAATCTCCAGACCATCAACTCTTGTCTGTAGAAGCTGCACTGAAGACGTTTGTTTTGTTAAAGAATCGAGGAAATTTCCTTCCGATGAAGCAAACAAAGTATGACAATGTAGCGGTAGGTTTATTTATACTCGTTCCCGAAGTCCAAATCTTTATAATTTCTACTAATTTTTGTGGTGTCGGCATTGGTCATGTTCACTAATCCACAGCTCCTGATAACTTGTGTTGTAGCAAATAGAAGAGGCATTTTCAAATACACAATTTGTTTCTATTCACCGTATCTCGCCTTTCTTCAAAGTATTAACTAATAGCAATTTAACCCAAAACCAATAAATCGAGTATATGAACCTCTAGAATCAAGAGTTTCAAAGCAATCTGTTACCATAAATAGGCCCATGTGGTATTTTTTTCTTTTCTTCAGATCATTGGACCAATGATAAACAATCCAAAAGCCCAGACCGGAAATTACTCTCCTACCATCATGCCTACCTATACCACCACCCCACTGGAAACTTTATCTAAATATTTAGCTCATTCTGTCACATCAACTAATGGTTGTCTTGGTGATAATAATTGTTTACAATATAACCAGACGGCGGTTATTCAGGCCGTTCAAAACTCTGATGCCATCATCGTCTGCCTTGGTTTAGGTAAGGCTGACCTTTGCCTTTGCTTCAAAAGAAGCTTAAATACTGTAGTGTAAACTGTGTTTTATCCTGACAAGGCCTCAGGAAGCGTAATACTGATCACCAAGCATCATTAACGGGCAGCTTTAGTGCTCTAAAAACAGTTTCTCTCAGTTTCTGGCATCAGTGAAGCAAACAAGTGACAGAATCAACTCACAACGGAGGTCTGACTAGGCCTATTAAACAGCTAAAGCTATTGAATGATGATAATCAATTTTGATCACAGGAAATGACGTAGAACAAGAAGGAAATGACAGAAGAAATATATCTCTACCAGGACATCAACTGGATATTCTGAAAGATGCTGTAGCACATAGTAAGTGAGAAAAGTATACATAAGCCTACACAATTTTAAATGCCATCTTCTTCGTCAAAATCATTAAACTTTGTGCTTTGTAATGTTACCGTTGACATCAACTGCACTAGTATCGTCTTCAAGAAAGCACCAGGTCCAACTGTCGAGTGTTCGGGGTTCAAAGGATTGTATAGACTGTTGAGGTTTTCATGTTTTTATGACTTGTATTTGCATCATTCCAATTTCTCGTTAAGATGTATGTTGTGTCTGTAATAATAGAAATGCTTAACCGTATATGAAATCAATATCGCAAATACGTCATAATACGCTCTGTTTTAGTGGGATTGCAAGAACCACCGTCGTTTGACTCTTAAACCACCAATTAATGTTTCCAGTAGAAAATCTATCGTTTTCAATAAAATTGTGGTTTGTAGGTCCAGCGTCTACCCCCATCGTTTTGATAATGTTTAATGGTGGAGCAGTAGATCTGCGATGGCCCGATGGTGAAGACCGTGTAACTTCTATACTGGAGGTGTTCTATCCATCACAAGCTACTGGTAAAGCTGTGTACAATGCCCTGGTGATGGGCGGTGGTAGTTTGAGTGTCCCTGCTGGACGGTTACCTATAACATGGCCAATGAGTGATGATCAGGTAGGTTGAAGTGAAAGCTATGGTACCAATGTTGTACAATGTGTCAAACGAGGTCCTTCAGCCTTTTTCGGTTATAAGTATTGCGCACCAATTTTCCGTCCTTAAAATTCAAGAAAAGCTTGCCGCATTATAGTTAGTGTGACCTATCAGTGTCACCAATACACTTACAAAGGCACGTAGTATTTCTTAAATCAATCATTGTTCGTATAGCTAACATTAAACTGGTAACATCCGTCGCATCTCCAAAACATCCGAATCTTAACAACATCTAGTTATTGGAAATGAACTATATTCATGATATAAACGTCAATAAGTTACATCCTCACATTTCATATGATTTTACTTTTATGCTGAGATTATAGAATATATTGGTTTTGCTTCGAAATAATCTTTTTTATACCACAGATTCCACCAATAACCAACTTTACGATGGAAGGAAGAACATATCGTTATTCACCACCAGAACCTCTCTATCCATTTGGTTACGGTCTATCTTACACCACATTCCACTATTCTAATCTGACCTATTCTGATTCTATAGCAGCTGGGGTCAACTTTACTGGATCGGTTCAGGTCCAGAATACTGGAAATATCGACGCCGATGAGGTAAGTAGTAATATAGCTACAAGTCTTTCAGCAATGAAATAAGAGTCCAATGTGCTTGTGTCGTATTATATTACTTGATAGAATACTGGTAGTAGTAACACAGTAACAACGCTTTCAAATAAACAGCAGTGCTTTGATTGGTTAAAAAAAAGTCATAAGAACGAGGCTGTGGTCGAAAAATATGGAGCCGAAAAATATCATCCTAAGTAGATTGAAACTTGTCTTCCTTCTCTCGGTTGCCTGGTATAAATATATTAACACCGCTTGCAACACACGATGATCATGATTTTGTTTCGTGTCTCACTCGATATTTTCCATTTCCATATGCTCATGCACAGACTTCTCTTCATTTTAAAATGTTCTTTTTCCAGGTAATACAAGTATATTTCTCGTGGAACAGACCCTCAGTACCAGCGCCTAAAATACAACTAGGTAACTTTACCCGTAAGTTGATACCAGCAGGCTCGACTGTTACTGTCCAGTTTACTATACCAGCTAGAATTATGGCTTTATGGGTAGATGATTCTACTGGCTGGAAAATAGAATACGGTAAGTGGTCATATGTTGTATAATATCGTGGTGGTCTGTCGTACTGCTAAACTGCATTGATAAAACCACCTTGCTTAAAGTGTATTCTAGTAATGCAAAAAATATTGGAAAAAAAACTCCACCGCAGAAACCACAGAGCTTTTTAACCAGTTTTCTGTCTGAGCTGTAATAGTAAAACCTTCTCGCTTGAAATATATTCTATTAATGCACAAAAAGACACAAAATATACCCATACGGGTGGGAAAACCGAACGCTTTGAAATTTGTTTCCAGTTATCCATTACTTTTGGGTACATTGCGATAATGAATATATATATATATATATTTTATCAGAAACCTCTTGTCGGTAACATGAGATCAAAAGAAAATATATTCCTGTTACTTCAGGACCTTTCTCCATCCGTAAGCCTCGAATCTTACAGAAAGAATTAGTCATTGAAAAGATGCACTCCAAGCTTAATGGGCGTTCGAAGAGAATCAAAAGTTTTTCAAATGTTCTAATCAGAGCACTTTTCTCTTCCAGGAACGTATAATTTCTATGTTGGTGGTCAACAACCAAACCAGAAGAAAAATGTCGGTTCAAATGTACTGAAAGGATTCTTTACCATATTTGCAGATAAATATTTAGGACGATCTAGATAGGATAAATTCTATATGGCTTGTAATAACGGCTCTGTAAACTGTCCATTTTGCTATGATTATATTACCCCTTAATTTGATCCAAAATAGAAAATTTGCTCCGATCTTGCTTTAAAAGTTATTTCTGAACATGTGGTCGCCGTGACGCATTCTGTCCAGTAAAGGGCTATTGTGTTATATGCTAGACAGTTTTGTCCGTCCAGTGAGGCATTATATATACATATTACACGGTAGTGTAAATACACGGTCGCTGGTTGCGTAATAAAGGTGGTCGGTTATCAGTCGTTAATTACACTGAAAACTCGTAGGGGGGATTTTATTGTGGTCGCATATTGAAGGTGATTGCTTTATAAAGGTGGTCGCGTGAGCAGGATATACTGTATAGGAATTGAAATAACGGGAAAAACACCTGCAGAGTTAAAATTTGGTCGAGACAACGGCTATCTGACTGACGATAAATATTTAGTGCCTGCTGTAAATGTCTGAGATTTGATTGATTGTTCAAACAGAAGGGCAATATTCTTAATAGATATCAGTCCAATCTACGACCTGGAAGTACGGTTGATAATTCCGAAGGCATTATTTCGAACCCCGGAACTCTTTTGAATCACCACAGTTCCCAATCTGCCATAATGGAACTATTCGCAACCAAATGGCGTTTTTCATCTCTTCATCGCGATGACTAACAAAGTATAATCTGTAACGAGCATAATAATTTTATTGAAACCAGATGTATGAATGTATATATATACAATGATAATGTAGGGTGACGATTACAAGGTGATGTAAATAGGGAAAATATACCAATATCCACAATATGAGATATAGCGTCTATTTATAAAGATCGATCCGGCTTTCTGATAAGATTTACAAGAGCTGCGTATTATATTCACAATTATACAGTACATGCATCATCAAAATATAATATGTAGGTGAAATTCCAAATCACATTCCTACGAATTCCGTACTGTATATTTTCAAAATGGTTCAGTTGATAATTGCATTTCAACATGTAAAATATACAATATTTGAATTATAACATTCAAATAATGGGAATTAGTACAGTCACATCACAATTTGTGTTCACTGCAATTGAAGTACATATTAGAGGTCATGTGAATTGGTCTTAAAAGTTTAGGATTTCAAGCCATTTAGTGACTCCTGAAAGAAGAAGCATCATGTCCCTAGGGTTCTCAAGGCCTCAAAACGTAAATATGGCAAAATATATATTCCAAGATATGATAAATAAAACCTTCACAAAGTCAATACATTATAAACTTATATCGTTAATTATATGTATCCAGTCTCCTGACTTTGAGTTCAAAATTTTTCACTTGGAAGGGTAGTATGCACCAGCTTCAATATAACAAAATAATGTTGAAAGTTTTATCCATTTCTGATTATATATTGTAAAATCATTCTTGGTTTTTTTTAGGTTGTTTTTTTTTAACTGTAACATTGTAGAATCAATCAAATTGTTCACCATAACATTCAGTTTCAACCTCTGCTTTCAAACTTTTTAAAGAAAAATTGTCTCAAAATATCAAAAAGTAAATCAACAGATACTGCTAATAAAAGTTCCTTAACGAATCATTTGCCACAAAATAGATCACTTTATTGTTTAGTTGAGTCAAGCGAATTTGAGACTAGCACAAAGCTATTGCATTTCGGTCAAATTGTCAAACACACAAACAAACTCAAATTTTTGCCTTTATTCCTTTTCTTTATCAGAGTCGGATTCTTCTCCTTCCATGATTTTATCAATAGTAGCAGTGGATGAGTTATTAGACCATGTGACATTATAGGTCACTTTATCATCCGCGACCACAGTCACCGAGCCCACTTTATTATCTTGATGTAATTCAGCCCGGGCTTGTGCTAAAGCCTGCTGTACAGCTATATCTCTTTGGGCTCTCTCCTCCATGACAACTCGTGATAAATTCATCTGGGCTTCAATTCTCTGCCCATTTAAAGCTTTTATGGCCTGAAAAGAAATGAAAATAATTCAACAATAGAAATTTGAGATCAAATCTTGGGTCAACAATTTTTAGAATAATATTTCATCAAAACTAAATGGGAAAAATTGACATAATCAAAATTTTGATTGACTAAATAAAACTTTTGAAGTAGCCATAAGTCCAAATGAAACGACAGGGACTTGCCATTTGATAGGGCAACGCAATATGAAAGGTTCCACATGATACACAAGCATAGCATGGTATGCCATTATTGTAATGTATCAATTCTCAACATAATGCCAACACAGGAAGGATGTCAGCTTGCCATATAAAGTGCTGTAGATCATCTAAATCACTCACACAAGCTTGCTTGATAAATCAAGAATAAAGAATAGGAAGAAATCTAAATATTTCCTCACCTCTTGTTTTTCTTTCTCCATCTGCATCCTAAGTTGTTGTAGTTGACTTTCTTTAGAGAGTAAACTATGTTGTCTAACTTGGTCTATCATAGCTTTTAACTGCTGAACTTGTAATAACAGATTATTAGCAATCTAAAATTAAAAGAAAATGTCAGTGAAGGTATAGTTAAAAATATTGACAATTTGTCAATGAAAATATGTGGGATAGTGAATCACAAAGTAAGGCAATATGACAGCCCATTTGAGGTGTCCCTGTCCCCTTTTATTGTTATCAAGAAACAGGTTTTGTGACATGCGTGAATTGGTCACAAATATCATTGTTGACATAACTAAATGACAAAACTCAGTTTCCAAAAAAGGTGGAATTTTACATCAAAAATATAATATTTATTTTTTGTGAAAAAGAACCCAGGTTTCACAGCATGTCTATGGGGTTAAAAATAATAAATATAACAAACTAACCTCTTCTAACTGCCACCAGTTTTTCTGTTCTGTAACATCCATGGTAACAACTTGAGCTTTTGGAGCTGGTGCCAGAGATATTGGGGTCATCACCACCGTATCTGAAAATTGGTTATCTATAAACTCATTAGCATATCATGAAAACCAATCAAAATACTGTCAAACTTAAACTATGGTAAACCAAATTCAGAATATAGTGACCAAGAACTTATAATCAAGTACATTTCAATGTTGTCAACACAGATCAAAATATTTTGTCTGAAGAGACTCAAAAATGAAGTGAGAGTCAAATTTTCGATTTATTTGAATACAATTGAACAGAAATTTGATTGAAAAAACAAGCAAATTATTTAATATGTTTATTTTACTCTCCATACGAAGTTGACAAACTATTTCTGAAGGGTGAGCTACTAGCCAATCCAGCTCTACTGGAGCTCTTACTGCAGCAGGGCTCAAAAAAAATAAGATGTTTTTATATTTGGATAAGGATTAGGGCTAAGAGGATGAAAATGACCTCAGGAATAATGAACTAATTCAAATACCAACCTCCTGTAACAAAATTACCAGTACCATCAGCAGTAACTATTTTCACTGTATTATCATCCTGGGCACTCATCTGCATCTGTTGTGATACAGGTCTAGTGACTGAAGTACCACCATTACACATTGACACTATTACTGAGAATAAAAAAAATGGTATTAACAAAGTAGATTTGTGAACAACACTTAAAAATTTCTAAATTGTTCCATCATTACGCCTAGACACTATTACTTAAAATACAAAAATAAATCTATAATATAAATTTCATACATATATAAGATTTTGAATATCATTTTAAACAGTAAATATTAAATTGTGCAAAATAAAAGCTGTTAAAGGGACAGGTGTGCCATATTGGTGGGTTGATTTTAGTCCTTGAATAGATGTAAATAGTTTTCAGAAGTACTAGAAATGCATGAAAATCACATAATTTCTTTTAAAAATACTTCAAACTAGGAATTTTACTCGCTATTTCTATAAATGTCTTTTCTATATATCACAGAGTATATCTTAAATTAATGAGCCGCTATTTTAACATTCATGGATTTGAAGGCTCAAATTTTGAGCCGCTATTTTAACATTCATGGATTTGAAGGCTCAAATTTTGACAGTTACTGATTAGCTCAGTTAAAAAATTTCCGTTTCTGAGACTAAAGTATGATTGGTCAAAAAAATGGCCTTCCTGTCCCTTTTAATATTTTTCTGAATCTTTCAACCAAGTCATGAAGTAAATTAGAAGAATACATAGCTCTACCATTTAGTATTTTTTTAAATAGTATAACATTGGTGGCTCACTAATATTGTGTCAAAACCTGCCTGCACACAATATTTTATATGATCTTAAACATTACAATCTAAAGAATAACACTTAAGAAAGAGTACAGCTATGATTCAAGGAAAAAGGGAGACTAGATAACCTACCATCTTTGGTTAAAGGAGAAGTATTTGACTTTATTGAACCAATTCTAACTTTTTTAGGAGTTGGTGATAAGGGACCACTTTCACTTTCTTTTTTACGTCTTTTATAAGGTACAAATAATCTCACAGGACCTGTCTGAAATACAATAAATTTAATTCAGTTGAGGAACAATGTCAATTTTAACGAACGGTTTATTAAAGCTTAATTAATCAAATTGCTATTTCTTAAAAAAATTTTCTTAGTTTAAATCCTATTACAAAAATTGTTATTATAATCAAGAAAACAGACTCTACATGGTCTACATAATGTTAGTTAAAAATAATGTCATATGCAGCTGTGTAGAAATTCTTTTAGGGAGAAAAAAAAGTTGTAATCTTATTTTAGTTAGATTGATAGTGTTCTCACCACTGTTTCATCATCACAACAAGAAGCACAAGTACACGACGTAGCATGGGCCATCAATAAACCATCTTCTAAAACACACTGTAACGTTCGACCACCATATCTTATACTTCTCTTCCAATCTTTACTACTAGCACGACCGGCTAATGTCTCAAACTCATTAGGTGTATACCATTTATTATCGTACTTAATACATTTACCACGACCACCTGAAAATAGTCCAATAGTCAAATTGATTATCTTTTGAGGTACTGGTACATGCCAGGGCTGTACTTTAATTGATTGTATTTACCACAGAAACACCGGCCAAAACGCCTAATTCTCAAAATACTTAAAAGATTTAACTTGATTGTCATCCAGTCTTATCATTGTTCAATTAATAAAATGAATTTATGACTGTATTCTTTAATATCTAGATTTTATCTTTTAGTATTTTCAACATTGATCTTGGTGAAGGAGCTCAATAAGTAATAATCTTGGGGGGTAAAAAGTGATCCTTTACCTTTCTTGACGTAGGCTACATTAGACCAAAGTGTGGAACATAAGACTATTCGGGTATTTGACTAATAATCAGTAGCTTTTGGGAATAGAAGATAGAGCCCTTTATAGACAACAATTTCTGCAGAAATGAATATCCCAAAAACTGCCTTTAATTTAATATCATTGGCATTAATAGACCTATAATATTTTTTATTTAGGATTTAGATATCACACCTGAACCAAATTTATCTTTATGAAGTTCACCATTTAAGTTTTTACATCTAACAGGTAGAAACATTTGATGTACAGATTCATCCCATTGGTATTTGAAGCCCCTTTCTTTACTTAAAGGGGTTGCTGGGGTGGGAGGGGGCAATGGAGTTGTTGGCGGATTTTGAGCCCCTGTATCAACTGTCAGTGTGTTATCATGAATGACAATATGCGTTGTTTTTATTCCCGCCTCTCTCAACGATTCGGCAGATATTAGTCCTTGCGATGTCGCTACATAAACTTGGTCGGGTGTCAATTCCTCGCTTGTTACAGCTTGAACAATTTCGCCACCCTGACTATTCACATCGTCATGTTCGCCATCAGGTTGTTGATGATCGTCTACGAATGCTGAATCGTCGCCGTTCGGAATGTCCTCGGCAATGTCAACTTCGGTCATGTCGGAATCCGTGAAATTAGCATAAATATGTACAAAATATAACTCTCAGACGATGATTTTCATAAAATACTACACATTAGAGTGAATCTTGACGATCCAAACCACTAACATATTTGTTTACAAACGAATAAAAGTCGAAAATCAAAATGTAAAAATGTTATCGGGCATTTCCGTTTCTTTTACGTAAAATGGCGGAAAATCGACCGGAGACAATTGCTAGTCGCGGTTATCTAGTCCTAATTGTGATTGAAATATCTAAAGCAAATTTTCTGTCCTGACAACCTATTCTATCAATTAACAAAAATAAGTTAATTGGAAAAATCATTGGACCGAGCCAAATTCCTGCCCCAACTACAACACAATATATGAGCTAAAAATATTGTGTGCAAAATTTTATTTCCATTTTTATTTTCATCTTTATTTTCATTTTTAACTTCGTAGAACTTGTTCATTTAGTGCGGACTAGTTAAAAGTGAAAATGGCGTGAAGAATGACTGCGATGCACGTTGTTGGAAAGTCAAGCTTTCCTGTAAGCCCATTTTTAAAATAAATGATTAAATATAGGCATTATCTGATAGTTGTTATGCTGATCTTTCTGGTCATTTTTAATCGACGCTCGAGAATTTTCGAATTTCATCCAAAATTAAAGTTTATTTTCAGAAACATAAACAATTCCAAATTTGTTGCTTGCATCATAGTAAACAAGATCTGTGTCGATTTTTTGCCACAATTACATAACCTAGCCTTTTCTGGCATATTAACAGAAAATGCTTGAAAGTATGACAGTGTCACTTGTGTCATTAGCTGACTAATGTCTCCTTTGGAAAGTTGAATACCCAAATAACCCATGTCCTAAATAAGTACGGTATTAATTTAAAACAAAAAATGTAGATCTGTCAGTGTCAGTAGTTGATAGGCCTAATAAAAGATGATAATGCCTTCCAATATTGTAAAACAGTATCTAATCGGAGGGTTTGGTGTTAATCTGTGGTCATATGATGCCTAACCTAAGGATAAAGTTCTGCGATCTATTAAATACAAGCTTAAAGTGTTGTATTATTATAAATTGTAAAGGCTCTATCCTAAATAAGATGAGAAGAGTAAAAAATTATGACATACCATGTCTGAGAAATCTAAGTTATATTTATAGTTAGTGGGAGGCAAAGGAGATGCTGCCACTGTAATAGAAGGAAGCCAGTTAATGTCAGCCCCTGAAGAAGAAGAAGATTTTGATATTTTAAATGATGAAACTTTCGGAGATGGAGTGGATGGTAAGTGTTGATTCGAAACACATGAAAATAAAATTAGGATTTATTTATTTATATATTCAAAGACTAGACCTGCTTTCATTAAAATGTACAGAGATAAGAAAATATAGATGAATAAATATGTAAGCTTGGGAAAAGAAAATGTAATTTTTGAAAAACTTTATAAATGTTAGATATTTTTCCTTTTTAGGATCACTCAATGGTCACAGTGAGCTCAGAATTTAATTTTTTCTAGCATTTTACAATTTTTTTTCTGTCAATTATATTTCTGAATGCTTTTTTAATTGGTTTCCATTTTCATCAAAACATTTAAACCTAATTACATATTCATTTATCAGACCAGCACATGTAGGCCTTTGAAAAGAAAATGAAATTTTGAACATTTAAGTAGCTGGATAGGTCTTTTTCGTGTACATGGTTTCTCTTAATTGATATTTCATATTTTTCCTAAATTTTCTTCAGATGGATATGACTGGGAGGAAGAACATGAGAGAATGGCGGAAGAAATTGATTCATTCTCATTCGGTGATTCGAAACATAATGGAAATAAAACAACAGACTCTGGATTTGATACGGCAGAGAAGAGCTACAGAACTCAGGAAGTATGAAATATTAAATTTGAATATCTATGTTTGAATGTTTTCTTTTCGTATTAAATTGTCAACTGCACCTAATTGGGAAAGTGATCATTGAATACCTTGACAAATTTTGAGAATCCAACTTAGTAATATTAAGATTGTGAACTTATTGTTCAGTAGCTATAGACTAACAGTCCAATCATTTGACATTATTGTAAGTGCAATACCGCAGATGTTTAAAACAGCACCTTTGTCTAACTAATGTTAGAATTAGATACCTGAAACAAAAACTTATTGTGAAAAGAGGTGTATAAAAGCAGAAAATAAACCTTGGATGGGTATTGTCACTGTAAAGTGATTGTATATATTTTGTTCTACAGGAATACCTAGAACAAAGTATCAGTCAACTGGTAGTAGATGATGAAGATGAACTGGGAGATCCGGCCATCTTAAACGCTTCTAAAAACAGACCTATACCTCAGGTGAGCTGTAAACCAGAGCAGCTGTTTTCAAATGTTAGGTGTAATGATTGAATGAATTCAGAAGAAATCGAGTCTGACAGTCTAGTTGATTCCTTTGAGTAAACCTTTGAAAAATCTCCACTTAGTAGGCATGTAATACTAATCTTTATTATTGTTTCCGCCACTAATCTGACTAGTCTTCTCCCAAGGCTTTATACCAACCATTGGATGAAGGCTAAGGGATTCATATTATGGAATGTGTAAGAAAAGAAACAAAATAATTGGTCTGTTAATGTTTTATTTCAGAGTCATCATAAAACATGTTTAGAAGATTTATTTGGTCCTTCCTCACCCCCGGCTTTCCTTGATACTGAACACCTTGTAAGTTTTTTGAAAATACCTTTTATGTTTCTATTTACAAGAGGTGGAGTTTTGTGAAAATTCAATTAAAAAGAAAAAAGCTCAGTTATTCATTGGCAAAGCAAGAAAAATAAAATTTTACTTAATGAATATTGACATCTCTTCTAGGTATCCCCTACCAGTAAAGATATCTGGAGAGTTTCAAGGGCAGAAGAAGAAATGAACAAACAGAGAAATAATGCCAAACAACAACCAAGATATACTGTAAGTTTATATGGCTTCATATAAACCAGTGAATCCAGTGACATTGCACTATATATAACATCACAATATAGACCTGTGTGATATTATACTGTTTATGACATCACAATATAGACCTATATGATATTACACTGTTTATGACATCACATTATAGACCTATATGATATTACACTGTTTATGACATCACAATAAAAACCTATATGATGTTACACTGTTTATGACATCACAATATAGACCTGTGTGATATTACACTGTTTATGACATCACAATATAGACCTGTGTGATATTATACTGTTTATGACATCACAATATAGACCTGTATATTACACTGTTTATGACATCACAATATAAACCTATATGATGTTACACTGTTTATGACATCACAATATAAACCTATATGATGTTACACTGTTTATGACATCACAATATAGACCTGTGTGATATTACACTGTTTATGGCATCACAATATAAACCTATATGATGTTACACTGTTTATGGCATCACAATATAGACCTATATGATGTTACACTGTTTATGACATCACAATATAAACCTATATGATATTACACTGTTTATGACATCACAATATAAACCTATATGATGTTACACTGTTTATGACATCATAATATAGACCTGTGTGATATTACACTGTTTATGACATCACAATATAGACCTGTGTGATATTATACTGTTTATGACATCACAATATAGACCTGTATATTACACTGTTTATAACATCACAATATACACCTATATCATGTTACTGTTTATGACATCACAATATAAACCTATATCATGTTACACTGTTTATGACATCACAATATAGACCTGTATGATGTTACACTGTTAATGACATCACAATATAGACCTTTACTGTTGTGATGTCATTTGATTATTGAAGCACAGAATTGATGATCAGTAAACATGATTGCTGTGTTTCCACCAGCTGTTTATTTTGTAATACACATAGTTTTTCTTTTCAGATTTTATACTTTAATTAGCTGTATTTCTTTAAGGTTGTTTAAGATATTAAGATATTTAGCATATTGTCTAAATACTTTGAATTTGGACTTTATCAAAATGAATTGTGTATGAACATAGTTAGTATTATTTAGTACCAATTTAATCTGATTTACTATATTCAAGGTACCTACAATAATTGAAAGAAGAAACATCATCCCCCAATCACCAATGATACCCCCACAAGCTCATACTCTAGAAGAGATAGAAAAGAGAATGATGACAAAACCTAGAGTAGTGACTGCCGAGGAGCTGGAGAGACAGATGAGAGGAGATGCAGCTCCCCGTAGTCAACCTCAGACACCACGAACTATGCCTAGTGGAATGATGATGCCAGGACAACAGTTTACCCCTCCTGTACCTATTCCCCATCACCCTGGTCAACCTGGTATGATTCCACCCATGCAATCTCATCAGTCACCTTATCAAAGACAAGCCCCTGTTGGTTCTCATGTAAGTTAACCATTGGTTCATTTTGACTAAAAACCAAACACTTTGGCTGCTATTTAACTATCATGTCTGGATGCAGATTGATAATCTCATAGATTGATTAGGGAAAAATTAGTGATACAAACAGGCCTGGCCTAATTTATGTCCCAATAAAGATATTATTATTATTAAGCATGATCTAGAACTTAGTAGGCCTGGCGATATAATATCTGTAAACAGGGTATAGGAAATTATATCGTTACTAATATTGCCTGATTGAAAAATACCGAAATACTGCCATATTGGGATATATGGTAGTTATCAAGATATATCGTCATATATAATAAATAGATACAATGAATTAAAACATTTTCTTGGATCCCTGAACCTATTAGCAGAAAAAACCTACTGGTCATCCCACTAACCAATAACAAGCATGTCCAACAACCCACTGGAAAAATTGCAATTCGTTGTATTATTCATACATTATTTATTTCAGTTACCACAAGGATTCAGTCCTATTGCACCTCTATTTCCTGATGGCCGAAATTCACCATTACACCAAATGCTAGCAGGTCGTATCACCCCTACTGGACAATTACCAGGCAATATGTCACCTATACCTCATATTGCTTCCAGACAGTCACCAGGTAGGTTGTACTCTTCTATGTGGGCAGGGTAGTGGGAGGAGCAATATACCTCATATAGCATCCAGTCAACCTGTGTAGCAGTTGAAGTAATTTGTAGAACTGCATGGCTAATAAAGATATGGCTTCCTGGCATGTTTGTCACAAAATTTTGCTCCTAATATTTGTCACTAAATGCTACTGTTCATGTATTCACATTGCCCACCATTGTCTACATCAAATCATATCATGTGTTGTTTGTTTGTCTGCATGTTAACTTGTAGTCGATTGAAGATATTAGTCACATCCAAGCACTATGAAAAACAGAAGCAAGTGCAGTTTATATTATTTTTAAGTTGAAGTAGTTATGATGAATATATATAATAAGTCTGTCTTGTTTTAAATACTATTTTCTATACCAAAAAAATAAGTAGTGTTTGTTTTGAACTAAACCAAGATGTGCACTAATATCTTTGCTCGGCTATTAATAACCTATGTCTGTTTGTTTTAGTTTTAGGACTCCACTCTAATTCACCCATGGGTCGTTCAGTGACCCCACCCCATCCATTACGTATGTCCCCATTGTCCCACTCTCCCCTACAGAATCGTGTTATGTCATCTATTAACCATCAACAACTCATCATTGGTAGGTTTTAAGTTTTTTCATCTCATCTGTCTGTGTTCAGGATTTTTTTGTCAGAGTTAACCTATTCTCAGATATTCTATTTATGGCCATGACCTTCTTGGAATCACAATTTTGCAGTTTTCGACAAATTAGGTACTTAAAAGGATAGAAGCATCTAATAAATCAGCTCTAACAAGACAGTCTCACCTTGCCAAGTACTTTTTGTAGAGAAATCTCCACAAACTTGGCCATGTTTGCAATAGAATTATCAGATGGTTGTCATAAAGTAGTGGAGTTCCCTTCCAGTATATTGACTTACTTTAGCTCTTATTACAATCTTTCATAGAAATGGCCTTTAGATAGATTTTCATACATCATGATTAAAATAACAGGAAGCTTTATGGACTTTTTTTTTTCTCCTAGGAAATGGAATGAGTCCGAATAACAGATTTAATCACAATGGTATGAATATGCCTCAAGGTCCTAGAGGTCAAGGCCATGTACCAGGTCAATATGGCAGCCCAGCTGGTCCTCGGTAAGCTTATTTATCCCATTTATTTTGATTTTAGAGCTGTGTGTGTATTGCAACTAAAAATCTTATTGTGATGCATTGCGATACACATCATTGTATTGTAATATGTATTGCGAAATGTCATTGAGTTAATATTTCAGCTTTTTTATTTCAAATTTGTGAGCTGCTTAGGTTCTGTAATGCTTTCCATCCTATTTAAACTGTGAGAAATAATATTTATTTGCTTTCATTAAATAGTAAGTGTTCTATAATTCCTAGAGATTGTTTGTATTGGCCAACACAAGAAAATTGAAACTTGGGGAAAATCAATGTTTTACCAGCATTTCTTCAACATTATTTCAGAAATAGAGGCATCAGTTTTCCAATTTTCAGTCAGACGTCTGATGCAATCAGTGTCCTCGATACACATCAAATATTTAGAAAACCTATTTACAATCTCTTTTATAAAGAGGTATAAAATGTTCATATCTATAATATTTAGATATGAAAGGCCTTTTGCTATATAATGCAAGTATAATGAAATGATTGTTGATCTTGAAAGTCGTATTTATTCTTTTTTCAGGATGAATCCTCATCAACAGTTCAATGATCGCTATGGCAACAATCAATCAGCCAGTCCTGGTCGTAATCAGTTCAATAAAAACCAGTAAGTTATCGACCTGCAACCTCATCTAGGCTTTGGTTTAGACAAATTCCCATCTTGTCCACTTAATTTTAATTCCATTATTTAAAGAGAGGAGCATTGCTCCAGCTTCAAAATAACACGAATTGTTCAAACACTAATTTCCTTTTGTACTCTGAATTATCACTTTCCTTGGTTTTTCTATTAATTTCAATAGACACAGTTATCCTTGATTAACAGATGATATTTCCTTATAACTTTTTAAAAAGATGTTCTCCATAATTATATTTATTATTAAACTGAATATTGTTAAACTGACGAAGTCATTTATGTATGTTTGTGGCGTGACCAATAAAGCTAGTGAGACCAACGTTTAATTCTTACATTTATATTCAGATACTTTTATTAACACAATTTTCAATATATGATCAGTTTCTTGAATTTACCACAAATCTTAGATTGCGTCATTGTTGTACTTTGATGACATCATAGTATCACCTGACAAACTAAAGTTTAAAGAAAAATAAACGCCAGTTTGTCTAACTGGTTCATTGAAGGGAGTGATAGTAGAAATGTAAATATTTAAGAATATACTAATTAGATTGACATATACTTTCAGCTAGATTTCTAACGACTATTATGATTTTGTTGCAGACGTTTTCAAGGCCCGAACAACTACAGGGATCGTCAACAGAGACCCTATAACAACCAACGTGATCGGGAAAACAGATCTGGGGATGATTTCGCTGGCTTGATGACTCAGAGGGAAAAGGACTGGATAATCAAAATTCAACTGATGCAATTACAAACTGAAAATCCGTATATAGATGATTTCTATTATACGGTAAGACAGTTAACTTATTAGTTGAAGTTGTAAAGTTGTAATCTTTTCAAACAGTTTTCTAACAGCTTTATTGAACAAGATGTAAAATTATACTTCATGAAAAGTAACATTAATTAAATTGTGTATCGAATGGTCTGCTTTGAGTTTGTCCTAATAGTGAACTTCAAGTATGCATAGGTATAGCCCTTACCTTCCTCTAAAAAATAAAAATGGGAATTGATATGGCGACAAATTCAAACAATTTTAACTAATGTGAACACAATTCAATCTTTTGAATATTTTTTCTTAGAATTTTACGTTAAATAAGAAAAATAAAGAATTACGAAGACAGCAGGAAGAAAATGGAGTGGCAACTGAAGAACAAAAACTAGTGATACCCCATCTGGTGAAAATAGAAACTAAATCATACGCTCCTAGTAAGTGGGAAATTATTAGTTGATTAGTTTTCATTTTATATGTCTATATCATAGATTACTCATCCAATTCTTTTATTCTATAACATTTTGTGTTTAGTCGTTTAAACTGTTCAGATAAATACGAAAGACATTTATATATTTCATGCTGAAAATATTTGACAAGCTTATGATAAAAATGGCTTAAGGCTTTACAGTTCAGAAGTTGTTTTCAATATTATTTCTTTTCATTTTATCGTCATTGAAGTTTGATTTAATTGCATTAACTCTTCGTGACTAGCTCTTAGTTTTTAAAACATTAACATAAATTATAGTTCAAAGTTATATTGTCTGTTATCTTTCAGCTCAATTTGAAGGTTCACTGGGTCGTCTGACAACAGCTAGTGTTCACAATCCTCGTCAGATTATTAATGTAACACGAAGATCTTCATTCAGTGGAGATGATAGTATGAATGTCAGTAAGGAATTGAGGAAGATCCGTCAGCTACTCATGGAGATAGAAAGGGTACGTATTTATTATTTAAATCATTCAGTTAAAAAAAAGTGGCCTAATTTATTATCTGATATTAAAAAACTACAGGGATGCAGGCTGAAAATAGGTCAGTTGTCGAGTAACAGCTTGATTCAAGTTCTGTTTTTATATTTCTTAAGTCTTTATTAAATGAAAGAGATTTATCACATGCATCATTGACAGGTAGAAATGGATGAGAAAGATAGCAACATACAGCCCAGTAATCCCAGACCCCTAGTTTAGCAATCAAGGGTTTAGGTCAGTGAGATCTTCCCTGGTTCCCAAACACCTTCAATTTAGCAGTATAAGTGCCTTCTAAGTAGAATATTAATGAAATATGATGTTTGTATTTCCAGGGTTATAATTTATTATTAGATATTGATGATATTGAAAAACAAGTGTTAGCTTTAACTGAGGAAAGCAGGTAATATATTATTTATCAAAATTAATCTTCAATAAATTTAATAGGTTGACTGAGATAGCTTTGATCAACTGGTCATTGTAAAAACAAAAAAACACTTGTATCATTAAAATTCATGCTTTTGTAGTTCTAGAAAATTCTATTTATATACATTATTTGGGGGATATTGTTTTGATATGTAAAATCCGTCTTCATTAGCCCACATGGTGCAGAAAAGTAGGACGCAAAACTCAATTTCATTTCATTTTCATTTTGAAATATGAAATAAGATCAGTGAATTGCATTTCTTATATTTATTCCAGGAAACCGTTATATGAAAATAGAAGTGAGAAAATAAATGAATTATTTAATTATGTTGTAAATATTGAAACTCCAGATAACTTTCAGCAAATATTATCTGTTAGAAAAGGTAGAAAATTGGTGGCACGTCTCCTTCCTCTACTTAGCTCAGTAAGTTGTAGTTTAAATTAATCACTTTATAGGATAGATACAGTTGATATTGTCACAAACACAAGACAATATTATGGAATAACACACTTTCTTTAATATAATCCTTTAGCCACATAGGGTTGAAATCATATTAAATAACAGAACACAATTTTATTGTATACTCCTTAGCTTTATTACACACTACATTTCAACAATCTACATTGCCATCATCATGTGAAGTGAGGAAATATGGTACCAGAAGGTATCTATATACACAAAAAATAAACAATAGCAACAGTTAATTAAGGATTTAGTATTAAACACATCACATTTCAACACAAATTACACGTGTCGTCATCAGATGAAATATTTCTACATGTCCTTCAAGTTTTATAGTAAATATTGATTACTTCATTTGCATAAATGAGCATGGACATATTATATTTACCTGTAGAAGCAGATGTTTGGTTTTCATACTGATAGTGATACAATTTGATGAAATTTCACTATAAACTAGTAATGAAAATATGAGACCATTATATTAGAATTGGTCCTGGAAAGTATAGTAGAATAAGATATTTTCAAGTAAACATAATCCTAAACAAAAGCTGTCCACTTGAATTTTTGGGAATAATAAATAGGATTGAAACTATACATGATAGACTTAATCCTTTAGCGACATTTAGGATTAGAGATCACATTAAATAATGTTATTTAATGATAGACCTAGTATTACGCTCATTGCTAAATTACCTCAAATTAATGTGACATCTTTGTGTTAATGTTAATCTGATTAGATGTGTACAAACTATACCTGTAAAATTAGTGATTAGGGTGATTGTAGAGTAACAAGTTACTATTCAATATAAGGCACTGGTACAGGGTTAAAGTTATGTTTACAATAATTGTGATAATGTAAAGCATTGAGTTAGTGTGTAGAGGATTAATAAATGTGAGAAATATAAACACAACTTTTAGACCTGGCGCTGGCTAGGGTGATTGTAAATTAGTGATATTGAATTGAATAGGAATGATGTTATATATTATGATATATCTCTGATATCAAGTCTAATAATTGTATAAAAATATTTGTGTATTTCAGGATCAAAGTGAAGTATTAGTGTCGTTGATTATATCTCATCTACCAATTCTTGTTAAAAAGGATTCAGAAGATGTAGGTTTATTTATATTCTTATTATTTCACCATTTATTTGAAATAATATACTGTCCAAATTTCTATGGACTCTAAGACATTCTACACAAATGACATGCAATTATAAAATTTATTTTGAATGTTTGAAAAAACAAAAATTAAATTTCAATCTTTGTGGTGTGAGAGTAGAATACTCAGTGGAAAATGAAAAATTAAAAAAAAAATGGGTTGAAAGCTAATTTTTACGTAGCAATAACTATGTGGACGACAGTGATGTGATATTTTTAACATCTATGTGCCAAGATAAACTGCCTAGGTTACCTGTAAGTGGAGGATTTTCATCAAGTAGTTAAAAACCTATGAATTTACACGAAGGAAGGTTTGCTATTGACAGAAAACATGTCTTTTTTTTAGGGTACAAGTCAACTGTGTAGCTCTGTCAACAGAGCTATTGGTACCAGCAGTCTGGATAATCTAATAAAATATGTTGATTATATTGAGAAACAATATCCAGTGGACAAGAAATCTCTTCAAGCAGTTCTTCAGAGCAAGGTATGTATCTCAGTCACTTAGCCGCCTGCCAGCTGAAAAGGTTTTATTGCCTCTCATTGGAATAACAGTTTTGACAAGAAGATCAATATAAATATAGGCTTTAAACCCCATCCAATTGAAGCATGGTTCAAAAAAATGTTCAATCAAAAGAAGTAAAGGTAATTGTGCTGAAATGAAACATATATTGTGTTGTATAGTTTGAAAAGTTCATTAGCTGTATTTCTAAACTAAAATAAATTTTATTAGATCATTAGTACTTGGGTTTATTATTTTTATTTTAGTTTGTTTCATATCTATTTCAGTTGGGCAGTACGATCTTATGTAGTTTATTAAAACAAGGGGAAATAATCTATCAAAAGACTTCACCTGTAGACATGGACAACCAGTTACATACATCATGGTATGTATTGATATTAATTCTTTTTTTTCAACCTATTGATGGAGGATGAGAATATTTGAGGGTGTTGTGCTATGTGGGATTATAAATACAGTAGAAAATAGAATTAACAAGCTATATGTACTTTCATAATTGCCTAAAGGGGAAAATAGAGGAAAACTTCTTAAGAGAGGGACTAAACAGCTAAAAATAGAAGTAACTTCTCTTTTCTACAGTATCAATGATAAACCAACATACTACACGCTCAACAATCATCTATTCCTACATTTTCTTTTTCTTTCTATATGAAATTAGCATAACAAGGTGGGCTTCATCAAGGCTATCTGGAAATAATTACTATTAATTAGTCTAAATCTTCAAATAGCATACTTCAATTAAAATTTGAATATTATTAAATTATAGTTATTTGAAGAAATATCTCGTAGAGTTATGAACTTCATGCAAAGCATGTTTTATTCCTTTGCCCGTTGATGTCTTACTTTGACCGCATTATTTCAGGTCTCAGTTTGTAGAGAAGTTTGTGTCCAGTCTAGCAGAAGTAAAGTTGGAATTTATAGCAGTACCTTTACAACGCCAGCCCTCTATCACTAAGCACATAGATAGATTTATTAACAAGAAACAGATAGCTAGCATAGAAGATAAACTAGCAGTACTTACTACTTCTGTCCCAAACCAATCCTAGCCATATATACATTGTTAATATATCATAGCTCAGCATCTATTCTCTTAATAGCTTTACCAAATACATCTTTCATAGGATATTCTGTTACTGTACAATTGCGAGTATAATGTGCACATATAATGCGCAACCCTTTCTTAACCTCAAGTTTATCTGAAAAACCATAAATGATGTTATGGATGTAATCGGGGATTCTTTAATGAATTGAGCTATGAAAGGTTTGTGAAAAATGTACCTGAATTCTACAGTTTAGACTGAAAAATTTGCAATTACATATATTTCATTTGGATTTGGACTGGCTCCATGGCATTTAAACAGAGTTTTTTTTACTAAATATGACTTTCATTTTTTGCTTAAAATTCTTATTAAAAATTATATTTTAGATAAATTTCAGGTACAAAATGAAAAATTAACTTTTAGTCTTTATTTTTGTTTATTTGTCCTGATGTTTGTCGTGAAAATTCCGTATCAATTCTTTGCATGTCTCTATTCTATTGTAAAAAACATGTAACTTCTAATAATTTTTTTCTATCATTTTAAGGTGTGAACATAAATATTCCCAACTAATTTTTCTTCAATTTCACATGTTATTTTATAGGCACTCTACTTAAATTATTTGTAAATTTAGAATTGCTTCTCAATTAACAGCTGATCACAGATTTCTAGAATTATAATGTGGCATTGGACTGGATTGTGCTTGTATACTTTAAATTGCTTTAGCTAGAATAGGACAAGTATTAAGGTGAAAGGGCTAGAGATAAGGGTATTGGGGGTTGGCATGTGAGATTATGTAGTATTTATGTATGTTGTTACTAAAATAATTAAATATGATTAATTCTATGAAACCACATTATGTAATTTGAAAATGAAAAATGTTTAATGAAATTTTTGTATCTTCTGGTGAACTTTGACCTCTTATATCAGCTGGACTGTTACTATGGTTACTTTTTCCTGATATTTTTGTATAGAGTTGTCTCTCTTTCAATATGTTAATCTAATTTGTAAAGCTCAAAATGCGGGTTTAACTTTGTGTAAATAGAATAAATTTGATAGGAATGTATCTGTCAAAGATTTTCAAAGAGGGACAACTCCTCAATCCTTAATGTATGTATCAAGGGTTCTTTCCCCTTTTGTCTTTGATAGTCTCTATCATCCAGATAATATTTTCACTTTCTAAATTTGTATGAGACACAACGCAATATATCAGGGTATACAAGCAGTTAATATCTGGATGGCAGGGACTAATTCATTTAGTGCTTATTTTGTGTAGACTAGATTGTCATGTATATAGATTATAATAATTACTATAATGGGTGGGGCGACATTTGTTATGCCCAGATGTGGAAATTTCCCGTCTTAAAACACAAATTATATATCTGTCAACAGGCATGTCTTTTTCTGTTCGACATTTCAATAAATGATTTAAAAAAATGGTTTTGTCTTCATTCATTGAATTTGTCCATTTGTTCAGTGTTTTATGATCTGACTGATGTTAAGAATCATTTACTAAAAAAATGTATCTCCTGTACTGTAAACTTACATCAAAATGTCAAAAATCTTAAATCCATCCAACCTGGGCCATTTCAGAAATCCAAAACTAGCATTATTGTATCTAAATAAGAGAGCTATGACTGGTTAATATTGTTATATTACCTGTTGCCAAGGGCTCATAGCTGACAACTAAACCAGTCTTAGCAAACAGTATAAGTGCATTTTGCATTTTGTCTATGGGCTTAAAAAGGCACCTGTTTGAAAGATTGCGGCAAGATACTATGTCCTTGCTCTAAAATTATAAGTGATTGGTTGGTAGAGGACAAGTTAACGTTTGCTTCCAGCGGATGCTGATATCGCAAACTAGGTAGTTGTTGGTAGTCGTAGTAGTTGGTAGTTGGATTGGTTCAAATTGGATGACTCTGTGTTGTTGGTTTGGTTGTTGATTCTTCGTTAGATCTGGTCGGGTCGAATGACATGGCGGTGAAACTCGACCCTGGATGGTGTAGCATGAGTTACTCGATCTCCTTCATTCTTCTAAACTTGTTCTGATCAGGGTAATTCTTGTTGATTGGTAGTCCTTGGTTTAGTTTGATTTGGTAAGTTATAAGTTCAATGCACAGAAAGATATAGCCAGTGCTAGGAAGGTAACATGAATTGCAGAACTCTAATAATTAGCACAGGGAGGTGCGATATAATTAGGGATCAAATAAATGTAGTCACTTTTGTGCAACCCGATGAGTCCGTATGTACATAGCGATTTTTCAAAAATAGCGTATCACCGATTATACTTATAGTACTAATTTATTTGTAAACGAAATTTGTCACTGAATACTCAACGGAAGTTAGCAGGTGCCCGTAATTTGATTGGCTAGTCCTTAGCGACGTTTACATCACGTGACTGTCATGGCGTCTTTGTTTACGTTTTCATCGATATTGAAATGAAAGTGGTTTTCTTTCCGATGTGAAGGTCTTTTTTTGAGAGTTTATGGTATTTTTTTAAAAACTAAAATCATCAAAGATGCTTCATGTAACAACTGAAGTAGGAAAACCTGGCAAAAGAGGTAAATATGATGGACAGCTCGAGAAATGCCTATTTTTACTACTGTACTCTGTAGTGTTTGATCAACATTGCAAAGAAAGAGTTTTAATCTTACAAAATCGCATCACGCCCATGATTTTCGTTATTATTTCTAAAATATTACTGATTGAAAGTCTAAGATGGCCATATATTATTTGTAAATATGATTTTATGACAAATGGCATGTGATAAAATATTTTGAAGAGGGGAAAGAAATATTTATGATTCTAAATTTTAAAAAACTATAACATAGATCTACATGTAACTTGATATTTGTATAATTTTCAGAGAGAGAGAAAAGACATTATCCTCATATCCAACACACACCAGATAAAACTATATTTAAACCTACTGGTAGGAGATATATACCACATGGACATGGTCCATCAGGAGACTGGACTAGACCACACGCTCAAAGTGTACAAGTAGAGTATTCAAAGTAAGTCTTATACTTGTACTATTTTAATTAATAACTGTTTGATTTGAGTTTGACATTGAAACTTGAAACACTTTGAGTTTTACATTTTCTACACTTTTATATAAATCAGATAATGGATTTTCAAAAAAATAGGTAATTAGACTATTGAATTACCCCATAGCTATTGATAGATTGTATTTAGCTTAAAGAAATGTCATCAAATTTCAATTTTGATCAACATTGGATGACACACAATGGCTAACCTATACTTCATGTCTAAGAGTGGCAGACGCTCACTTTAATAAGGAACATATGAATAATAGTTTGATATTAAGAAAGATACATTTCACCAGCTATGAGAAGTATTGATTCTATTTTAGATGTGGTCCAGACTGGGAATCTAAACTAAGGTACATTCCCCATCCTCAAAGAGAAGAATATCCAGCCATGGAAATCTGGGAGAATAACTGGAAATCAATGAGAGCCTACCCTTGTAAGTATTATTTACAATAGATTATTATTGTCTTGGATGATATTTAACAAAGTCAATAGATTAGTAAGAAATGCTTAGTTAAAGGAATACTACCTCTTAGAATGATAATAAAATATATATTCTTGAACTTTGCCAATAAGATTAGATTGTATTTTATTCACCAGTGGACTAACTTGGTGTCTTAACTATACAACAGAATCCCTCTATAATGCAATAAATCCATAAAACTAGGTAATTATCTATTTAACTGCAAGTAATTATTGAAAAATGCTTATTTTGTTCATTCTAAGAAGTAGCTAGTGCCCCTTTTAAGCTAGGTCTGTGAAATATTTTGAACCTATTGAAGTATTCTACAGTTAGTAATATTCTGTCTTTGCTTTTAAATATGTACCCCTGATACACTGTTTTGAAGGATATGATATTGTGAGATCATCTTATTGTGATGTCATAGAATGTTTATAAGATATTTTATATCAATCAGTAAGATCTATAGTGTAATCCAGAGTATCAGTTAATTGCTGTGAGTGTGAGATAGTTCTTAATTTTGGATGTTTCATATTTCGATTAAATGTTTATTATGGCCAAGTTTTCAAACAGTGGAGCTTAACTGAGCTCTTGGTACTCAAACCATTTAATATACAGGCCTTCATTCACTGCTAAAACTCCAATATTGTATTATTTGATATTTATTTTGCCTGTGTTTAATTCAGTGTACCTGATTTCTATTTCTAGTTACATACCGGCGTAGTAATACAGAGTGGTTGTTAGACCCTGATCATCATCGTGTTGGATTACGCTGTTATTTTAACGGCTCCCATAAAGCTACAATGACTTCAGAAAGAGAGTTGTCACATTCAATGTTATTTGGTAAAAATAGAAAAGGTGAGAAGAAAAGAATTGTATCAGCCATTGACAAGGATATTTGTGCCCATATTTAGGAACAATTCAAAACAAACAGGAGCAATCTACTTTATTTACAAATAAAGGGACAGGTGTGCCATTTTGGGGGAGGTGATTTTAATCTTGAATATATGCAAATAGTCTTCAGAAGTACTAGAAATGTACAAAAACCACATAATTCCTTTAAAAATACTTCAAAGTAGGAATTTTACTCACTATTTCTATATATCTTTTCTATTTATCACAGAGTATCTTAAATTGACAAGTTGTCATTTTAACATTCAAACGCAGATAATTATTACTGGTTAGCTTTGCTAAAAAATTCCAGTTTCTGAGATCATGATTATGAGTATGATTGGTAAAAAAAAAAGGGTCTACTATTGCTTATTGTGTAAAAATCATTCAAAACTGACTAAGGTTTGAAATAAAATGTACCTATATCCTTAAATGGAATATGAATAAGTATATAAGTAAACTCTGTGAATTTCTGAGAATTATGACAAACTGAAAAATCCCACATCCCAATTGATTTCTCTCTTGTGATATTCTGTATAATATTCTATTCTAGATTGGGCTATAGACAAGAGAAATCAGATACCAGAAGCCTCAGCTGGAGATAAAAACTACCAAGTTGTAGAATATTCACCAAATTTCCATTTCGAAGGTTCCACAAGACCTATTGTACAGTTTGGGTGAGTTAGTTTCTTTGGTTTTTAGGAAGAACTACATAATAGATGCAAAAATCTGTGGATTTTTCACACAAACATGACCCTAATCTATACACTTAACTTATGGATATTGTTCAGAAAATTTCACAATATAAAACAAATAGGCTGTAGATTTAATGATATTTGTCCAATTGATATTTCTAAAAACCCATACGAAATTTTTGTCTTAAGTATATTTTCATTATAATGGGGCAGTATAATTTATTTACATGTAAATGGGTAACATATCTGAGTACAATTTGTCATTTATTTTTCAGTTCTCAGGCATCTAGTATGAAACCACTAACATTTATACCATTACAGACTTTACCTCCAATAGATCAGTAAGTCCTTTTTATTTTGTACGTTATATATGAAAAATTTATTCTACTTTCACTTGTAGATGTATCCTCTGTCTTCTCACTTTAGATAATTTTCAAGGTGGAAGACCATAACTAGCGCTCTCTTAAACCTACAAAAGGTATGTTGAGCGCCGCCTGATAGGATTAGGAATGTTTCAGATCCAACTGTTCTAGGATTTTAAGTTAGGATGATTTTTAGGATGAGTTATATTATATTTTCAGTAATAGTTTTGAGAGAAAAGAAAAGGAAAGAGTACTCAAAGAAGATATTACAACAGTAGAAAAACTGGAATCCTGGAAACCAGCCACACCTCTACATCTTACAATACCCCAGGAGGAACCAAAAAAACTAGCTCCAAGTTAATGTGGTCATGTCAAATTTTTATAAATACCACAATCACTGTTTGTTAATTCCTTATGATTGAATATTGATTTTTTACATACATAATCATATCAGAATCAGGATCTCAAAATTGAAAAAAAAAAATTAAAATTCTATACTTTTTAAAAAATAATATAGTATTCTGATGTGGTATTAGTTGTAAGTTTGATTTGTTTTATTGTTTTGAAACTTAGATATATACAGTTTTTGATATCTTTGATCTAATGTTTTTTGATCGAATGTGATATTAAACTTTAAATGGCAAATTTTTTATTTGTAATTGCACATCAATTTGTTAGGAAAATAATGAAGAACTCTATTCAATTAGGATTAGTTCTAACATTGCTCAAATCATACTTGTATACATGATAATTGTGCTGTGATATTATATTTGACTGTGATAATCAAAATTATTATTAACCATTGTTTTTTCCTGTTTGTAGTGATATAACTTATTGTTATTGTTACTTTTCAGTTTGTAGATTGAAATACACATTCTATATTTTATTAATATTTTCGTGTCATTGATTATCAGGTTTGAGTGAATGATGTTTTTTTCTTGAGATATTTTAGTTGATTTTTTTAATGTTTCAATTATTTGAATTATTCAAATCTTGTGATCTTGTAGTTTACAAACAATATTTACATATTATATTATTATACTCTTAACTCTTTTATACAATTGTCTCAATAAAGAAACACGAGATATATAGATAAACTATTTAGAATTTTATTTTGTTTATGTGATACTTGAGATTTGTTTGTTGATTGTCCACTTGTTTGTTAATAAAAAAGTAAAATTCAGATCACTGTATTGTCCAAGATGATACAGTATTTGTAATATGCCTCCTATCCTGACAGTGGGATAAATATTTTATTAGTCTTGATATATAAGGAGGGGTGCAAATTGTGTGGCCTTTACTGTTTGCCGCCAAGCAAATTACATATTAAATGCCAGTAACCGCATTTCAAATCCATTTCAGCTAATAACCTTTGAGTGAAATAACAAATTATCTTAGTCTTTCCAACCCACCTAAAGGGACGAAAAACAACTGTCTCCCCAGGAAAGAGATCTTTACCCACCCAGTTCTGTCGACATATGTTTAACTATTTTTGGCATGAATCTTACTTATGCTATATTTGAACCTGCGACCGTGATACGAGACCTTGACACCTAAAGAAACCTTTCAGTGGCGTCGCCAGCCAGTGGAATCGTCTAAGTCGCAAGCCTGTCTTGGAAGGATTGAGAGGGTTGAAAATTTTTGAAAAACTGAATTTAATTGGTTCATTCTGACACATATTTTTGGGCAAAACGTATAAAAATCATATTTCTTAAAACGAAAGTGGGGGTGGGCAAATGCCCCCTTGTACTCCCACTGGCGCCGCCACTTAATGATAAACCACTTTTGTTAAAATTAAGGTTATAAGAAATCTGGTTTTGATAAAGTCAAAGATTATATATAAAGATCAATTGATAAGGAATCTAAACCCGTCTTGCTGCACTACAGAGATGACGGTGCTAAGTGTTCTATGTTTGTGTTTCTTTGCTTATTCGCAAGGTTTTATCCTCGACGGAAAGAAATTTCCCTTCCAAGATACGAATTTATCTTGGGAGAAGCGAGTTGATGATTTGGTCAACAGATTGACCCTCCAGGAGCACACAGAGCAGATGGCTATCGGGTCCGGATCAACTCCCGATATCAAACGATTAGGGATTGGACATTATTCGTGGTGGTCGAACTGTGGACGTGGTGCAGTCGGTAATGAAGCTACATCATTTCCTTGTGGGGTAGCTCAGGCAGCAGCTTGGGAGTAAGTTTTAAAAATGCGCATTTTTTAGATTATATCCCCCCTCAATTGTTTTTATCATTTTACATAGTGAATGAATAGCCTGTGCCAACCCCCCACACCTCCCTGGAAAATTTTGTGGCCCCCTTTTGCCGCCACTGCCATCGTCACAAGCAAGAGGTGCCCCTGTGTATGATTTCTTAGCTTATATATGTTAAGATATAATATATAATTATGCTAATACTATAGAGCCTCTTAGCAGATGTATGGCAAATTTCGTGTCTTGTCTTCAAACTCAAAAGTCGTGCTGTTGCTATTTAGCAAAAGCTTAGTTACACAATAAATATTCTCAAATTAGAATTTTGTACTGTTACCCTCCTGTTTTTTCATCAGTTCAGATTTATTGTTCCGGGTAGCACGAGCATCAGCTATTGAGACTAGAGCCTGGAACAATATTTGGACGAGCCAGAATAAGTATGGCACCCACAAAGGACTAAGCTGTTTTTCACCTAATATGGACATCCATAGAGATCCAAGATGGGGTCGTAACCCAGTAAGTTGTCATACATTTTGTTTTCTGTTTTTATCAAATAAGTGTTTCTATTACATATACTTTGTTTCACACGATACGTATTTCTATATAGCTTACCGCATACTTATACAGTAAGCATAGCTTTTTCCAATTCAGTATTTCTTAAAATGTTTATTGTTTTTTTTAATGGTGTATTGTGATCGGTTTATGAAATAATTCTTGAGATAACGGTCAAACTGTTATTGTAGGAAACGTGGGGAGAAGATCCTTATTTTGGTGGAGTTTACGCTGAACGATTTGTTAAAGGAATCCAAGGAGATGATCCGAAATATTTATTGACCAGTGCCAGCTGTAAACATTATACCACTTCCGGTGGACCAGAAAATATACCAGTTAGTAGAATGGGCTTCAATGCCAATGTAAGTCGTTATTTTCATTTTTTTGTAAGCTGCTCTTAGATAATAACTTATTAGCTTAAATAAGATCCATCACCGAAAATGATAGATAGATACCAGTATGATTTATTTGGGTTATTGTTAACAAGGGTAAGCGATAAGGAAATACAATTTAAGTATGATTTACAAATCACACACTATGCAAGAGAAAATAGTTTTATAACATAATCAAACGATAGTATTCCGGTGTCTTATAATATGCGTTATTAACTCTGCAGGTAACTGAGCGAGATTTGCGTACCACCTTTCTACCAGGCTATAAGAAATGTGTAGATGCTGGAAGTTATTCTGTCTTATGTGCTTATAACAGGTGATTTACTATTAATGCCAATATCCCGATTTCACGTCAAACTTGTTAAGATATTTAGAAACATACATTATTGTCATGCTGATTTTAAATTGGACATACGGCATATTCTAACAAACATCGAATTTAAAAAGTTGCTTATAGTCAGTTCAATACCGAAGAGTCTTGACATTGTTTTCCACTAAATACATAGAGAAACAACAAACAGTCCTAAATTGAAATTTCTGAAGAGCTTTTTCCATCTTCAATTTTAGAATATGCAGAAAAGAACGCAAAAACTACTTTTCTTTCATGTACACTGGAATTGCGGTATCGACTTAAAGGGATTGTAAAGAGCCTTTTTATGTGTATCGGGAATTTCTTTGACTTCTATTTGGGGAAATCTAATTCTTCGCCCAATGCCTGTGGTTCCTGCAATTCCAGAAAGAGTTAACCAGAAATGGTCAAAGGTGTCCCCGATACACATAAACAGACTGGAAAACTTCTTAACAATCCCTTTAATTCTTCAAAAAAGGCAGCTAAAAGGTAATATAAAATGCTTTCATTTCATACCATCTATATTAAATTAACTAAACATAGAGTGAATGGTGTACCGGCCTGTGCTGATAAATACCTGTTAACCGATATCCTGAGAAAGGAATGGAAATTTAAAGGTTATGTGGTAGCTGATTGTGGTGCCATGGAAAATATGGTCAAGAAACATCACTATTTTAAGAATTATGAAGAGGTTGCCGCAGCTGGTTTAAAAAGTGGAATGAACTTGAACTGTCAAACAAGTAAAGACAATGCCTATTTGTCAATTGGTGAGTAGAATTAGACTTGTGGTACCCACATAGAATATCATAAAAGAAGGGGCATTGCACACGGGGCATCATTCTGTGATGTTGTTAGTGATATGGTGTGTTTCTTTTCTAAAACATCCTGTGTCATTATGCAAAAAGCTTAATTGTGTGGGGTCGTCTCAATACTCCAATTTTCATTAGCCTAGTATTGGTTTTTGTAGAATAATAACCAATTTAAATACACACTTTTCACCAATTTACAAACCCCTCTTTTCAGCCGATGCTGTCAACCATGGGAAAGTTTCCATGGATCTTGTAAAAGACATGGCCAAACCGTTATGGATGACCAGAATGAGATTAGGTGAATTTGATCCACCTGAGCACAATAAATACAGGAAGATTTCCCATTCCTCTATACAGACTCAAGCTCATAGAGATCTAGCTGTAGAAGCTGCTATGAAGTCCTATGTACTGTTGAAGAATAAGGACCATTTTCTACCCTTGAATAAAAAACATAAATACAATACAATCGCTGTAAGTAACTGGTACTTATTGACAAACAATATATTTTACAAGATAAACATGTGGGAGTAGATAGGGCCTTTAGTGTTTACCTTCTCGTTTATAGTCGGTCAGAATTTTACTAGCAGCACCCACGCTATTAAACATATATTACTTACTATCTACTCGGACAAGTTGATATTGTTGGACGAAGAAGTCTGAATAATTGTTTTTCTAGTCCTGTTTTCAGATAACACTTTTTTTTAGATTATTCGTTATTGCCCTCTCTGAAAAAACAAAAGGTTATATTTCAGAATGTCTCGACGTAGCTATAATTTATCAATATCTCGATGCTCTCATATCTTTTGCTTAATATTAATTTAATATTGCCCTGTTTCAGATTGTAGGCCCACAAGGAGACAATATCAATGACCAATCTGGTGGATATTCCCCTCGGGTTATGGCTAAATACGCTACATCTATAAAGGACGGCTTGGCTCAGTTAGGTCACACGACCCATACAGTGAATGGATGTAAAGATGGTACTCCGTGTACAAAATATGATTCCCATGCCATTTTAAATGCTGTTCAACATGCTGAGATAGTATTTGTTGCTCTTGGTTTAGGTACGCAGCCACATTTCCTTTTTTCTACAAATCGATAGCGCTTGTTTAATTTAAAGCTAAAATGCGTTATTTACCCTTCAATTGACCAGAAGAAGCTATGAGCTGAGTTAAAAGGGCCAATGTGGCATTTTGAGGGGTTGATTTTTGCCTTGAATATATGTAAATAGCCTTCAGAAATACTAGAAATGTACGAGAATCCCATAATTCCTTTAACGATACTTACAACTAGGAATTTTACTCACTGTTTCTATAATTATACATGTATGTCTTTTCTATATATATCAGAGTATCTTAAAATGCCGAGTCGTCATTTTAACATTCAAACGCGGATAATTCTGGACACACATGGATTTGAAGGTTCATATTTCGATGGTGAGCTGTAAAAACCATTACTGATTGGCTAAGCTAAAAAAATTCCCGTTTCTGAAACTAAAGTATGATTAGTCCAAAAATTTGCGCAGCTGTCCAGCTAAATATCGAACTAGATACATAATACTAGTATTGTTAATTTCATAGTCTATTTTATAGTTACAGGGTGAACAGAAGACACTTTAATTGTTTAATGAAACAATGTCCATAGTATAGATCTAATTAGATATTATATCGACTTCTAATTTGATATTACAGGTAATAAATTAGAACATGAAAGTAAAGATAGAGCAGACATCAAACTTCCCGGTCATCAGTTGACTATTCTACAAGATGCTATCAAACACAGTACGTATTCAGATACTTTGCTCTATCTTCAATGAATCAATAGCTCAGAAGGTATACAGACCATCAAATATCTGGGATACACAAACAGGTGTTGCCCTATTAATGATACAGGTCGGAGGAAAAAGCGTATAACAGGATGGGACAAACAAAGGCTACTGTATCTCCATCTGCATCTGCATCTTCATTAGCCAAATTAGAAACAGAAAAGTTTCACAAAGTTGTCCTTTTCGTTTCCATATATCCAGGTCCTCACAATGCCAAGGTTGTACTATTAATGATGTCCACAGCACCGTTTGATATCGAGGAATTTGATAGAAATGATAAGGTAGCTGCTATTATTGAGCTATTTTATCCTGCACAAGCTACTGGTACTGCTCTACATCGTCTCATAGTCCACCAGAATCCCGGGGATGTCTTCTCTGGTAAACTTCCATTTACTTGGATGACAGAGCTTAAAAAGGTAAGTCTTGTAAAAGAGAATAATCGTCAACTGCAGTTGAGTGGAGAGCTATTGACAAAATGTCGGACGAAATATTGGAAGCACTTGCATTCACATAAATTTGAAACGAAACATTCACTGGGATTTCAAACTTCCATTGATCTCTGGTATATTTTGTTTTTGTGCATTATATGGAATTTTATCCCCGATAGATACCCTATGTGGGTCTGGATCTCTCTTAAAAGTGACTCTGGTGTCACTTTCAGGACATCTTGGGTCATGCCATCTGGTACCAGTTACTATGCTGGAGTTCTACATGATCAGATAACATTGTCACATTCAGGTACACCATATGGATCAATCAATTATTGTACCATTAACTATGGAAGGTCAGGGGATCTACGTGTTGGTGCTCTGCTACCTAACAATGGACTCTTTCCTTTGAATTCTCTGTAGGTTCCACCAATGGTAGATTATTCCATGAAAGAAAGAACGTACCGGTATATCACGTACCAGCCGTTATATCCATTTGGTTATGGTCTTTCTTACACTACATTCCATTACTTCCATCTATCAATGGATACTGATGTTCAGGCCGGTCACGATGTTAAAGGTTTCTTTGTCTTGGAGAATACGGGACCACTTGATGCCGATGAGGTAAATGTGATAATGATATGTGTCATCTTTCGCAACTTCGTATATTCCTTGTGATATCGTCTCCTGACCAGACGCTTAATATTTCTCGACCGTTGGAAGTTGGCAATAGTAAAGGACATTAGGTCAGTAGTGAACATAAACACAAAACTCCTTATCAATCAGTTCAGACGATAAATTATTAACCTTTAAATATCTTATCTATATGAAAGGGACAGTGGTGTCATTTTGGGGGGTTGATTTTAGTCTTGAATATATGTATATAGTCTGCAGAAGTACTAGAAATGAACGAAAATCGCATAATTCCTTTCAAAATACTTAAAACTAGGAATTTTACTCACTATTTCTGTATATGTCTTTTCTACATATCACAGAGTATCTTAAATCGACGAGTCAATAAGTGCAGATAATTCTGGACACACATTGAAGGCTGTGAACACTGTTACTTATAAGCTTGTTTAAAACAAATTCCCGCTTCTGAAATTATGGGACGATTAGTAAAACGAATGGCGAACCTGTCCTTGTAAGACTGACATTTATTTTATTTCAGATTTCTCAAGTTTATATTAAATGGGTGAAACCTCGAGTCGAAACTCCCAGAATACAACTCGTGGATTTCTCCAGACGCCATTTTCCCAAACACACCCGGCAAACTATACATTTTACCATCAAGGCCGAGAACATGGCGGTTTGGGTAGATAACTCTGGCTGGGAAATAGATCCTGGTAAGCATCAATTAAGATCTGTGGTTCCCAATATTTCGTAACTCAAATATGTTTACTCTATGTCTGGATACCACTTAGTCCTCCGTTTTTCATACATCGAAATATGGTGCAATGAGTTAGCTTGGCGGTGAGCAATGGCCAATACAACATATTAATGTCAAGCTATTACGAACTTCGTCTTATACCTTGACTACAATAGCCACCTTCCATATATCATTCTTTGTAAAATCTAGTGTAAGCTAACAAATACAGCTAATCAGAGCCTTGAACAGAAAGTCTGTAAACAATACGCCGTAATGTTTACAGTTTTTCTCATGAGGGCTCTTACAATCCAATTAAATCACAGCATTCTGTGACTATTGGCTATTGCAGTCAAGGTATAAGGCTAAGTTTGTAATAGCTTGGCAATGTGAAGATGGGGCCAATATAATACTAAATTGGAACAACCAACATGCACCAAACATGTCTGAATGAACCAGGTTTCATCAAAATGACTCAAATGTTCACCTCATAAGCTTGCTTTGATCGACATACAGATCTAGACTGGTTTATCTGTTATTGTCAATATCTTGATTAGTAACAACACAACATAATTATGATTAAGTATTTAAATTTTAAACCCTAGTGTCTGTGTTTCAGGTACAATAGAAGTGTTTGTTGGTGGACAGCAACCAGGACAGCATAAATCAATCAGTTCCAATATTCTACACGGTTCCTTTAAAATCACAGGATCCAAGAAACTGGGCAAATATTAGTCATGAAGAAATACAAAACAGTAAAATATTTGTGTATGAATATGCATCGGGTGGGGAGACTGTCATAGGGCAGCAGTCGATACATATTCTCCGAGACTTCATTCGAGTGCAGCAAATGTCATTCTATCTACGATCCAATACTCTCTCTCTCTCTCTCTTCTCTCTCTCTCTCTCTCTCTCTCTCTCTCTCTCGCTCTCTCTCTCGCCTCTTTCCATTGTCAAGATACACTTCCATCTTCACAATATCTAGCTAGTACGAACTTCGTCTTATACTTTGACTGCGATAGTAACTTTTCTTGTATCTCGTAAGTTTGTAAATCGAGCGAATTGAATCGGAGCTCGCTACAGAAAATCTGTTAAAGGGACAGATGCGCCATTTTGGAGGGTTGATTTTAATCTTGAATATAAGTAAATAGTTTTCAGAAGTACTAGAAATGTACGAAAATCGCATAATTCCTTTAAAAATACTTCAAACTAGGAATTACTCACTTTTCCTATATATGTCTTTTCTATATATCACAGAGCATAACAGAACACGGATAATTCTTGACACACAGGGATTTGAAGGATCAAATTTCGACGGATCAAATTTCAACGGTGAGCTTTGAACACTATAACTGATTAGCTTAGCTAAAAAAAAATGCCCGTTTTAGAGAAAAAAAATTGGCCTACCCGTCCCTTTAACAGTATGCCAATAAGGCCATAATGTTCAGTCTTTATGTCGAGGGCTATGATAAGCTGTATTTGCTGCCGTACAATCCAACCAAATCGCTGCATTCCGTGAAAGTGAAGTGACGATGTTAATACAACACACCAATTGGTGTGTGTCAACACAGGTGGCATTGTAAGTCGGAAGGTCAAACACAAAATCAATGAATTCTTCACTTAACCAAAGTGGTACTGCTTGCTTTCACGAAGACCAGGATACAATTCCAAAATCTGTTCAGTTACGTCCTCTGAAATGGTGCAATAAACATACAAACTGCTTAATTTTTGACAGTTTCTAGCAATGGCCATCAAAGATTCTTCGACGTATTTTGATGGTTCGGCGTAAACCGTAAGATTTTCTAAAGTTCGAGGGTAATTTTCGGCTATAAAATTCAATTCCTTTGAAACATCCGAATACATTTCTAGATTCACATCATTGACGGGTATTTCCGGGCACAGAATTTGAGAAAATTTGTCTTGGCTGAAGTTGGGATCAAAAATAATTTCAACTTTTAAATTGGGCCATTTTTCAGTAAGCGTTTTCCACGAACTTTTAGAAATTATGTTGCTATAGTTATCTTGATGACGACATTTGATTGACAGGTGATCAAATGGATCACGGCCTTCTTCTACCAGCTTCTCTAGAACCTCGTCTGAAAGGTTGATATAAAACAAACTCAAATTTTTCAAACGTTTGCAATTGTCTAGCAAATTCATAATGTATGCTGGATGAACCTTAGAAATCATAATTTCAGTCTGGATATTCAAAGATTCCAAATTCTTATGATGGCTTGACAATATTTCCAAGAACTCTTTGTCCAAATCTACCCATAGGCAGCCGACATCAACTTCCAGCAAGCTACCAGTGTCGTCATCTTGATTTTTTGCACTGAAAAATGATTTCAGCGCTTTCACGAATTCTATTCCAGAGAAAAACAGTGGATTTTCTCCAACGAATTTCAGTATCAGAATTGAAACTCTTTGGTTTCCAAGGTTACTTAGAATGTTCAAAACTTCACAAGCATTTTCTCGATTGAACTTTTCCTTCTGATCCAAAACGATGCTCACAGATTTCATTAAATGGCCATTTTGTTTGACCACGTCTAATTGAGCTGTATCGTCCTCTGTTTTAAAAGTAAAGGTGTAATATCTCCATGGGTTTCAGTGTGTCTAGGGCCATTTCAGTATCTGAAATAGAATTTTTAAAAGTTTCCATTGAGGTTAACTTATTGAGGAAATAAAAAAAAACTGTAAGTTTCACATAGTTGAAAGAGTTAGGTTGAAACCATAGCCCCTTTTACATTTCTTTCAATTAGAACTATTCTGAGCTGTCTCTTTTGACACACAATCAATGTGCTTCAATTTATTGACTACTAAGGGCCTGAAATACAGTGAATCAACAGCGACTCTGCTCTGTGAAAAACGGTACAAGTTGGTTAAATTTTACCACTAATCTAAAGTTTTTAACTTACCTTGAGTTAGAGCCTAACATAGCCTATGTGTTAGATGAAAACAATTGTACAATATTCTTAGCTTATGTAGACAACTGTCGTAGATTTTGTTGATATAAGCCACTATCTCATAATAGTAAAAGTTATAGCCATATAGGGCCTATAGACAGGACAAAATCAATGTAAGTCACATTATATACAAATATGGTATTGATGAAAGAAAGACTTGTTAAATGATTTGGCTTGTCAAAACTACCGTAGCCTACTACTGGTCTTATATGGACATATTCTAATGATATATACAGTTTCACAGATAGGGACTTACCACAGTCCGCTACTTAAAACGTGCATCCCCAGAGTACACCACAGGCCTTAATAGAGGCTTATTATATCATATTATACGGATTGCGAAATAATTGAATGTCCTAAATAATGACTTGCCGGTATTTATAGCAATTGACCAAAAAATATCTACCTGTAATCAAGTCGGCTCTATATTGGACTCATGTTGTTACAGTAAGCTAAAAATAGATGTTGATTATTTGGTAAGATGAAATTCATACTAACAAACCTCTTTGATATTACATCAATGTGCGTGAAATTAACAGTTTCTCTTGTAACTAAACAGTTGTAGTCTGTAGTGTAGGCGAAGTTAAACACGAGTTATTTCCCTTCCACTACATTAATCATAACAGTCTTGCGGAACAAGGAACCGGTGATATGCAGGAGGTAGGTACCACGGGATAAAACTTATAAACTTTATCAAGCCACCTGAAACACATTCTTACAAACGACTAACATAGTTACTTTGAATAACTTTTTGATGTGTTCAATAAGTTGGAAGTGTTGGATAATATTATTATAAAGATGGAGTTAAAAATAACTTATTTACAGTTATAAGACTTTTATTCATCTTGACCCCAAGCTTTATATAAAGGTCAAGGTCATATTTACAAACAAAGTAAAAGTAGTGTTCCTACTTCATTTGGAATTAGTTGTCGACTGTAACTACCGGTAAGTCCTAAGTAGCTGTAAATACCAAATTTTTGAAATATTCCATCCAATTTCATTTGCTTTTATTCTAGAGTCAATACATTAAATGAAATGAATATCAAATTCTACTTTTCTAAACGGAGTTGAAACTTGGCACAGTTTTCTGTTGGCAACCTCTGTGCCCTTCCCCCTTTTTTCTTTATTGGAGGTATGAAGAAAAGTTAGGCCATTTGGTAAGTGTGGGCACTAAGTAAAGAATATGGTTATAAGTAATGTAGGCCTAATAAGTGGCTTGCTTAATCCCATTTTGCAGTGGCATAGCAAGGATTTCATTGACAGTGGCCACCCAAGCATCCCTTTGCAGATTTGAGGGGTGCACTAGTCGTTGGGTCAGGCATGGCCAAAAGTTACCGCCTTCTAAATAAACCACTGCTAATTTCTTATTTTTCAGGAGCAAAGAGCAGATTGAATTTTAAACATCAGAATGACAACAGAAGTAGAATTTCAATGGACAAATCTTCCAGACCATATCATTGTTCATATTTTCTCTTATTTAAATTTCAATCAAAGATGTAAATGTGCTCAAGTTTGTAAAACATGGCTGACCTGCTTCAATCAACCGTTGTTATGGAAAAAATTTACATTTTATTTCATCAAGAGTGAAGATAAACAATATCTTAATTTAGCAACGCTTCACGGACATCATATGAAACATGTGAGTATAATACTAGATCAACATGAAAAAGAAAATCGGGAAAAAGCTTGCGAAGTTATAAATATATTTAGTTCGATAGAAGATCAAAAAGTTTCATCACTATCTCTGAAATTTGTTGGAGAAAATCCTTTGTTTTATGCAGGTTTGGAATTCATAGACACCTTAAAAATCTTCTTTGCTGCCAACCATCAAAATGGCAAGACTGGGTATTTGACGGAAGTTGATTTGAGTGGACTCTGGATCGATTTAAATGAAGAAGTGTTAGACATCTTGGCCACAAATCACAAAAATCTTCAGAAATTAAATATTCAGAATCGAAGCTTGATCAGCAAAATATCGCCTGCATGTTTAGTTCGTGTTTTACACCAGTGTGTTCAGTTATCAGAATTGAGTTTGTTTTACGTTACTCTTTCTGATGAAGTTTTGGAAACTTTTGCTGAGGAAGGACGATCTTCGCCGCTAAAATACTTATCTATCAAATGTCGACGACAGGAAAAATTTGTAAAAATTTTATCAGACAATTTATGGAAAAATTTGCATAAAAATTCACCAAACTTAAAAGTAACCATGATATTTGATCATAATTGTCTTTTAGAAAAGGTTTCATCCATTTTAAGTCCAAGTCTTCCAGTCTCAGAGCTCCTTCTTGAAACCTTTACGATGCTTTTTGACGAGATAAACCTGGCAGCGTCTTATTATAGAAATACTCTGGAGAGACTGGTCGTTCAAACACGACCTTCACGGGAACTGGAAGAAGCTCTGATAAATGTCACCACAAAGTGTCATAAGTTAAAAAGTCTGATTGTGTATTGTGTTCTCTCGGAAGAAACTGTGGATAAAATTCATGCTCTGTGTCCCAGACTGAAGGAAGAAAGGAATTATATTTTAAAGACCGTGATGGACCCAGAGCCTTGGATTGTTGGAGTTGAAGAAGGTGACTAAGCTGATGTATTTTTTAAGATTTTACTCACTAATACAATGAAATGTCTAAATGCTAGAATTCAGCAAATAATTGAGTGGAATTTTCGATATAACTCCTAAAATAAGAGAGCCAAAAGTTTGTTCCGTAGAGATATATACACAAGCTTTCTTCTGAATTGTGTTATCTGAATCTTCTAATCGCCACAGATATAGCAAAGAATTCATTGGAATGTCATCACAAAACAAGGCTAATAATGCAATATTATCTCGTAATAAGTCAAATAATTTGCATAAAGGCCTGTAATTTGACCAGGACTTCAATTTTTGTTCTAGTTTTATGAAAGTTATGAAAGACTAAATATCAACCTGTTAGTGAGCCAGTATGGAACTAGACGATAGTATTTCACGCTTACAGATTGTATATAGATTTTTATCTCCACGCTATATATGCTCCATCTTTCTTCTGAATTGTTTTCTTTTTTCGACTCTTCAAATCACCAAGTTATGGTGCCAAGATAGTGCAATAGACATATATTTGTTTTCACGTATTTGGGTATTTTTTTTTTAATCATTTATGTCTAAATGACGGAAATGTAATAAATGAAATTCATAGGATTGTTTTATTTGTTATTGGCTGTATTTTCTTTCTTTATCTTATTTTTTATTGTTTTTATAGGTTTGTAAGAATAAATTCAAGCATAATTTAAATTTTGAGAAAATCGGGAAAGATCACCTTTTTTTATAGAGCCAAGATTATCGTTTCTTCTAAAAAATATTGACTCATATTAAAAAATCATTTTATTCCAACAAGAATTATTTGAAACATGAATAAAATAAAACGAATACATCTATTAATGAAATTTACACCAAGATACAAAAAATTAACAAAAATGAATTTATAATGGCCCAAGTTATAATACATAATATTAATGCACATCTAGGCTAGAATCAAAACATCAACAGTACAATTCATTTCTTGGTACTTTGATTAGTAATCAAGACAATATTGTTTTTTTCTATTAAAATTTTAATCACCTAATAAAAATGTGGACTGTTTAGAGTTTTTAATCAGAACTGAATGTGCATCAATTATGTTGCGGACACACGAACAGTCTTGATCGCTGATTAGATTCTTGTCATGATTTTTGTCGCTGATTAGATTGTTCTTTTGTCATGAGTTTCGTCGACCGGCTGCAGAAGACAAAAAATCAGCAGTCAGTGGTTTTCCAGTAAGTCGATAATCATAAGTGCAAATCATACCATTGAAAGGAAATTGAATCTGATTGGATAATGACACTCTGTCTTGCAGTTTGATATTATAAATCTTGTCAGCAACGCGATAAGCTTAACGTGGAAGTGCTGGCACTCGTGAGGTTTTACATAAGATTCAAGTCAACAACAAAAATCGGAGACCAAGACTGTTAGTGTGCCCACACCATTACCTAACTCAACTATACCCAGTAATATAAAGATTGTATTAAACAATTGGATAAGAACACATAAATATAAAGAATGTTTACATCAGAGTTAAATTCTGAACTTTGATACTGGTAAACCATATTGACCTTTATCAGCCAAAAAATGTTTCCTTTTAGGCTTACACTAGATTTCAATTCTGCACAGTGATACTGATAGCTGATATTGAGTTCTATTAGGCCAGGAAGCAAATATTTAGCGATTATACCCTTCATTAACAGTTGATAAGAGATAAAAATGGTAAAATCTAATATATTCCAGTTGTTAAATAACTATTCCCTGAATGTATAATTTGAAAAAATGCTCTGAATGAAAAACATACAGCATGTTGATAAATACATTCTGTAACCATTCAAATAAGCGAAATCTGATTATGGTTAACATATTGAACAAAAGAAACAAAAGCAATGATGAAACAGGTGATCTGAATGTTCTTGCTTCAGATAAACAGCACAATATGGAATTGTATATGCTTTGAAAACTTGTTACAGAAGTATTCTGAACCCTCACTCATATTAGCACCATACATTTACTAATAACACCCCACAGAATAGAAATGCATCACAAGATATTCCAATAACGCATGGTAAGAATGATTACTTAAAAAATATGTACAGCACCGAGAAAATCAATCACTTTTTCTAACTCTCCCACATTATGTCTATTCAATTTAATTATTTCACAGATCCTGATATTCTGTTTCTTTTAATTTCTGAAGGCTCCTTCACTCATTCTAAATCTAATTAAGAATTAAACATTGGACTTCGTCATTTATTCAGTTTGTCACATGATCAACTGCGTTTAAACATCAATAAAGCTAGTGAGACCAACGTTTAATTCTTACATTTATATTCAGATACTTTTATTAACACAATTTTCACCTTTTTATATGATGGGTTTCTTGAATTTACTACAAATCTTAGATTGTGTCATTGTTGTGCTTTGATGACATCGAAAAATAAACGCCAATGAGTGTAACTGGTTTATTGACGGTAGTGATAGTAGAAATGTAAATATTTTTAAATGACGTTTTTAAGCTTGCAATTAACAAGACGTTTTTAAGAAGGTGTCTATCCATGTACAATTATTATAGTCTTCACTTTATTGGTCAAATTTATTGATTCTAAATGAAGTTAAATTCAGATTACACATGGATTTGATCTAATTCAATTTTGGTTGGCATATATTAACATAGTACATTTATAATCTCAAGTCAAACCATGTTGTCTAGTCTAGAAAAATAGTTCCAAGTAGATATATCCTAGGGAAGATGGACTATAGTACCCAGGTGTTAAAAGTTATTTTTATAACAACTTAAAAGAAACAAAATATCAAGAGAAATATAGTAATCAAATTGCATCACCAATTCATTACACGAAAAATAATGTCCACATGGCCATAATAACGTTTAAACCCAATAAAATAGTTCCATATAGAATGATCAGGGTGTAAATCAATCCACGTGTTTCACGATCTGGTATCGTACTGCGTAATGTTAGTTCTAAAAAGGCGTGGCAGATAAACTGTCCATCTAAAGCGTAACAAGGAACCACGTTTAAAATCACTAGAGCACCAGACAATGATATAAGATATCTGATAATTGGTTAAAGAAATTAAATGGAAATTTCACAGGCAACACAATGGGAATATCACAGAACAGTTGAGTGACAATTTATGGGGAATCCATTTCTGGATATGCAAATATCTTTGCTGCGGCATCTTATATGTTACTTCTTCCATTTTAAAACTAGAGGTGGAAATTAGTGAAATCTGGCAGTCATATTAATCAAGACTATGCTATGTGGTCAAAACCAACCACATTTTAAAGACATAAGTACTATTTGACTTTTCCAGTGAAATAACATAGTCGCCCTCTTGAATATCAAACTGTTCTACTTACCTCCAGTGAACTTATTTCATGTTTGTAAAAGGATACTTACAGAATGTTTCGACCATATAAGGAAGATGTAGTGGTACATAAGAATTATTGGGTACATAATTACTCACAGATACTGTAATATAAAGATATAAAGATTCACCAACCACTGACAATTTCATGAAAGCAAAGGCAGACACAAGACGGCTATAGAAAGAAAGTATCAAACTAGTGCAATATAACCTCAGGTCAAATGGACAAGAATAATATTCTCCTTACCTGAAAGATGTAAGTCTAGAGGATGTCCAAGAAACAGTAATGGTGGTTTACGACCGTGGTTTATACGTAATAATTTAGTAGAATTATCAACCATTGGGTAAGCACAGACTATTTCTATTTTTGGTGCGTGACAATCTGTCTGTAATTTACAAACTGGTCTGTCAGTGGTCGTTCGTGCTGGTAGACAAGCATATTTCTGAAAATAAAATAAAGTGATATGTGTATATGAGACCTGTATGAATTTGTTTTCATGAATATTCAGTAGTATCAAATGGTGTTGGCTTCGATGCTCATGTTTAGTAAACTGGTGTCAATGGCCATTATTTATGAATAACATAATCATATCTGATGATTTTGCAAATTGCATTAGCATATTATTTCAAATGAATCACCAATCCTCAACTGATTCATATCTGTATCTAAAAATCTGCAAGTGACTTACACCCTGGAAATAATACACTGCATCAAATACTCAGAAATCTTTAAATCTAAGACGCAAAAAAAATATTTATAGACCAACCTGATTAGGACTAGCTCTAGTATGATATAAAAAACAGAGATGTGTATCACTAGTAAAATTACAACAATCTATAATATTTCTGGTGGTAGTTATGTTCTCATGTTCTGAAAAAACAACAAAACATTTTAGTTACAACTAACGAGGCCATAGCCATGTTGATCTAATAGTATCAAAATGGCTCAGCCATGATACTTACAGGCAGGAATTTTCAACCTAATGGTAATTTTGAAATATTTGGGGGGCCCTTTGTAGTCAAGAAACACATTTGTTGACAATTATAATCTAAGTCATTCTATTCAGTCAGGCTATATTCTCTAGCATGGACGAGTTGCAGTAAGTTAAAACCTGAGTAAATCAAGAAATGGTAAGGATTAGTACGGGGAAGGGGAGTAATGCAATTGATCAAGGATCTCAAAAGGGAAATAGTATGTATAAGGTTGAAAACCCCTTCTTACTAAAGCAATATAAAGGTTTGCCAATAGTACAAAAAAGCATTGATCTTATAGTACTAGCAGCGTATTGTCGAAACAATCTTAGCGCTAGGATATCCTAGGCTCCTATCTTCTAACACTGTTTCTAGTCTTAGCGCTAAAATGGTAAAGTGGTCCTGAATATCCACAAGCTGTGAACTTACTGTAAATAAGTTTAGGTGAGGAATCTAGCTCCTGTATTAAAGCAGTAGGCATACAATGGCCTAGAGACTGTTCTCGTATACTCTGTGATATACAACTATACCACTCTTCTTGATTGGTTACCTGGCAACCACTGATACTAGTTAATGGTTCGCCAGCAGCTAGACCTCGCGGACCTGATACTGACGAACCCTGAAACATTGATAGAAATAACATAATTCAAAACAGTCAGTGGTTTACCCATGACTAGAGCACCTTGACTAGAAACAAGTTTTTGGAAATTGGAAGTGGATTAATCTACTAATCTAATTGCTAAGCAACTCTATCCCTTTACATCCGATCATGTTTGATTCATCAAATGTTTGCTACATCAATTGGTAAATCAACTATAGTAAGTAATATCCAAGCATGTTAACTACTTAAAAACTCTTACCTCCACAACACTAGTAATAACCACTGACTGTCCTGTTGTATAAAATGGCATTAATAAATAGGGCAGTAAAAACAACACCAGTATAGCAGCTAGTACGATAATAAAGTTATGCCACACCCCAGCACAATAAATACGTAACTGACGTAGAGGAGATACCACGTTTAAATGTTCTGATGAAAGATCAACATAAGCTCCAGGATATAACACAAACATAAATAATCCAAAACCATTCACACGAACTTGTTCTCTGTAAATATATAATAAGTTTATTTTTCAAACAGAAATGAAATCAGTAACATTAAGAATAATAAAATCCTATGATAACATCTTAAATCTATGGGCTCTATCTTTATGACAATTCCAACAACAAGGTCCTTATCAATAAATACATAGGGATAAGATCATTGTTCACTTAATTCAAATAGCCTTGTTTCAGGCATGGATTTTAACCAAAACATTATATTATATTTCTATAATATGCACAGTAGAAATATGTACATATGTAATAGTTTCAGACAGGTTAAAGGGACACAATAATTATCTATTATTAACATTTAGCAACTTCAATATACCTGTATGCTTCAAGTGTACATGCAAGCAAACATGCCAGAATTGATATATATCCTGATTCACCTACCTGACAGCAGCTATAGCATGACCTACTTCATGTAGAATACCACAGATTAGTAAAGTTAGAAGATAGTACCATAATTGACTGGTAGGTAGGTTGATACCAGGCATCTAAAATATATAAACAAATACAGCTCTTACTAATGTACAGTTATACAACCAACGCAACAAAAGGTTATTTATTCAATTCACTAAAAATAACTTCCGGAAAGATACCCAACACAAGGTTATTTTTTCAATTCACTAAAAATAACTTCCGGAAAGACACCCTACACAAGGTTATTTATTCAATTCACTAAAAATAACTTCTAGAAAGATACCCAACACAAGGTTATTCATTCAATTCACTAAAAATAACTTCTGGAAAGACACAACACAAGGTTATCAACTGTAAAGGTGAAAAAAGGCAGGTACATTGTTCTCGGCTTGGTGTAGATTGTTTATACAGTAGAACATGGAAAATGCCAATCACGTCTGCATAGCATTTACCCGTATCTTCTGTGTTCTATTTTCTACTGCATCAATAATCCATAAGGTTCAACAAATTCTTTCTGTACTAGACATACCAAGTGAAATAAATATATTGAACTTCATTGCTCGATTTAACCTTTTTCCACCATAACTTTGAAGACTACTAGACTACTTACCACTGGTGTTAAAACTTGTTGTTCTACAGGTTGTTGACGGAATGTATTGACTATTAGTAACGTTAACATACATACTGATATCAACATAGCCACTAGTCCGAATAATACCCCTACAGTAAACCACAGTCGTAAAAACTGGGGACGCCATTGTCCCAGACGTAGAAATGTTCGATTAAAAACACTCGTATACCAGCGGAATTGGCAGATAGACACAGACAATCCAGTATTTTCTAGGAAGCTCAGATAATTTCTAGACCATGGTTTCTTTGTCTGAAAAAGAAAAAAGAATAAAAACATTTTGGGCTTATATTTAAGTCAAGAGCTATACGGATATGATATTTATTAATAGCCCTGTTTAGTAAATAATAAACTTTGGACATGTCATGTGCAACATTCAAGGTATTTAGACATACTGAGCAAGCAACTATAGAAATCATTACTAAAATAAAACCAGTTTAAATTGAACATCAAAGTATCATGAATAAAGTCAGAGAACCTAAACTGGCTGTCCAGCACTCACTGACGAAAAACAAGGGATAATCTTAAAATTATGAAATTTTATAACTAAATTCAAACAGTTTTATACATTTAAATGGATTACTTGAAACCCTTACAAAAATATATAAGAGTCAGGGTTAAGAGTAGATCTTCATCCTCCTGAGCAAATTGTAAAAATAAGGTTTTAATGGCTTGTATCTTAGGCTATTCCAAACAGCATTCCTGTTGACGAGTTACAAATATTGCCCATCGAGTAAAAATAAAAAAAAAATAGAAATTGATATAAAAATCAGGAATATTTAATGATTTCCTCTTTTTTTCAACATTTTTTATGGAATTCTAGGAAAACTGAAAAAAATTAGTTCTTTTAAAGAATTTTAGGGCCGCTGAACAGCCTGATAAATTAAAACCGTCTACTGCCTGTGAGCTAAGATTTTGACATTATCAAGGTTTTGAATTTTATCTTTAAGTGAGACAACCAACCTTTAATAAGCTCAAAATAGAATCTTTTCCTTTGCATGAAATGACATAGGGTTGCATCAGATTTACAAGCAATAATATCAGTATTATGTTTATTATATATTTTAACACTGATATTACAAGCATAAATCTTTCAGTGTAAAAAGGTTTAGTGTATTTCAATATCAAGAGTAAGTTTAGTTCTATAAAAAGGTAAGAAAGCACTTAAATATCATGTTATCTATATCAGCATTATACTAAATTAATGTTTCTTTGATAAATGACATCTAGCCATGAAATAATATAAAAAAGTCCTGTACTCTGTTTCCACATATAAATTGTTGTGTAAGAGCATAATTTTACAACAAGTAACAATAACAAATATTGATCATAACCATTTGTGACAAATAAGTGCCTGATTTCTGTATCCCAAAAGCAGTATTTTTCAATGTAAACTTGCTCACTAACATCAAATTTATATTTTTTGAGGAGTTGGCAAGGACCAGTTTATTGAAATGAAATGAATGGAGTTTCACGTGTTACTTTTCTGCAGGAGTTCACTGAAAAGATGTTCTGCACTAATAGACCTATGATGACTGGCAACATCATGTTGTGAAAATGTCATAATGATTATCATTCCACATTTCACAATGTCTTATTAGTTGCCAGTATGAAATATATACATCTTCTTAAAGATATAATACCTCTTAGCATGACCAAATGTTAAAATGAGTCTTTGTTCATCAGTGAAGTGACCTGGTGTCAAAACTATACAACAGAATCCCTCTATAATCCAATAAATCCATAAAACTAAGTAAAAATTCATTAAACTAAGTAATTTTTTAAAAAGGTTAGAAGATAGTTTCAATAATCTCGTTTAATGGATATATGGTCTTATATAGAGATTCTATTCTTTAGTCATGGCACTGATACACTTGTTGACCAAGTCTGAGACTAAAATTTTATGTCCATTTTAAGAGGTAGTATCATTTTAAAGCCCATGGCTCATTGTACCAATAGATCTGAATCTTAGAGTAATGTAACACAATGCAATTCACCCCTCCTCTCCAGTTGCGCTCTACCTACCTAATATTATATAGGTCCCTTAGATTATGCTACTGGTAATAACCTAGTGGGCCTTACAATCCAAACGAACACCATCTTGATTTTAATACAAAGAATGTAAAGCTAGGTGGTACACAACTGAGGGAAAGAGGTGAAAGGATACATGATTACAAGTAACAAAAAATAATTCACCTTTAAAAACGCATCAAGGAGGTACAGCGTAGACCAGAAGCCAAGAACTAATGCTATCCATGTTGTTGTGAGCATTTCTCCCTTGCTCTAGGCCTACCCTCTTCTATATTGCACAGTCAGAAAAGTTGGACCACTGGCCCTTTCTGGCTTGGAGTTGGGTGTTCTTGATCAATTAGCCTAAGCCTCAGGATTGTTATTGTTTATGATTTGGGAACCAAAAATAGACATGATGCATTTTTGAAAGGGTCGTGTTGAAACTTATTCGTCATGCCACGAAGGCGCCATCGTCAGCGGGATGACGACACATTTGGCACAGAAGTCTAAATAAATTTTGAATGATGAAATCCAGAATAGTCCCCAGCAACTAAAGGAAATAGGAAACCATATCAATTTTATCAACCATGCTGTATTTCCTTATTATTTGTTCGATCACCCCAGTCTGTTTCGAACTCTTTCTACTTTTTGATATTTCAGTCTGGAAGATCAAGACTAAAGCCAAAGTAGGTCAGTTACTGGAAAGAGAAAAATAAAAACAAACGATTTGATTGGTTATTATCAACAGGAAGTTACAGACTTGTGGGAAACGCCGGGCTTGCATCAGAAAAGTCAGCATGGCAAACGACGAAGAAAAATCAAAAAATCTCCAACCACATTTATCAAAACAAGATCTTAACACACTAGTGAGTTTCCCCTTAAAATTAGCTTTTATTTGATACCAAATTCGACCCCTGTATTTCAATAATTTCAGTAACATTTGGGGTCAGAATGTTGAAAATCAGCTGGTTGTGTCTATGAATTGCCAAATACCAACCTATACCATATGGAAATAAAGTTTTCTTAATTTTATATTCTTAATTTTGTTTCGTTTTGAGGCGTAAATTCACCTTTCTTCTTCACATTATAAGACGCCCTGATAAACATTTCAGTTCGGAAACCACAAGCCTGGATTGGATAGATCTACGATCAATTAAAACTTGAACTGAGTAAAGAATGAAAATCTGACAATAGTCAATAGTAGCTGATTTAGACAGCATTTTAATGCTGAGATAATTCTAACTATGAGTCTGTAATAATGTTGTATCTGCTTTATTTTGTAGAGTAGATAAGCAACAATACCTCCTTTATTAACTGGCAATAAGAATTATACAGTGACATATTTTTGTTAATCAAACATTTTATCTCATATATTTCAGGATGTAAAAAAGTTAACACCTTTAACTCCAGATGTTATCAGCAGACAAGCCACAATCAACATAGGTATGTCTGTTCGAGTGACTCATTCCTTTTTTTTCTGCGAGTTTTCCATTCAAATGATCTATGATCATATTGAAATTTTTACTGGTTTATAATTTCAAGAAATAGATTACTTCTTTAATGCAGTTTCTCTTTTCCAATTTCAGGTACAATTGGGCATGTAGCTCATGGTAAATCAACAGTAGTCAAAGCTATCTCTGGTGTACAGGTATATATTCCTTTTAATCATTCCATAATCAGATAGTGTTTTATTATAAACCAGACCATTGCTTACGGCACATGCAGTATTATTAGTTTTTATTTCAGACTTTATACAGAAATATAAGTTATACTAGTAAATTTATATTGCTTTAGTAATTTTGTTTATTCAAAATCACATATTTTATGTCTTTTAGTAGTTATTTAAATGTTGAAATTACTTATTATTTCTCTTTTTTTCTTTTTCAGACTGTCAGGTTTAAAAATGAGTTAGAAAGAAATATCACAATCAAATTAGGCTATGCCAATGCAAAGGTTAGTTTTAAATATGTCCAGGTAAAAATTGAGAATCAACTTTTCCTAGATTGTTAGCAGTCCTTATATAGGTTGACTAGCTTGATGAAAAGGTGGTAAGATTTCAAAGACTTGTAGAATATAAAGTAATTTTGATATTGTTTATTATAGATATATAAATGTGATTATGAAAGATGTCCCAGACCAGGATGTTATAGATCATGTGGAAGCAGCAAGGAAGATGTCTTCCCTTGTGACAGACCAGGTTGCTCAGGAAAATTCAGACTACAGAGGTAAGAAATGACTTGGTTGAAATGGAAATGGACAGCATTTGACAGATAATAATAATAATATAGCAGCAATTCTCATAATTATCAAACAGTATGTGTCATCAGCATAAACATCTTCACAATATCTACGTATTTTTAGCTTCTTCTTATACTTTGACATCAATACACTTTATTTATTTATGGTTCCTTAAGAGACTTTCAAGCTATGACACCAAAGTAAAAAACCAGGATGGTCTACTAATGATCACCTCTTTACTCAAACACATCATGTTCTTTGAAAGCCAAAACATTAATGTGGCATCCTTTCAGCTGTTTATGAATTTCTCTAGCTAAGAAATTGTTATTTTTGTTGTGTTGAGTTATTTTAGACATAATTTCTTAATCAGCAGATATGACTAACATATTCATCAATTTCTTATTTGACTATTTTCCACTTTCAGACATGTATCATTTGTGGATTGTCCTGGTCACGATATTCTTATGGCAACTATGTTGAACGGAGCAGCTGTTATGGATGCTGCATTACTTCTAATTGGTAAGTTTGATATCTCCAATATTAACATGTATCTGAATGTAGTAGATTGTCAGGTCCCATTTAGATTTGAAACAGGGCCTTCCATTCATTGATTAAATTTTCACTATTGATTGAGCATCTATGTCACATCATCTATGAGACGTTTCTTAAAAACAATAGATTTTGGTACAAATATTATTTATTATGGCTGATTGATGAATAAAATTTATGTTTCTTTATCTCCATATATAAACTTCTGTCATATGAAATGAAAAATTAAATTTATAACAATTTCTACTTTCACTTTTAGCTGGGAATGAATCCTGTCCACAACCACAGACCTCGGAACATTTGGCAGCTGTAGAAATTATGAAATTAAAACACATATTAATCTTACAAAATAAAATAGATTTAGTTAAAGAAGCACAGGCTAAAGATCAGTATGAACAAATTTTAGCTTTTGTAAAAGGTTAGTATACAATTAAAACTCATGGTTAAAGATTACTTACATCAGTAAATGTCAGTTGTAAATGATTTGAAACGTGAGGTGCTATGTGATTCAATGTTTAACGTAGAATCTCCATGAGATAAAAGATTTAAACTCATGTGAAAATTTAAGAATGATATAACGAAAGGCAAACGTCACTTCTGCAAAACACTTATAATCCTTACAAGACACTGGCACTTACATATTCTGTGGTCAAAATGCTTATAAAGATATGTATGATACATCTACATGACATTTCTTTTGCCTCTTGGTATATATTTGAGAAATAATTTCTCTTCACAGTTCGACTACAGTGAGTAAGCTCACTAAAAATGCAGTGATTGTCAGATTTGATAACTTGTTACTAATTTTAGGAACAGTAGCAGAAGGGGCACCTGTTATACCAGTATCAGCTCAGTTAAAATATAATATAGATGTTGTCTGTGAATATGTTACTAAACGTATACCAGTACCTATCAGAGATTTCACCTCAGAACCTAGACTTATTGGTAAGATATGGTTATTTTGGGTGTTAAAGCCTGGTCCGTATTCTTGTAAAGATCTTAGCGCTAGGATGTCCTAGAATCAATATTAGTAGATAACACCTTAGGACATCCTAGCGCTAAGATCGTTTTGAGAATACAGGGCCTGGTTTTGGTTGTTGATGGCAATTGGCTGTTAGAATGCTTCAGTTTACAGAGTTCAGTTTTCAAATCAGTGTAAAGGATGGCAAAATACTGATGCCAGAAACACTGTTAACATGGGTTAGCACTATACATTTGATCTAACTGACATTCAGCTGTGATGTGAATGACCTTTATCATTATTTTAATTTCTTCAAGTCGTGCTTGTTAATGATCCTGGGTCGATTAAAAGACATAGCCTGTTTCATTTGATTCATAAGCTCAAATAGGTGCAGAGAGTTAGGACATAAAACTCCATTTCATTTCATTAGTCTTTTATGGTACATAATAACATTCACTTAAGTATAGGGTACTAATTTCTTTTATTATAATCTATATTTTAGTTATCCGATCGTTTGATGTAAATAAACCAGGATGTGAAGTAGATGATATTAAAGGTGGAGTAGCAGGTGGGAGTATATTAAGAGGGGTATTAAAAGTAGGTCAAGAGATAGAGGTCAGACCTGGTATTGTATCGAGAGATGAAGATGGTAAATTAACGTGCCGCCCTATCTTATCAAGAATTATCTCTTTATTTGCTGAACAGAATGATTTACAATACGCTGTACCTGGTGGTTTAATAGGTAGGTTTTTTTAAATCTCTCTCCAGATTGTTGGCTGTTTTTCTTGACTCAACTTATCATGTGAGTAATTTATTGACAATATTCCTTTTCAGATTTTAAAAATCCTGCTGTCCTGTTTTCTCAATTAGTTTTGTGTAGCATCATCCTCATATACTACAACAGACTTTCTTGGCAGATTAGATAAAAGAAGAATAGACTAATCCTCCTTTCCTGTCAAAATTCCTACATTGCACACTGTATGGCATCATGTAGAGCTAAATGTTCAACTCCCTTTTCAATCTGTCAGTATCAGGACTGTTGATTTTGTCATATCTTTTCTTGGTTTAATACGTAAACCAGTAACTCTGTTTATATATATATTGACTATTTAAAGTTCTATGGTTTTGTTCAGGAGATAAGCTTCGTTTATATTTTGTAAATTGTCTATTATATCTATTCTAGGTGTAGGAACTAAGATAGATCCTATGTTATGTAGAGGTGATCGTATGGTAGGACAGGTACTAGGGGCTGTTAATGCTCTACCAGATATCTACACAGAATTAGAAATCTCCTATTTCTTACTCCGTAGATTGTTAGGGGTTAAAACAGAGGGTGATAAAAAAGGAGCTAAGGTAAGAGATTGTCAAGAGGATATGCCTTTAAGTTTTGTTAGAACTGCTGTCCTCTGGGCAATTTAATGTTACATGCAAGACTTATTAAAATTGCCAGTCATTTTTTCGACGCACCTTGCTCTCTCCGAAGGTGCTTTCCTATCAATAAGATAAGTGTGCTAGTTGATTTGTATATGGCTTAATCATTGGTCAAAGTCCCCATCAGAACATAGTATGATGTCATGTCTCTTATCATTCATGGTTATGGTCTATATTATTTTTTAACACCCATCTTTTTCTTTCAGCTACTTTGCTTTAGGTTCTAGTAATTCTTCAAATTCATCATATGCAAAGATGCTAAACTTATTTATGTTATTGCATACTATCAATCACTTCATTTAATTATGCTAAGATGAAAATATGATCAAAGTTTATTTCTTATAATAGGTTCAGAAATTGACTAAGAATGAGATATTGATGGTAAATATCGGATCTCTGTCTACGGGGGGTCGTGTACAGGCAGTAAAAGCAGATTTAGCTAAAATAGGTTTAACCACTCCAGTCTGTACAGAAATTAATGAAAAAATAGCTTTAAGTCGACGTGTTGAAAAACATTGGAGGTGAGTGCATTTAGACTATACTGAAACATAAAGAAATGTAATTTGTATGTTTTATATACAAAGATCTTTATATTCAAATGATTATATAAGTAAAAACATCAGAGAAAGTCAGGATTTACTAGGACTTTAAAAGCAGTTAACAGTTAAATGAGGCACAGAACATGTCTGATTAATTTTATCAATATTTTCATAAGTGAAGTTTATTTTGCCTTGTATGTAATTCTTGAATTATCCTGCTTCAAATTTCATGTACTTTTCAATGACACCAGTGACATTTTACAGCTTTGTCAACTGGTATAATATTACTTCTGCAACATATATCTCACTCAATTCTCATCGTGGTCGTATTATGATTTATTATTACTTTGTGTTTTAGATTAAATATGATTTATTACTTTGTATTTTAGATTGATTGGATGGGGTCAGATCAGAAGAGGAGTAAAAGTGGTACCTGAAAATAATGAGAAATAAACACAAGTCATAATTTATATTTCATTCATTTATCTTAATCATTCATGTTTTCTTCTGGATGTTTATAAGGAAAGTGCTGTATACTGTATCATTTGATAAAAGTTTGTTAGGTCCTTGTTTTCTCAACTACAACAAAATAACTATCAAATTTGGTCTGAAATGAAAAGTGGAAGTTAAAGGGACAGATTCGCCATTTCCAGGGTCTTGAATAAATGTAAATAGTCTTTAAAAGTAATAGAAATGTATGAGAATTGCATAATTCCATCAAAAATACCTCAAACTAGGTATTTCCTATACTATTTCTATCTTCTTTACTATATATGATAGAGTCTAAGAAAAGAGGAGTAGTCTTTTTAACTTTAAAACGTGGTTAACTACGAACACACATGGAATGGAAGGCAAAAATTTTCGACAGCGAGCTTTGATGACTTTTACTAAGACTAGGGTATGATTGGTCAAACTGGTGACGAACCTGTCCCTTTAAAAAGAGTTTTTGAAAAATATGCTTGGTTGGTTGAAGGTATACCAGACTTAATTTGATATTCTTACAACCGATAAATCGGTGAAGCCGTTCTATCAGCCAGACAGAAGATTAGGGTAGTCATCTCAATCTTACGGTGCTACTAATGTCTATTAAGAACTATGAACAGGTGTTATACCTTGACTTGTTATATGAAGACTAATTATGTATTATATGATTATATTTGTAAATTATGGAAGACAATAAACCATCTTTAAAAATCACTTGATTCTCTAAGAAATAGTGAGGCTTTTACAATGCAGCTAGAAATATTCTTGCATTACAAAACTGGTAGGCGCAGTTAGTTAAACTGAAAGTCACTGGGATTTATTCAAAGGACTACAGTATGATTAAAATTAGATCCACCTTTTGTTCCGTTTATTAGCTCTAATATTTGATATAGCCACTTCAGTCAGGGTCTAAGGTCAGCCCCCTGGGGGGCATCTCCGCGTGGTTTTTAAACCTATGAATAGACTTCTCGGACCTGCAAAACCCAGGTATATTTGGAAAGATGAATATTTTTGTAGTTCAATCATACCAACATTTTCTCCCTACGCCGATGTCATGTCTCTGCTTCCATTCAAGCATCGTCCATATAAAACTAAATGCGCAGCTAAAAGTTCAAAGGTCACAGAGTCACGTGATACTAACAAAACGAAAGTTATGGTGATGCCCACCACTGATTTACAATCATCTTAAACTCAATATTATGTTAGAGAAAACGCATCTTTGGAGGTGCGGAAAATTCCCATTTAAAAGGGTCTTTTTCTTCTGACTCTACTTCAGCTTACAACTGTCAAAATATCCATCAGAGGCTGGAATAGAGGCAGATATTACTACCATATGATATATAATCATCGTAAGATTATAAAAATGTTTTGGGGAATAATTATTTAAAAAGTTTCAAGTTTGACTTTGTGAATACTTTTGGCAACGACCCCTCTCCATAATAAAGAGTCTAAATATGGAGGGATGGGTGGGGCATAACTCCAGGGCTAAGATAAACCGCTATATACAGCCAGACGGTGGTGGATTCATCTTAAGTTCATATACTTGTTTTCTGAAATGAAACAAAAAATATACAAAAATTACAATATTATTATATTATAATTTTGTTTGCATGATCACAATATTTTAATCAATCAAATTTCTACCCTCTCCAGTGCGGGGCTTTTGTGAGAGATTGAAGGTATTTGATAAGTTAAAGAGGGGGTATCAGGTTAGATCAAAAGGTTATTTCTGACGAATGTTCAATGGCTTGTCTTTACATTCTAACTGAGGACGAAGTGGCTATAATCAGTGGCGGTTCATTGGAGGGCTCAGTGCCCCCACCCAAGTCCCCCACCCCTTCCCACTTTCATTTTTTTTAATTCTGTATAGAAAAAATTACCCCTTAAAATTTCTGCCCCATACCTAATGCTTTCTTGCAACACCACTGTCTATAACCCACAGTAACTTGTAGATTGTTTTAAGTAATCAATAACTAAACTCACTTTTTTCCTAATTTTTTACAGTCGTAAATCGTATCCGGAAGTCGAACATTTGTTGTTTCCGGTAGAAACAGGAAGGTTAAAATAAGAGAAGTGAATGAAAATGCTGAATAAATGATAAATGGTGCTGCTTCTTTGAAATTTCCAGCTATACCTTGACTCTAAAAAAACAAAAAATAGAATTGATCTTTTCATAGGTTTTTTATTTTTGCTATGGTCGCAAAATATTTAGTGTAAAACACAATCTTTTGGGCAACTGCATTTTCAGACTTGAGTTAACATTACTTACAAAAGTATCAAAATTGCATACATCAAATCTACATTGTATCTACTGGTGTATTTTGCAGATAAGAAAAATGACATTTGTGCACCAATGACAATTGCAGAAAAAATACAAATCCTAAAGAGTATGATTCGTATATTTGTATTGCCGCTTTCCATTTCCTTTATACTTGGAAACAAAAAGGATAAGCATAAATAAACAAAGTATAAATCTGTCGAATTATCAGCGCCTGAAAATACGCTTAACGTATAATTGCGACTATAATTCGCACCCTTCTAAATCTCCAGTATATCTCCAAATATCTCCCTAAATCTCCGTTAATAACGCGCACCATTGTCCTGACGAAACAAATCAACAAGTTGACACCATAATATCGTGTATATATCGATTATATATTCGAGATTTCAGTAACATCAATGTGGATGTGATAATCATATTTCAGTGGATTTAGAACGCCAGGTATTATAGTTTAACCACGTCGAAGGCGACAAGGTTTGTGGAGTCGAGAACGCCATACTTACTATTAATCCAAAATACGGGGCTATAACAGCAGCTGTTCTACCTATACAAGAACTCGTGCCGACACCAAAATTACGGAGTTCTGTGGGGAAAAATTCACCTGTCCATAACCACCACAGACTGAAGGCAACATTTGTCCCAAACAATCCGACCATGGTGAATAGTGTCATCAACCATTGTTGATCTACAATTAATATCAGATAACAAAAATGAACAAAATATTTTCACTGTTAAATAGTGCTCAATACATCAATTGTAGGATGATATAGAAATACCACTGTTAAAATAGTGCTCAATACATCAATTGTAGGATGATATAGAAATGCCACTGTTAAAATAGTGCTCAATACATCAATTTTAGGGTGATATAAAAATACCACTGTTAAAATAGTGCTCAATACATCAATTTTAGGGTGATATAGAAATACCACTGTTAAAATAGTGCTCAATACATCAATTGTAGGATGATATAGAAATGCCACTGTTAAAATAGTGCTCAATACATCAATTTTAGGGTGATATAGAAATACCACTGTTAAAATAGTGCTCAATACATCAATTTTAGGGTGATATAGAAATACCACTGTTAAAATAGTGCTCAATACTTCAATTGTAGGGTGATATAGAAATACCACTGTTAAAATGGTGATCAATACATCAATTGTAGGGTGATATAGAAATACCACTGTTAAAATAGTGCTCAATACATCAATTTTAGGGTGATATAGAAATACCACTGTTAAAATAGTGCTCAATACTTCAATTGTAGGGTGATATAGAAATACCACTGTTAAAATAGTGCTCAATACATCAATTGTAGACAATATAGAAATACTACTGTTAACAGTGCTCAATACATAAAGTGTAGGGCAATATAGATATTGGAGTATACTGAACTACTGTTAAACAGTGCTCAATACATAAAGTGTAGGGCAATATAGATATTGGAGTATACTGTTCTTCTGTTAAACAGTGCTCAATACATATAGATATAGATATCAGGCAATATGGATGGAGTTTTATTTTTTATCAAGCGTTGAAGGGTCACAAGCTGTTGAAATCTAACAATAATCCAATGGCCCATTACCCTTCAGGTTATCAGATCAAATGATAATATTATAAGGTTTTTATCAACTTTGCCAACTTATCAATGGCTCAACTATATAGATACTGGTTGAACCAAGTCCACAGGCCCAACACCAAAGGGGGTCTCAGATGGATTTTTTTTGAATGTACCAAAATATACAATTATAATCAAACTAAGCAACCGGCTTTATATAAATGAGAGAAATAACATTAACTACAACATTACTTTTCACCATTCCAATCAGACGTCCGTGGTTCCTGAAATTCCACTAAAACTAAACGTTTTATGGTGTCACTGATCGCGAAGTCCTTGTGTGATACAGCATATTTTTCGATTAGTGACGTCATCCATCACTTAGTTTTTGTAGAATTGCAGGAACCATAGAGGTCTGATTGAAAATTAGAATGGAACAAATTGATGCATATAAATTGTTTTAGAAAACATCTTGACAATCCCTTCATTTCATTTACCATTTAAAGTATTTATGAAAGGAAATGAAATGGCCCACTTCAGACTTACAATTCAAACTTACAATTACCTGAGGATGCATACATGAGTATAAAAATAACAGACGTTAGACATAAACCACTGGTAAACAGGGATCCGAAGGCGAGAATTCTCCGTCCCACCTTGTCTCCTATAAATAACACCAGTAGATAGCTGAGTCCTTCAAATATTCCCGTTAAAAATAGGTTTAGATAGACATTTCCTACCAATGTGTCTAGGTTTAACATAATACCATAATAAATTAGACTAACCGTAAACCTAAAATAGACGAAAAAAATATACAAGCCGTTGCCAAGTAAAAGCACCCACTTAATCAAATAATTTTCAACATTTGAAGGGCTGTAACTTAGGCCTACAAAAATTCTAACTTGTCCCATGCTATATTATATTATACAATATTATCCACATCTAACCGTTGCTTTCACAATTCCGTATTCTTGTATATTGATAATATACTACTATATACTACTACTAAAGGAACATGAACTTGTCCAAGATTTCGTGGTCTAAATCGCGTTCACAGACTGGTTTGACCAAATCTGAATTTTGATCGATTTAATTCTGAACTTACCAAGTAAAGTACATCACAAGCGTCCTGGCGAGTAAAACAGGGGAGGTAAACATCTTCCAGAATCTAATTTTAGTAACAGTGTCTGGTGGTACAGTAGTGACATCTACAATATCATCAAGGAGCTTCACCTTATTACTAGCGGCCATTTTTTCTATGATGAGTTTGGCTCTGTCCGTTTTGCCTCTGGTTAACAACCACCGAGGACTCTCTGGTATTAAACTGTATTTAAACATAAAATAACATTATTAGCTGTGTGGACTCTCTGGTACTAAACTGTATTTAAACATAAAATAACATTATTAGCTGTGTGGACTCTCTGGTATTATATTGTATTTAAACAAACAATAACATTATTAGCTGTGCGGACTCTCTGGTACTAAACTGTATTTAAACATAAAATAACATTATTAGCTGTGTGGACTCTCTGGTATTAAACTGTATTTAAAGATGAAATAACGTTATTAGCTGTGTGGACTCTCTGGTAATATACTGTATTTAAACATAAAATAACATTATTAACCGTGTGGACTCTCTGGTACTAAACTGTATTTAAACATAAAATAACATTATTAGCTGTGTGGACTTTCTGATATTATACTGTATTTAAACATAAAATAACATTATTAGCTGTGTGGACTCTCTGGTACTAAACTGTATTTAAACATAAAATAACATAATTAGCTGTGTGGACTTTCTGATATTATACTTTATTTAAACATAAAATAACATTATTAGCCGTGTGGACTCTCTGGTATTATACTGTATTTAAACATATAATAACTTTATTAGCTGTGTGGACTCTCTGGTATTATACTGTATTTAAACATATAATAACTTTATTAGCTGTGTGGACTCTCTGGTATCATACTGTATTTAAACATAAAATAACATTATTAGCTGTGTGGACTCTATGGTATTAAACTGTATTTAAACATAAAATAACATTATTAGCTGTGTGGACTCTCTGGTATTATACTGTATTTAAACATAAAATAACATTATTAGCTGTGTGGACTCTCTGGTATTATACTGTATTTAAACATAAAATAACATTATTAGCTGTGTGGACTCTCTGGTATTATACTGTATTTAAACATAAAATAACATTATTAGCTGTGTGGACTCTCTGGTATTATACTGTATTTAAACATAAGTAATATTATTAGCTCTCTTTAATTGTTGATAAGTTGCCAGAATATTATGCAGAATAGAACATTCACATATCACCGATATTAGAAATGAATAACATTATTTCAATTCATAAAATCATACTCACCAGACGAAGGTTAACAAAACCGTCATGAAGATGGCGGCACCTAGATGTAGATATCTCCATGTTCGAATCAGGTAACCAAGCAACGATATTACAAACATTCCCAGTAACCAGGTAAAGTTAGATAAAATTCCCGTATAAATTCGTTTTGAAGGTCCCACTATTTCTAGTCCTGTATATACACAAACAAACAAAAAAATTAATAAAATGGAATTTAGCTTCCACCATTACTGCATCTAATGGAATGATGATCTAACCAAAATTGACAATGCCACCGCCCCTGTCCGTCGGTCCGTTGGTCCGTCGGTCCGTCAACATTTCTTGTGAACACAATAGAGACTACAGTTTTCAACTGATTTTAATGAAATTTGGTGTGATCATTTATATTGATGATATCTTGGTCAAGTTCGAATTTGACAATCTTTCGGTGAACGGATTTTGAGTTATTGCTCTTGAATTAGGGAAAACGCGTCAAAATTTATTTGTGAACACAATAGAGACTAAGGTTTTTAACTGATTTTAATGAAATTTGGTGTGATCATGTATATTGATGCGATAATTTGATGTATTTGGGTTATTGATATTGATTTTTAAAAATTTGGAGGAATTTATCTGTATAAATAAATGGCAGTAAATAAATATATCATTGAATTCAAACTATTAAAATTTCTTTAGCATGAGAAAACTCATACTGCAGTCACTAAAGACTGTTTTAATCATTTCTGACAGCTGCCAGTGGGTGTATGTTACCTTGCCTGGCAAGCTATCTTTCAAAACTGTTTCGGGCAAAGTTGTGCATTGGTAATGTTGTCCGGCAATTGATTATTGATGAACAGAGCATACTCTCTCATTTACGTTTATTCATCAAGGCTTTAAATCTAGGAACTATATTCAGGTCGCAATATTACTATGAAAGGACTGACGTGTCATTGTAAAATGACGGAAGTGAAGAGTATCGCCCATGAAAACACAACGAAATCTACCATACATTACTGAGACAGGTTCAGCTTTAAGCTGCCGAGGATTGCCAAATTAATGTTACTGGATGTCCATAATAAGGTCTATCTCTGCTCGAATGCTGTAGTCAAACCATTACTTAAAGTAATGTTGTTGTCTAGATATTTGTTAAGAGAAGAATAAAATAAACGTCTTGAAATTTGTAAGAAGATATCAAATTAAATTGAACGTTAAATCATTGACTTTCCTCACCAATATTATAAATAGGTAGAGTCTGAAGAGCCACACCAAATCCAAGGAAAAATCTCACAACCGAAACGAACGTGTAAGTCGGTGACCATACCAGTAGGTAGGACGAGATACAAACTAAAAAGTTGCCTAGTACCATCATTGGTTTCCGCCCAACACTGTTAAAATTAAAATACCCCATGTCAAGTAAAAAGATGAGTTGATGATGAACATGGCCGTAGAGTGTGCTCTGAGAGAACTAGAATGCTCAGGAAGGGCTAGAATGCTCTGAAAGGACTGGAATGCTCTGAAAGGACTAGAATTCTCTGGAAGGACTGGAATGCTCTGAAAGAACTGTAATGCTCTGAAAGGACTAGAATGCTATGGAAGGACCAGAATGGTCTGAAAGGACAGGAATGCTCAGAAAGAACTAGAATGCCATGAAAGGACAGGAATGCTCTGAAAGGACTGGAATGCTCTGAAAGGACTAGAATGCTCTGGGAGGACAGGAATGCTCTGAAAATACAGGAATGCTCTGAAAGAACTAGTAAGTTCTGGAAGGGCTTGAATGCTCTGAAAGGACTAATTTATTTACTGCCCAAGTAAGAAAGTTTTAATAAATTAGGCAAACTGCTTGAACTCCCTATACCGAGATATAGATTAAGATCCAGGGATTGTAAACTCTACCAACTTTCCCAGAATTTGAATTAGTGCACTTACTAATCAGCAATATTCCCTATACCATATCCAATCATCAACCCTAGAAACAATGTCATAACAGTCGTACTCTTCAGTGATGCATCGTCACAAACCAGGTTAAACTGAAATAGATACCATATTAATAATAATTCCAGATTCCGCTATTAAGGCACAGATCCGTCATCCGATTGATCATTCAGTAATAGTGTTCACAGATCACAGTCAAGATTTGAACCTTCAAATCTATGTGTGTTCAGTACTATCTGCGTTTGAAAGTTAAAATGAGGACTCGTCTTTTCTTTTCTTTTTTCGTCTACACATAGATATAGAAATTCATACTTTAAGGTATTATGTCCTTTTAAATATAATATAAATTATTCATTCTAAAAGGGATAAACAAATTTCAAATGACGTACCTCTGTTACGAGAGAGTTTGTAAAAGTTGAAGTATCATAAACCCACGAAGAACACTTATATTCCGATGACGTCATATTACCAAGTTCGTCTGCAGATTGATTACGTAATAAACATTTTGAATTGTGAGGAATTGATTGGTTGATGAGATCTCTATGGTGATCACCCTGTGGATGAAAGGTGTCGTTTTCTAAACCTGGTATTGCACATCTGAAAACAGAGCAATAGGAGAATAGGACAATAGGCATCTTCATTGAAATGTACGAGGAAATAATAAAGGAATGGGCCTATGTTCATCCGTTTGACCAATCGTACCTTTAATAGCTTAGCAGTCTTAGCTAGTAATAGTCTTCACAGCTCAACGTCGAAATCGGAGCTTTCAAGTCAATTAATGTGTGTTAAGAATTGAAAGTGAATTATAATGACATCTTTTCGCGTAGTTCTAGAAGGCTACCTCTGAAAATTATTTATATATCATATTCAAGACCAAAACCAACACCGAAAGTAGAGAACAATCGACCATGGCGATAAAGGCTACATGATTTATCTGCACATCATTTGGAGTCCATCATGTTGATATTATTAATTCCGTTTATGTATTTACCTGTGATCAGGGGTACTAAGAGTAAAAGTAGAAATTAACAGCAACAGTCCCGAGGTAAAAGGTTCGTAACATAATATGGCAAAAATCTTTTTCTGGTACAATCCAAATTCGCCTATTATCTGTAACACATCGTCATACAGCATCGTCATGATTAGGGCTAACCTGAAATTTACAGAATGAATAAATACATTAACGATCGAACGAACGAATGAATGATAAAGATTTTCAGTGTTTTGTATATGGATACATGTTGAAAAATCATTGCCAATTTTCATAGATCAGGTCATTAACCATGTTTCATAGTTCGAGAATCAGGCCATTGCCATCTTTCATAGAATCCCACACCCCCTCCCCTTGGGGCCGAGGTGTCTCATTGGATCGAAGGTGGTAAGATCTGTTTTCACAACCTAGGGTGGTGAGGTATGTGATCTAATGCCTTGGCGGTAAGGGTATTTGACCTTTTGACCTAGGGTGGTAAGGGTATGATGTGGTCTTATGTTTCTAAGGTTGTAAATGTTTTTGATGTGGTAAAGGTATGTGACATTTTGAACTGGGGTGTTAAGGGTTTGTGATCTAAGGGCTTTAGGGTTCTAGGGGTATATGGTCTAACGACTCATGGGTGGTAAAGGTTTGTGATCTAATGAACTAGGGTGGTAAGGATGTGTGACCTTTTGACCTAGGGTGGTAATAGTTTGTGATCTTATGGCTCCAAAAAGGTAAGGGTTTGTGGTCTAATGACTCTAGGGAGGTAAGGGTTTGTGGTCTAATGACAAAGGGTGTTCAATGTACATGACCTTTTGACCTAGGGTGGTGAGGGTATGTGATCTAATGGCTTTAGGTAGGTTAGATTATGTGGCTTTTTAAACTAGGGTGGTAAGTGTGTTTGGTGTTATGATTCTAGCGTGGTAAGGGTATGTGGTCTAACGGGTCATGGGTGGTAAGGTTTGTGATCTAATGACAAAGGGTGTTCAGTTTACGTGACCTATTGACCTAGGTGGTAAGAGTTTGTGATCTAATGACTATATGGTGAAAACGGTTTGTTGTCTAATGACTCTAGGGTGGTCAGGGTTTGTGGTCTAATGACTCTAGGGTGGTCAGGGTTTGTTGTCTAATGACTCTAGGGTGGTCAGGGTTTGTGGTCTAACGAGTCATGGGTGGTAAGGTTTGTGATCTAATGACAAAGGGTGTTCAGTTTACGTGACCTATTGACCTAGGTGGTAAGAGTTTGTGATCTAATGACTATATGGTGAAAACGGTTTGTTGTCTAATGACCCTAGGGTGGTCAGGGTTTGTGGTCTAATGACTTTGTGGTGGAA